TTTGCTTTCAACATAATATTCAGTTAGTCCATGATATAGCACTATAGACCTATAAAACAGATAACGTAAGGCAAGAGTAGAGATAAGTTAAGGTTAAAACTATAGCTAGTCTGGCACATATTTAGTACACGACTAAGTAAGCCACTTCTTTTTTATAAAACTTACAAAGAAAACACCTCTTCATGAGCAACCAATAAGTCAATTTTAGTAGCGACGCTTAACGCAAACCTATGTTGTTTTAGTTTTAATGATAGATTAAAATCAAATGTCACATCTTCTTTGGCATAAACTCCAAACGAGTTGTCAGTATATTCCGTGTAATACTCATTTTCTAAGTGGAATGTCGATGAGTTATGATGATAAGTAAATTCATTAGAAAAAAAATCACATCGCCGTTTTAAGAGCGCTGTTGCGATGCAACACATTGGACTGCAGTAAGCTTTGCAGAGGGTTTCTTAAAAAAAGCTTTCTTTACTTGGATTTTCTCAACATCACAAACAATAAACTTGTAAAGTAAGAAACTAAAATTTGCAACTGTCGCAATATTTGTGACATCTTCCATATGTTTCCATACACGCCGAATCTAACAAAACAAACTCGCTGTCGTCCATCGTTATATACACTGTTTGGAATTGTTGGTTCGATCCAATATGCGAATCAACTGATAATACTTTTTTACTAAGTGGGTGTAAAAAATCGTATACCAATAACTCAGAAATATCAATTCTTACTTGAAAAAGTTTGAAATAAAAAAATACTTACTTGACATTGCATTAATTGAAACTGCTGCTTTATAAACTTCCGAATTACAATTGAAAAACAAAAAAATTAAGAAAACCAAAAATCTCATAACTGTTGCATTAACTTTGTCAATAAATTGTCACAAAACACTTGAGTTGTATTCGAATAATTTAACCTTTTCTGACAGACCCTTTAAAGGTTTGAGCGCCTCTATAAGCAGCTTATTACGCTGATATCAGCGATAGACGTTGTCAATAATATAAATTGCAAAGTTTTTGATATTTCTTTTTCATATACCTTACTAACTTTTTCAGTAGCTTTTTGTCAATTGCAAAAAAAAATTCTAATAGGATATTATACATAATGGCATAGAGTAGAGAAAGGTTTAACTAATAACTTACCAGACATAAGTCTAAGTTCTAATCAACCAAGCATAAAAAATCCAATTTTGTTTCTACCGTAGTCAAATACCATGTCATACTGTTTTATTAAAGCGTACGAAAAAATCCACTGAACGTTGTCTGGATTTGGAGTTATTGCTTCAACCAAAATTTTAGGCTTGTACGAACTAAACGCTATTATATAGCTTTGATCTATTTGTATAGTAAATGAAGGTGACATTGCCCATTCATATTTAAAGTCGCTTTTTAAAAGTGTTTCATTTACGTCATAGGTAGTAGATGTTTCTTGTTTTAATCTCAAAATTTTAGAATTAACTAAATGTTGCAGACATTCCACTGGTACTCCAATTGTTTCTCGGAATGATATTATTACCTAAAAAGTTAATTTTTAGTTAAATGCTTAAATTTGTAAGGTTATTGGAAACCGCAAACTTACAGAGTATTCATTTTCATGTTAAGAGGCAAAAAATTGGCCAGAAACACCACTTAACATCCAATGAAAATCACTGACAGAGAAACACCCATGGTTTTTGTGGGTAGTACCCTATAACCATTAAGCAATGTCCTGGAAAAACAATTTCAAAAAAGGACAGAACTGCTTCTTGAATCATATGATTATCATATAATGTGCTTATAAATGATGATCCATCAGGCTTACGACCCAGGCCTAGGCGGTTCCTTCAAATAAATTTTACAAAAGGCTTAGCAAGTAATTTTGAGTAAAACTTAAGCTAGGGTTGAGATGAAATGAAGATAAGGAAAAGCCAACAAAGAAGAACTAGAGTACAAATAATCTGAGAGTAGGACTAGTGATAGTGTAGTTAATGTAGGTCGAAAGTGAGCTGAATATAGAGCTACGGTAATGCTAGAGTACGACTAGGAAAAGCCTAGATCAACAGAAATTCTAAAGTCAGCGCTAGAAGAAGACACTTATAAAACGACTAACAGAATTTAAAAACACCCATGGTTTTTGTGGATCGTATCCTATTATCATTAAACGCTGACCTGGATTATTATATTGAAGAAAGCACAAAACTGGTTCTTGAATCAAATGTTTATTGTATAATGTGCTTATAAATGATGTTCCATCAGGCTTACGGCCCAGACCTAGGCGGGTACTAAAAATAAATTCTGCAAAAGGCCGAGCAGGTAACTTAGAGTAACGATTAAGGTTGGACGGTAAAGTTGAAATATGCCAAGATAAAAAAGACGATCTGAAGGGACGCCCAATGATAAGGAAGGCTAAGGTAGAGTTGGCGTAGATCAAATTCAAGACTAAAGTAAAGCAGCTGTAGGGTAGAACAAAGAGCCAACATAATGTTAGGGTGAGAGCAGAGAAAAGCTAGAGCAAGCTTCAGATTAACCTTATAACACTTACAAAGAAAACAGCTCTTCATGAGGAATCAATTGATCAATATTAGCAGAAACGCTCAACGCAAACCTGTGTTGTTTCAGTGTTAATGGTACAGTAAAATTAAATGTCACATCTTCTTTGGCATAAACTCCAAACGAGTTACCAGTATATCCCGTGTAATAATCATTTTCTAATTGTAGTGTCGATGAGTTATGATGATAAGTAAGTTCGTAAGAAAAGTAGTTACAGCTCCGTTTTATGACTGCAGTTGCAAAGCAACACATTGGACTACAGTAAGCTGTGCAGAGGATTTCTTAAAAAAGTTTCTTTATCTAGGGTCCCCAGCATCACAAACAATAAAGTTGTAAAGTAAAAAACTAAAACTTGCGACTCTCGCAATATTGGCGACATTTTCCGTATGTTTCCATACACGCCGAATCTAACAGGACAAACTCGCTATCATCCATTGTTATATGCACTTGTTGGACTTGATGCATCGATCCAATTTGCAGATCGACTGAATATATTTTTTTACTATGTGTTTAAAAAAATTATGTACAAATAAGGAATATCAATTCCTAACCCAAAAAGTTTAGAAATAAAAAAAACTTACTTGTCATAAAAATAATTGCAACTTCTTTTTTATAAACTTCGGAATTAATATTGAAAAACACGAAAAACAAAAAAATCAAGACTTTCATAACTGACGCCCCAACTTTGAATATAAACTGTCATAAAACAATTGAGGTATACTAAAACAATATAATCGTTTCTGACACACCTTCTAAAAGTTTGATCCATATAAGCAGCTTACCACGCTTTTTTTATCAGCAACGTCTGTTGGCAATGATCCAAGTTGAATAACAGAAGATGTTTCTCTAAATCGTGTAAATCTGTGATGCCTTTGCTTGCTAACTTACAGTGGCACTTCGTGTCCAATACCGATAGTTGCGTGGCATTTCGCTCCGATCCCTCGGGCGACTAGATTGTCATTATCGTTTTGTATTTTTCTTCGAAGCGGAAGATGGACATATTTACAAAAATGTTGATTAACTATTTTTACTCTAAGATAAACTTTTATGTTATACTAGTGTGGAAATTATGAGTCAACATCTGTATCACTAATACCTTTAACTACTATTAATTCCAATACTGTTGCTACTTTTTGTTCTTTCAGAAGCCTAGGATACCAGAAACTGCACCTTTATTAACAGCATTCTGAATAAAAGAACTTCCAAGCCAGACGGCTGATCTACAATGACAAAAAAACTTATTGTGGGTACCAATCAATATCCTATTGCAACATAATGGTGCCTCATAAAAGGCTTGTTGGGGCGACAGAAGAATATCGTTATATTTTGCAAAGCTAATTTTGTAACTAAAAAAGCTAAATAATGAATTTGCTTATAACAAACGTTGCTTGTTTGAAAAATAAAGATGCGCACGTCTAGCGGTTTATTCTATGAAATCCGATTTTATTTTTACCGTAGTCAAACATCACTTCGTACTGATAAATCACTGCTCGTGGCAAAATCCATTGCACATTATCCGGATTTGGTGTTATTGCTTCAAGTAAAATCCTAGCTTCATATGATGAATACGGTACTATGTTTAATTCATCAATTGTTATGGTAAATGACGGTGATATTACCCATTCGTATTTAAAATCGTTTTTAAGTAAAGTTAGATTTACAAAGTATATTGTTGATTTATCATCAGCTAATGTTACAATTTCATTGCTAACTAAATGTTGTAAGCATGCCAATGTGAGACCGACTGTTTGGCGGACCGATATCATCATCTAAAATTTTATTTTTTGTTTGTGTAATTTATGTTCTTACTCTGCATTTTAGGCCTAGCCTTGCAATAGTATTAGTCCCAGTATTAGTCCCTTTCGTGTAGCTTTACAAACTTACTTTATATTCACCGCCAAATGTGTAATCAAAAAACTGTCCAGATAAACCAGTTAACATCCAATGCAAATTACTGACTGAATTTACAAATATCCACGGCTTTTCCGGATATTTTCCTATTGTTATTAGGCGCTGTCCAGAAACAACGGTACTAAGAAGGCATAATACTGGCTGAGATATATGGTTTTTATTGTATAACGTACTGATAAAGGAAGATCCGTCTTTCCGACGTCCAAGTCCTAGGCGTTTGCTTTAAAACGCTGTGGTTAGGCTTGGACACAAAGCAGAACGAAGCAACAGAAAAAATCTTCTGCGATTTAGTCTGGCTCCGGATATTATTTTTTTAAATGTAAGTTTTACTTCAATCCCGAAAACAAAAACTCTTTATAACAAACCGATGCAATAGTTTTCGTTTTTTTTTTGAACTTTTGAAAAATACAATGTTTTCGAGCCACATTTGGTCGATTTTGAGTTAGTTTGGTGCTTTCCGAACCAGCCGGTCGTAGCAATATCAAGACTTTAGTATTGTGGCTTGTTTGTTACGTATTTTGGTTTTAATTTCATCTTAGAAATTTATAAAGACAATGAAACCTACAAAGGAATCGGCTCATCTCGAAACACCAAATAATCAACATTCATCAAAACGACCAACGCCAAACGATAGTTTTGTACTAACAAGGGCACCTTGAAAATGAACGTTACGTCCTCCGTAGCATAAACTCCAAATGCTGATCCAGTATATTCAGAAAAGTATTCGGGTTTTAAATTGAACGTTGATGAATTATGAGCATAGCTCGTCTCGCTATTAAAAAACTTGCACTGGAGTTGGAAAACTGCGGATGAAACACAACACATCGGGCTACAGTAAATTTTACAAAAAAGGCCTGAAAAGTAATTTTTCACATAGTTGAAACAAACATAGTAAAAAAATTGAAAAATTTTATTTCTTCATTTCTCGCTATTCGGAAGGACATTGGTTCGACCCCGCGCACCGCCCAACCCAGGCGCCTTGAGGAATGGGTAGTGCTGAGTGCACGGGTACTAGGCACATCTATACTTGGCCTACACAAGTATATGATTGAACGCCAGAAGTCTTATGGAGCGCCTCACCCACGACTTAGTGACGCGAGGAACAGTGAAATACCTAGGGAGAGGCCCAATTATGGGAAACGTCAGACTCAAGGATAGCTCTGATGGTCGTCATCTGAACCATGAACATCCTTGCACATCAGCACAGTACGTTACAATCTACGGCATCAAACTACTATTCTAATCTATATCTCTCGAGTTGTAATTGTAGACGCTTGAGCATGTAAAGTAAATAAAAAATCTATGACCAAAATTGTCTGTGTTAACTGCAATAGCCAAAAACTCACCAACTTGACAATATTTGTGACATTCTCCATAAGTTTCTGTACAAACCGTGTCGCGCATCAATAGTTCACTATCCTCCATTGTCACCGAAACTTGATTTAATTCTTGGTCTGTGCCAGTGTAAAGGTCAACTACAAGTATAAAAAAATTAAGGTCCATAATCAACTGTTTTGAGCAAAAAGAGCTAGGACTGGGGCTAGGTCTAGACGTATACTTTTTTACCATGTGAAAAGATAATAAACTTGCATGCCATTGTTGGAAGTGCAACATATACTTCATAAACTTCAGAGGAACAATATTGAGAGCAGAGCATAATAAAAAACAAGTGCCACATTATAATAAATTATTTATTTTACAGTTTTAAAAAAGAAATAACAAAGACTTTTGATATTGCAAAAATTACCACACCTTCTTTGACTAGGTTCTATAAGATGCTTACTATAATGATAACGAACAAAAAGACAAAGATTTTGAAATAAGTTTGAAATTTAAAAATTATTCAATAATTTGTATTATTAGGGAGGGGGGGGAGAATATTGAGTCATTGTACTCCATACCAGTTTTTTTTGCACACCCGCAACAACCTTATTAAGCAAACTACCGTCAGCATTGACACAATCATCCTAACGTTTTTCAAGCTTAGCCATTAGCGTAGAATTCAACACTTCTGGAACTAAAAAAGCTTTGTTAGCCTTCTTGACAACGTCACTTTCAGTGAATCGTAGCTTACCCCGCAACCTAATGTTTTAAAACGCTGTTGATGAAATGTCTGGTGATTAAGGAGGATGCTGAAGAACTGCAAATCCACACCCCTTGAGTTCTTCTTGAGTTGTCTTTGCTACATAAGAATGAGCATTGTCATGCAAGATGATTGGACTTCTTCTTCTTAGCATTGATAAAAACGCATTTGGTTGATCTGGCCACAACTGTCTTAGTAGTTACGTCATAGAATTATCAAAGTTATAGGTTGATCACGTTTCAAAAAACTTTTAGTCTGTTAAATTAAATTTTTTTGTAAATAGAGTTTGTGCCATTTTATGGGTTGCCTTCTTTTGGTGCGATTCCGGCTTCGGAAACTGGCTAACAAATTGACCATGATGATTTTTATCTGGTAAAAATATGTAAATATAAATATCAGACTGCAAAAAGAACAAGACAACTATAGCATTAAAACATTTATTTTATTTTTTCTTTTGTTTTTTTAAATTCGCTATAATACGCAGCTCAATATTTTTAACACAGCCTAATATTAACTTTCGTCATAATCTTCCTGTTTCTCCGCAAAACCAATAACGTTAAGCCCATAATCAAGTACGACACAATAACTTTGGAAGACAGCGTTATTCAATATCCATTGAATATCGTCTGGATTTGGTTCAATGGTATGAAGGTATATATAATTGTTACGGAATACATCATTGAACACAAGATGAGAGTACGGAATTTGAATACTTAAGGTGTTTGAAAATGTCCAACTCCATTGCATTTCGTTGTTAAGTAACGTTTGATTTACCTCGTATTTGCCAGTTTGATTAATGGTTAATATATTGCTACCGATTAGATGGTGAATTAGATCTGAGGTAACCGACAAGGAAATTCCTTCTGATAACATTGCCTAAATGGTGATCTTTAGGAAAAATTTTGCTTAATCTATCTTAATTTACCCCACTCTATCAAAAAACAGTCTGATAAATACAAATTTAAAAAAAAAGAAAATTTTGTGAAACAGTCCTCAAAACATAACTCAAGCCCAAGTAGTTTTTTAATAGAAAAAACTTACATTATGTGATGCATCCACTTTGTATTCAAAAAACTGTGCTTTTTGTACCCTCAAAATCCAATAAACATTGCTTTCGAGAGGTACATACTGATAACCACTACATAAATTAGTTTGAATTTCACCAAAGTTAACCTTTAAAAAACCAATTAATTTGGAAGGTCCAATTGATACTATTGGAGACTTGATAATTCCATTTTTGTGCATATTTGTGATTAACGAACTTCCATTTTTATACCGTCGTAAGCCAAAGCGATTACTGTAACAATATTTTTAGTGTTTTTATTCTTGCAATCTCACCCTACCCTACCCTACCTTACCCTACCTTACCCTACCCTACCCTACCCTACCCTACCCTACCCTACCCTACCCTACCCTACCCTACCCTACCCTACCCTACCCTACCCTACCCTACCCTACCCTACCCTACCCTACCCTACCCTACCCTACCCTACCCTACCCTACCCTACCCTAACCTACAGTCTAACAATTGGAAAAGAAGGTACTATTGAGTCGATTGATATGATAACATTGAGAGCAAATTCTTGTTTGTCCAATTTAGTAATAATTGGGTATCGTTGAATGTACATGTCATCTACAGCGTATGTTCCCACAGACTGTCCATCAACGTCCTCAAAGCCTTTGTCCAAAATCTGAAGCTCTGTGGACGTATGCTTGTAGTTACTATCATCGTAATCATCACATCTGTCTCTTAACATCTGTGGTGCACAACAAAGAGTATGGCAGTATATTTTACAAATTGTGGCTGAAGCACGGTAAGTTTATATATAATAAAAAGCAGCGTTATTTGAAACTTACTATCATAGAACGACTTTACTTAGTATAAATACAACTTACGAACATCACAATACTTGGCGCACGCTTCGTACTTATTCTTGCATTGCCCATCCAACAGTATTATGTCTGGTTCGTTTAGCATTACAGTGACGAAAATATCTTCCTTTTCTGATCCTACATAGAAATCTTGACCTAAAATAATATTTTTTAGCGTTTGTTTTCTAGACGTTTTTGCTAATAGGCTAACGGTTTCTGTTATTAAACAGACACTGCACACCAACTTATTAAAACGCTTGTCCGTAGATCCCACCACGAAAACGTTCGTGCCAAAAGGCCGACCTATTTTCGTGGCGATGGACGGATTTCAGTGTCTCGCTGGAACGTTTGCTGTCACGTTTTGATCACGTTTGATTTAATTGTTTGATGTTTTAAGGTTGATTATATTGTTTGATTACAAGTTTGTATTGTTTTTTGATCTACCTAGTTTGGTTTATGATTGTGTTTGAACTGAAGATAAACTCTAATATTACCTTGATTGGCTTTGTTTGATTGAAACTTATTGATAGTTAATTTATTACTTTACCATTTGATTCTGTTTGTAAAACTGTCTCTGGCAGTTACTTATTGATTGTTGGTTTGACTACGACATACTTTGTCGTAGATTACTGGTTGAAGAGTCTTCTCTCTCCCAGACAAACGTAATTCCCGATTCGCCCGGGTGCTTCATCCCTGCAATAGCTTCTGGGAGCTCTATAACCCTGTATCCTAGCCCTACTCTACTCTCACTAAAAACCTAAACATACCTACCTAAACCTAAACGTACCTGACCTAACCTAACCGCAAGATCTTACTCTCCCATAACTTACATAAAAAAGAGTCTACATGTAGTTCAAAGCAGAATGTGCCGTTAGCTTTACATAGTGTAATTAATGTAATAACACATTGTATACAAAATAAAATAAAATACATCATGAAGATTCATTTATACTTGACAATAAGTATACAAATATTAAAAACTGAGACGTAGAGCGTGCGTTATCATAACTCTTAAGCTCTTTTAAGTGGAGAAAATGGAGAGCTTATATTAGCCTACCCCAGAAATTTTATAATTCGTCGCATATTATTATAATACTGTAAACTATATATAGTTTGAAACAAAACTGTCATACTTAAAACAATTTTCCAAATCCAAAATTATCCTGCCCCGCCCTCATCTCCCCTTTTTCGGAAACGTTTCATCGTATAACTCAAAACTGCAGCCTGCATTGACCATTAAAACCTAGGGCGCACAGGTTTTCAATTCAAGTTTTGCATTAAAAATGTGAATTTAAAACTATTGACATATTTATTAAACAAACTATAGGAAAAACAATATGATAGAAGAAGAACCGGTATATGCTTATTAAAACTCTGTTCAAAGTGCTACAGTTACAGTACGAATACAGTATAACAATGATTCTAATGCAATGTCAAAAAAGCTGTTAATAATGATACCAAAGAAAGTAAAATTACAGTACTAATTAAGTACTGAAGTGGTATTGAGCTAATATACTAATGTAAAACAAAGAAAATTACAGTACTAGTACTATATTGAAACTGCCAAGATTAGAGTGCTAATACAATATCAAAAATGCCAAGATTACAGTACTAGTACTTATTAAAAATCAAAAAAATTACAATACTACTACAGTACCAAACCCAAATTACAGTACTAGTACCACATAAAAGTTGCCTACATGAGAAGCTATACCCTTACAGTAATATTATTACCTAGTACTTTAATAGTATAATACAAAAGAACTAGTACTAGTTAAAAGTAAAATCAACTACAGTATCTACAGTACCACAAAATAGTACTAAATACTCAAGAAATAGCTTAGCAACAGTATCCCGCAAAATTTAAATGAAAATACAGTATCCATCGCCGCCGACGTGCTGAGTTTGTCGCCGTACTTGTCCAACAGATCCAATATAACACCATTGGTCCAGCCGAAACCCTTCTGCACCTCGTACTCGCCTCCACCGCCAGCACCAAACTCCTCGGTCAACGTGCTCACGTTGTACTTCTCGAACATGGCATACGTGTTGACATAGGCCTTGTAGTTGGCCATAAGCCATTGAGTGGCCATGAGTTCGGCCACCTTCATCAGCTTGGGGTCGCCGGTGGTACGGAAGCCCTCAATGACCATGTGTACCATTGGAGGCCACGCGTTCTCCTTGTCCCATTGTTGTTCACTGCCCATGGCTAGGGAGGTGGGTATGCCTTTGGTGAAGTTGAGTACGCCTTCACGCTGAAATTGCAAAAATTATTGTAAAGAAAGTTTTTGACATTTTATAGTTTGTAAAGAAAGTTCTTGCCATTTTTTCGTAACATAACAAACTTTTGATTTCTGCAGCCTGCAGGTGCCAAATTATACGATAAAACACGTTTTTCAGTTTGTAAAGAAAGTTCCCGCCGTTTTAAGATTTGTAAAGGAAGTTCTTGCCATTTTATAGTTTGTAAAGAAAGCTCTTGCCATTTTATGTTTTGTAAAGAAAGTTCTTGCCATTTTATGTTTTGTAAAGAAAGTTCTTGCCATTTTTTATAGAGCAACACATTTTGGTGTCCTGCAGCCTGCGGGTGACAAGTTATACGATGAATCATGTCTTTTAATCTTTTAATAAAGTTTTAGCCATTGATAACAAGCTGAGGCTATGGCTAGGGTTGAAGGGATTGCTAGGGCTTACCTTTAAGTACTCATAAACCCTAAAAGGCGTCACATCATCCTCATCATCAAAGCATTTGGCATACAATGGCATGGCATTACTGACGTAATACTTGTTCGAGTGTTTCCTATTGTCCAAGTCATAATCGTACCAAATACCATCGTCATCGTTCCAATGCAAACTCTTCACAGCCACCTTCATGTTCTCGTACTCACGATTGTAACGTGCTGTTTTGTGCACGTCTCCAGCAATCTCGAAGAACGAAGCCAAGATCCGAGAATTTATGCACATAAAGGCATTCAAATCGACCGGTACAATCGAAGTGGTACGAATGGAACGGAGGGAATGAACGTGCGGACCATCGTTCGCAAACCAACGGGTGGAGAAGTCCCAGCCTGTTTCGGCGCCACTGGCTAGGTTGGACCAGACTTTTTTCTTTTTCAGCTGAAATTTTAAATTTAAAAATTTTTTTTAATTTATAAATTTTGATTTAATAATTTTTTAAATTAAATTAATAAAAAAATTAAATTTCTAAAAAATTTCGAAATTTTAAAAATTAAAAAAAAATTTGACTAAAAAAACAAAAAAAAACTTTAAATAAATTTTCATCTACAAATAACGTTTTTTTTCAATTTTTCAGCCTTAAAATCGAAAAAGAAAAATCAAAAAAAAGCCGATCTTGCAGCCTGCGATGACATGTTATACGAAAGATATGTTTTTATTAAAAATCATACTCAAAAGTGATTATATTGATAAAAATAGAATTCGTTATCTACTTTTAAACTAATTTCAAATTTTCAAAATTAAAAAAAAATTAAATTTTAAAAAATTTCAAAATTTAAAGAAATTTTAAAAAATTTTAAATTTCAACAAACTTTCAAAAATAAAAATTTTAAATACCCTTCCCTTTTTACAATTTATGTTTTTTTTTTATTTTTCAGCTTTAAAATAAAAAAAAATAAAAAAAAGAGATAGCTTGCAGCCTGCGGTGACATGTTATACGAAACATATGTTATTACCAAATTCAGCCCAAAAACTGATTATATTGATAAAAATACAGTTGAAATAAGCCTTTAAAATACATTTTCTAAAAAAACATAAAAATTTTTTGAAAAACATACCAAGCGTGTCCAATCCCTCGACCAACTCCATGTCTTCCCTATATGACTCTGGCCTTGGAAACCTCATATGAACTTTGTATTGGAAAAAGTGAAAAAGTGTCTGATTTGTCTTTGGATCATAGTAGTCTTGTCTTCTGTTTTTGATCCAAAACGTGTATTCTTTCTCTAGTAATGGTAGTACACTCTGGAAATGATGGGTAATATACTATTAGCATCAAAATACTTTTTAATTTCAAAAATTGTTTGCACCTAATCTTACTGACTACTCTTATATTATTTTGAAAATACTATACATGCTTACAAAATCAACATTTCTTCATTTTTACAACAAACCTACCATAACAAAGTCCAAGTCACCCGTAGACATAAAGTACTCGTATACCATTGCAATTAATAGTGGAGGTTGGGAACGTGTTAGATAATAGACTCTACCTCCATTTGGAATAAATCCGTGGCTAAAATAATCAAAAATATTGTTTTTATTACCTATTTTTATACTTTTCATTCAAATATCAGTTTTTCCGCTTTATTTTTCAAATTTTGCGTTAAAATGCAAGTAAAATAGCTTTTTTTAGGTCTTAAATAATGATAAGAATAACAAAAAATAATTTTAAATTGATAAAATCTTGTTTTACATCCTAAAAATGTCATTTTTGCCAATTTAAACCTCGAAAACCAAGCGCAAAAAGTTTGGGCTCAGCCGGTGATCGAAACCGGGGCCTCTCGCACCCAAAGCGAGAATCATACCACTAGACCACTGAGCCGCGCTTGTTTCCCTCTTCTTGTTTTCACCCTACGCAAATGAAATCCTTTGCGAAGAATTTCGAGCGAAAAAAATGAAATTGCTCTACTTTTTGACAAAAATATGACAAAACTTACTGATCTACCATATAAGCGAGGTTCAGAATTACTCCACGTGCTGTTTCGTACATTTCCGAGTACAATAGGCCTTTTACTATCCAAAAAGTGTCCCTGAAATGTCCAAGAAAGGGTCAGATTTAAGGATTTTTGAAAATTTTAGGTAACAAAATTATATTTTTTGTTTTTAAAATAAAATTAATGATAACAAAAGTTAGGAAGGAGCTAAAAATGATAAATTTGATAACTTACCAATAATAAAACTCTCGAAAACGACCACCCGGTATAATGAACAAATGAGGCACATATAACAATGAATATCGTTCTTGGTGTGTTCGGACGTCTTCTTTTACCTGAAATGACATTTATTATACTTCTAGTAGCCTAAGCTCTTTCTAGTACAAATTTTGAAATTTTTCAACTTTTGGAAAGAAAGTTATTGCGCTTTTTGTCGCAAAAAACGCAATTTGACAAGAATTTATTGCTATTTTTAAAAAGAAAATTGCTGTAAACAAAGTTTCTGTCACTTTTCATAAACAGTCTTGTAAACAAAGTTCCTGCCATTCCCTACCTTTCGACAAAGATCCCTCCAGATTCTGTGAAGATGTAAAGCCCATCGCCTAAGGTAAACATCCTCAATATTCTGAAAACTGGTTGGGAATGGAGTCCAATCTTCAGGATAAACCTCGATCAGCTCATGACCCGGCTCCTCGAAGTGGGTGTCGACAAATCTTTGAAGAATTGTTGCGTTCTTGGCATCTTCTCCTAACTCATAGAATTCTTTTAGTGTTGTCACTGAAATTTTGTTGTTTTAGGCTTAAATATTAGTTTAAAGCTTTGAAATTTGAATTTTTAGAAATTTTAAGTTAGAGAAAGTTAGAATATGGTATTGAGAACAATTCGGACTGTTTTTAAAAATTTGTTTTTTATAAATGACACTTACCCGGGTCATATTTCAAAGGCATATCAACGAAATACTTGGAATCTGGGAAGAGTCGCGCATCTTGGACGGCTTGTAGGATTGGACCCTCACAGTAAATTTGGCTGAAAAATAGATTTCTTATTACTCTTTTTTGAAAGCTTGGTTAAAAAATAAAAAAATAGACGTTTATCTTACTAGTTAGTACGTTTTTTCTTGTCATATCAAGTCAGGAACGTCGCTACAAAGTTATTGCATCTGTGCACTCATATTTCGAAAAACAAGTCATTTACCCCCTCCCAACCTTTTAGCGACGTTCCTATATCAGGTAATGCAACTCAAAATCAGTAAATTTCAAATTTCTAGTAACTGCCATTTCTTTTACTATGTATTTTCACTGTTATTAGTTATAGAGAAATCAGTATTTTTTAAAAAGTTTTCCTATGACAGGATGAGTATCAAAGAGGTCAATTGTAATTAGCAAAACAGGAAGTGTCACTTGTTGAATCACGTGATGACCTCAAGAGCATAAATTCTTTAAGTTCTAGTCACGTGATAAAATTAGACTTTAAATCGAATTTAAAAAACGTGACTTTTGTCTAACTTTTTTATTTTTCAGTACTTTTGACTAAGAATGTACATATAAAGTAACATCACTTTCAAAAAATTTGAATCTTATATTTCCCCTTAGTCTACACCTATAAAAAGATCGGACCAGCCCAATTTTTTCGATTTGGCCTATGCTTCTTCAAACTTGCTTTGGCCCGGCTCCACTAGGTCGGGCCAGGATCTTGTAGACCCCGCTTCAAATCTACCTTAGCCAGAGCATACACACCCGCCTCCTCAGAAAAGAGAAAAAATTGAAAAAGTTGAACATAACTCCTACCCTGGTGATTTAATAAAACCTGCAAAAATATCTTCATGGCTACCTGCACCAACATTTTTACCCTTCTGGACTAAAATCGTAAGTCCTAGCCTGCTGATTATCACTACTTATGAAAAAAAGCAGGTCTAGCTATTATAAACCTCAAATGAAGGCCACTAAGTCCTGCCTTAGGGCCGTGCCGCAGAAAACTTGAAAAAAGCTGAAAATTGGGTCCAGCCCCCCCAGTCTTTATAGTTCTAAACCTGGCCAGATTTCGAGCCATTTCTAAACTAGAAAAGTGCTTCACAACCCCCGGCCCGGCCCCTTTACATGTCTAAGCATGGCCAAATTTTGGGCCTTTTTGAGATTTGAAAGGAGACTCGCTAAGCCCGGCGAGGCCCCTTTACATGTCTAGGCATAGCCAAATTTTGGTCCATTCCGAGATCAGCAAGGAAACCAATAAGCTCCGCTAGGCCCCTTTACATCTCTTGCCTCTCCCACTTCACCTTTTGCTAAACCCATTCTCTCTTCACAACACTGTAGCCAGACTAAACATAAAAACACCTCCAAAACTTTCAAAAGCCCTACCTTAACAAGGAAACCACATAGTAAAGCATAATAGACGTATTCCTTGTAAAGTCTACTCGATCATCACTGAATTACAACGTCTGAAACGCAAAATTTCAAGTAAACAGAATTCAAATTAACAGTTTAAAACGAGCGCAATTAATCGAATTTACAATGTAGTTCGATAAAACCATGTTTATCACACACTGAAATGAACATTTCACTCGAAAAAAGTCAAAATTTGTGGTTTTTTCATCAAGTTTTAGGGTTTTTTGAAAAAAATTAAATTTTACTAATTTTCTAGTAGGTTTTCAAGAACTTTCTTTACATTATAGAATAGAAATAAAGCTTTGTAACTCAATATATTTCACCTTTTTGTTAAAAAAATTTTAAAATTTTAAAAAATAAATTATTTTTAAAAACTTTTGAAAAAATGTCTGCCATTTTAAAACAAATTTAAACGTTTTAAAACTAAAAAAGACAAGAAACAAAGACACAAGTGCGCCCGGCGTTTATTTTTCGTCTTTTTCCCTTGCCAAGCACTTGGCCTAGCGGCGAAAAAGCCGGCTTTTTTCGATTTACTTCGTTGTTTTGTCTCAGAATTTTGTTTTTTTTTGAAACAGTTAGAGACCAAAAACGATATGATATTTCAATATATCGCGTTGAAAAAGACTTTGCTTGAGGTGGGGGTTGCTCAGGGTGGTAAGGGAGGGGATAGGGTAGGGCAGATGAGACGGCAAGAAGGTATGGCATGGCAAGGAAGGAGCTAGGGCAAGGTTTTGCTTAGAGCAAGACAGGTTAAGACACGGCAGAGTTAAAGGGAAGAGCAGACCAGGGCACGGATAGGTTGAACGGGCTGGGACTAGGCAGGACAGGGCTAAGCAAGAGCTAAAACTGGGCTTGCGCCAAGGCGGCAAAACAAGGTAGGGAAGGGCAGAGTAGAGCAGGGCACGGCAAGGCAAAGGCAAGGCAAGGCAAGGCAAGGCAAGGCAAGGCAAGGCAAGGCAAGGCAAGGCAAGGCAAGGCAAGGCAAGGCAAGGCAAGGCAAGGCAAGGCAAGGCAAGGCAAGGCAAGGCAAGGCAAGGCAAGGCAAGGCAAGGCAAGGCAAGGCATGTCTAGATAAGGGTAGCGCTGGGCCAGCTAAGATAGAAAAAGGTATAGTAAAGCTGAATATTACAACTGCAGTAAAAATAAAATGACCAAAAAAGGTTATCAAAACACTACAATTAAACCGTGATCATTGAAGATTACAAAAACAAGTAACGAGCCGGCTGCTAAGGAAATTTGCCCTATTTTTGTTTCACAACGACTTGTTTATTTGTTTATCTCAAAACAAAGAATCGCGATAGGGAAGGGGAAACGTTTACAAATCGGCAGTTTAATTTGATTTCTTCAAAAGTTATTAATAACTGGCTGGTTATTTTTAAATTTGGTGTTTTATGTTGATCATCATCCTCAAATGAATTTTAAAAAATATCAAAAAAAATTTTTTCCGAGAAAAATAAAGATTTTTTTTTCAATTTAAAAAATTAAAAAATTGAAAATAACATTCTTTTTCATTTTTTAAAAATAAAAAAAAATCAAATAATTTTATCCACCCCCGAATTAAAATTACCCGACGCCATGCCTAACCTTAGTTATATAAAGATGATTTATATTGATCATCCCCAGTCTATGAAAATCAAAAAATTATTTTTTGAAAAATTTTAAAAATGAGCTTTTTTCAATTTTTTAAATTAAAAAAAATTTAATTTTTATCCACCCCCCCAAATTAAAATTACCCCGCCCGGCATTATGAATGCCTTATGTAGATCAATCAGCCTCTTTTCTCTCTCTCATCCTTAGCATTATCTTCAACGACGTATTTTACAAAAAGGGCTCCACCACAAAAACTTCCCTCAGCATCAAAAAAGCCCCTTCACCCCCAAAAGTCTTTTTTATTTCAAAAAAGCCAAATTTAAAAATTTTTTGAAATTCAAAGCCCCTTGTTATAGTAGACTATAGTTGGCGGGTTTTCTCGTCTCGCAATCTTAGCCTGAACTTCTGGCTCCAATTTGGCAACACTGACTTCAGATTTTTGTGGGAAGAACGCACATCCAATGGGCGTGGCAAAGGTTAACATGAAGCCTGAGAACAAGATTTGGATTGGTGCTGCGATCCATGGTCGTTTCTGATACGGTATGTCGTTAATAGTACAGTATAATACTGTATGTGCAAAGTCTAAACACAGTCAGGCCTAGCCCTAGCTTTAGCCCTAGTCTTAGTCCTAGCCTAAGCCTAAGCCTAGCCTAAGCCTAAGCTTAAGTCTAAGCTTAGCCTTAGCACTAGCCCTAGCCTAAACCCTAACTCTAGCTCTAACCCACGAAAAGCCTAATGAATTACCTGATAAAACCTTGTTTTAACCACCTGTTCCATTAAAACTGGTGCTGATACCATAAATGGTACAGCCATGAAGATTCGACTAATCACTACTTCTGGAATGGCACGTGACGCCACTTTCTTACTTTTGCCTAAAACCTCACCATCTGCATCAAAAACTTCAATTCCTTCTAGTAGTTCACTGAAATGCAGAAACTTTGTTTACAAGATTTGAAAATGGAAGAACTTTCTTTACAAATTGAAAAATGGCAAGAACTTTCTTTACAAAATGGAAAATGGCAAAGACTTTCTTTAAAAAAAAGATAACAAAAACTTTCTTTACAAACTATAAAATAACAACACATTTCTTTCCAAACCAAAAAATGGCAAGAACTTTCTTTCCAAATCTTTTAAAATTCCAAAAACCTCATTTCAAACCTACTTGCTCCTAATAATCGGTAGATTGATCATATTAGCCACGGCAACCGCACAGAACGGTACCAATCGTTGAGTCAGAGGTAGCAGCTTCTTCGTAGCCGCATTTAATGTCAACGCCGCTGCTACAGCACTAGAAGTGGCACAAAAGTAGGCGGTCCATAGTCGTTGGCTGGTTTCCTGAGATTTGCCGGACTGATTCGCAAAATTGACCAACGCATTGTAGGATTGGTTGATCCATTGCCAAAAAATGACTGCTGGGGTAGATCTGGAAGTTTTTAGTCAATCAATATTTGCATTGTGTTCAGTATTATAAAATTATCAAAAATTGCAAAAAAAATGAAAAAAATCAATAGTTGCGTTACGTTACAAACCAGAAAGCGTCAAAAACCGTTAAAGTTTTAAAATTTTTCCAAGAAATCAATAGTAGCTTTACGTTACATATAAAAAGTTTCAAAAAATCAACAAAAATCAAAAAATCATTAGTTTAGTTACGTTACTTATCAAAAATTGCCAAAAACAACCAAAAATTTAGAAATCAATAGTTACATTACGTTACTTTTCAAAAAGTACCAAAAACCGTTAAAAATCGCAAAATCAATATTTGCATTACGTTACATATCAAAAAAATGCCAAAAAAACAGTTAAAAATCAAAAAATCAATAGTTTCATTACGTCAAATTATAAAAAAAGTATAAAATACCGGTAAAACGTGAGCATTCCTCCTGTGATCAACATGTTACATGGTACTTGACTGCTCATCCGACCCAATACAAACATCTTCTCTCCAGTCGTTGGGTGATAAGCCGAGTCGTAGAGGTTCTTGGCTCTCCATAACTCATCCAATGTTGTGTTTGGCTCAACGTACTTGAGTTTTCTAAAAGTTTTTAAAAGTTTGAACTAAATTTTTAATTTAGGCTTATATTTAAAAGTGAAAGCCTAAAAACTGGCTTAGACTAAAAAGTGAACTAAGCCTAAAAATTGAATCTTAAGTCTAAAACAAAGCTTGAAAAACTGAGCCAATCCTAAAGTTATGCTACGTCCATTTTATACCGATGCTAAATAGTACGGTTTAACTATTAGGTTGTTCAAATAATTCTGTGCCACCTTCCAAAGAAAATTTTCAAGGTAAATCGGGCACAGAAATAACTGAACAACCTAATAGGAATTAAAACACGCCCACTTTACACCAATACTAAATAGTACAGCTTGACTAAATAGTACTTACACATACTGATCGACAATCTTTTTGCAATCATTGAGCCGACTTTCCGAGGTGAACAAGTTTAATGGGTTAGTGATGGTGAAGAAGTGTTTTAATCGACCATCGAATGAATTCTGATCCCATCTTGGTTTAGTAAGGTCTGGAGCCCTTCCTTGACGAATTAGTTCTTCGACCAGGGTTGTCATTGCACTAAATTGATAGTATTTAGTACAAGGAAGTAAAAGCAGTGATGCTTAGTACAAAAAGTGCTTATACTGCTAGGTGAAATATGAATGTTTTTTAATGATAGTACTATATAGTACGAAAAAGTGAACATAGTGCTATTTAGTACGAGAAAGTGAGTATAGTTAAAAACTTTAAATTTTTCATTTTAAGAAAAATTTCCTCTTTGAAAATAAAAAAACCAAAACTAACCTGCCCAATCGATTCTTCTACAACATGAACATCAACCAGTCGATACAAAAACATAAATTTTAAAAAATTTTAAAAAATTCAAAAAAGTATGAAATTTCAAAACATTTTTTTAAATTCCAAAAATTTTTCTAAAAAAGTGTGAAATTTCAAAATATTCACAAAAATTTTAAAACGAACCTTTTCCCTTCCCAATTCACAACTTTTTACTTCAATTTGACGTTCACTTGTTCAGCGTACGGTCGGTTTAGTAAACGCGATAAATCTAAACTGCTAAAGTAAGTATTGTACTCGTTTTTTGATTTTTATAGTGCTATGGGTTGGTATTTTAATACTGAAGAGGTGGCAGAGGTAAAAACTTTCTACTGGGTATACGATCAGGGTAAACAACTTCTTACTGAAGTAACGACTAGAGATGAGAAATAGGACAAATCGGGCCCACTTTTGAAGCCCGGCCCATTCCCTGACCCAATCTTTAGACTAGACATGAGAAACAAGCCAGGCCTGAACAAAATTTCAATCTGACCGGGCCTAAAGATTGGGCCCGGCCCGTTTCTCATGTCTACTTTAGACCCGTTTTAATCTTTCTCTCAGGCTGGCTTAGCCAGTTTAAAAAAAAATAGGTCCGGCCTGGCCTGACCCGTTTTAAAAAATTTAAAAAACTGGCCCGACCCAAGCCGAACCCAACTGTTATGCCCAGCCCCTTTCAAATTTAGCTCAAAACTTGCATGGCCCAATTGTTGGGCCGAACTAAGCCCTACGGGCACCACGGCCCGTTTCTCAACCAGAGAGACGGCAGGGGTGAAAAATTTTTTTTTGTTTAAAAATAGGAGATTTTTTTTTATTTTTTTATGGCTTTTCTACCCCGCCTTCAATAAATGGCTATTTTTAGTTTTGCTTATAATAAAAGTTACAGTATACCTTGTATTAGCTTGTTCAAATAATTCTGTGCTCTCTAACTCTAAAACTTTGTTGGCACAGAATTTTTTGGACGACCTATAACCATTTTCAGCAAATTAAAATCATTTTAATTTTTAAAAAACAAAAACTTTTTCTTTCAAAAATTTGAACTTTCTCAAAATTTGCATAAAAATTCAAAGCTCTTCCCACGGCTCACCTTTTTCAAATTTGCATAACTTCACAACTGCCCCTCCTTTCCTTCATTCTCATTTACTCGCATTTTCAGACGTGGCCTGATTTCGGAACGGTGTAATTCCATTCGTCATAGACTCTGAAGCTCGAGCCAGAAGTGGGTACGACGTTTTCAGTATTTTGTCATAATGGGAGACCAGTACGAGCCACTGGGGAACTTGGGTAAGTGTTATTCGTGTGGAGCGGCTGAAAATAGTGCTAATTAGTATGAGAAAGTGATTAAACTGCTAGTTGGGATGAGTAGTTTATGATAGTGCTATATAGGATGAGAAAGTGAAAATAGTGTTATTTAGTACGAAAAAATGAGAATAGTGCTATATAGTACGAAAAAGTGAAAATAGTGCTATATAGTACGAAAAAGTAAGAATAGTGCTATATAGTACGAAAAAGTAAGAATAGTGCTATATAGTACGAAAAAGTGAAAATAGTGTTATTTAGTACGATAAAATGAGAATAGTGCTATATAGTACGAAAAAGTGAGAATAGTGCTATATAGTACGAAAAAGTAAGAATAGTGCTATGTAGTACGAAAAAGTAATTTTTCTACTAGTTAGGATGAGTATTTTATGATAGCGCTATATAGGATGAGAAAGTGAAAATAGTGCTATTTAGTACGATAAAGTAAAAATAGTGTTATTTAATACGAAAAATGAGAATAGTGCTATATAGTACGAAAAAGTGAGAATAGTGCTATATAGTACGAAAAAAGTAAGAATAGTGCTATATAGTACGAGAAATTAATTTTTCTACTAGTTAGGATGAGTATTTTATGATTGTGCTATATAGTATGAGAAAGTGCGAATAGTGGTATATAGCACGAAAAAAAATAAAAATAGTGCTAGTTAGTACGCCAAAAAAAGTGGTATTAAGGATAGCCTTTATTGGTAGTTAATTAGTTTTTTACTCAGTAGAAACGCCATTTTAACTCAACCAATTTTAGCCAATTCACCCGCCCCTGGTGGAGCGGACAACTACGAAGTCTTACCGTCGCCGGGAGCGAATGTTCCTCCTCCACCTCCACCAGCAGCAGCCGCGAAACCGCCACCCGCCACTCCACCACCACCCCCAGCCGCAGAAAAGCCTCCGGCCTCGGAGAAGAAGAAGAAAGAAGTCAGTGTGAACGAAGAGAGCAAAGTGGTAAGTTTGGAGTGGTGAATTTTGGAATAAAGGGGTAGTTTTGGAAGAGGGTGTTTTGTGAATCAAGCCTAGGTTTAAGCCTAGTAAACTTCAAGGCTAGAAGGTAGATTTTAAGCCGATAGGTTTAAGCCTAAAATATAGATATTAAGCCTGAAGGCTATGTTCTAAACTTAGAGCTTAATTCTTAAACCCTGATCGTAGCTCTTAGGCCTACCGCATAGTTTTAAGCTTAAAAGCTAGACGTTAAGCCTAAGAACTATATATCAAACTTTTAAAGGCTAGATTTGATGCCTAACTCTTATTTTTAAAACCACAAGCTTAGTTTTTAAGCCTAACATTTTATTTTTAAGTCTAAAAGCAAAACTGCAAGCCTAAAAGCTATATTTTAAGCCGAAGAGCTAGACTTTAAGCCTTGTTTTCAGGCCTCACGCCTAGTTTTTGAGTTTAAAAGCTAGAATCCAAGCATAAAACTAGTATCTAAGCCTAAAGCTTTATTATTAAAAATTTAAGCTTACTTTTTAAGCTTAACGCATATTTTTTAAGCCTACGGCTTGCTTTCTAATTTTAAAAGTTATAGTTTAAGCCTGAAGATTCATTTTTGATACTTGAAGCTTACTAGGGAATTGCACCAAATATCCCTCGGCTTTTTGAACGAGACCTATATAGGATGAAAGAGCATAAAAAGTTACCGGGAGAACTGTTTTCAAAAATTGCTAAATAGACTTGGCTAACGAGTTACAGTATGCTCTATATACTTATATGTTTACAAGGTGTAGCTTTAAAGTTAAAAAAATTATATTTTTTGATAATTATTTGTTCCTAAAAGTGTCTAAAAGCACCAAATACAAGTTAAAAAATATTTTTTAAAACTAAATATTGTTTGGCTAGCCAAAACTTTCTGTCAGTATGGCTGGGCGCCATAATGAAACCGACGGGATTCGAACTTCCCCTCTTCTGCACCCCAGATTAACCTGTTAGCCACTCGAACACACTGGATTGAAGCTTCAATCCATTCGTTTTGCTCAAGACGAATGAGAAGGGTCAAATAGAAAACCCTATGTAAATCCTTTAATCGCTAACATCCCGCTAGCCAAACCTATTTAGCAGTTTTTGAAAACAGTTTTGCCGTTAACTTTTTATGCTCTTTCATCCTATATAGAACTCGTTCAAAAAGCCGAGGGATATTTGGTGCAACTCCCTAGTTAGTTTTCAAGACTAACGTTTTGTTTTTAAGCCTAAAAGCTATACTTTAAGCCTACGACCTAGATATTGAGCAAAAATCTGGATATTAAACCTATGAGGATCAATTTTTAAGCCTAAAACTAAATTGTAACTTATAATTTTTATATGATTCATAATACTGTTGCTTTTCAGAATGAACCATCGGTAGCTGACAGAGAGGATGTTTCAAGTAAGCCATTTTTTAAAACTGACAATTTATTTTTTTTAATTTTTTGTATTTTTAAATTTTTAAAATTTAATATTGTTCATTTCCAGTGGCCAAAAAGACGGATGCGAAGAAGAAGAAAAAAGGAAGTTGTTGTTGTTGCTGCTGCTGTATACTGCTAGTCCTCTTACTGCTCATAGCGGCCGGTGGTGGTGCGGTCGGTTGGATGTACGTCAACAAGAAGTTACTATTTGAACAGAAAAAGTAATCCGACCGGTCGTCTTTTTATAACCCAAATAAATGCGTTTTCTATGTTTTGGTTGTTGATTTTGAGTTGTTTATTCTAATTTTGTTTTTGAAGGTAGTTGTTAAGCCTAAACAATAGGATTTAAGCCTAAAACTTAATTTTTAAACTTCAGGCTTTATTCTTAGGCCTAAAAGATATATGTTAGGCCTAGTGGCCAGACTTTAAGTCTAAATATTTATTTTTTAAACTCAAGCCTAATTCTTAGGCCTAAACCAAAGATTTTGAGCCTAACAGCTAGATTTTAAGCCTAAAGCTTTGTTTTTAAACTTCAGGCTTAGTCCTTAGGCCGAAAAGGTAAATGTAGAGCCTAATGGCTAGAGTTTATGCATAAAGCTTACTTTTTAAATCGTAAGCTTAGTTTATAGACCTAAAAAGCCCGTCTTCAATCTTAAATGCTAAACATTCAGCCTAAAAGCTATATTTTAAGCCTAAAGCCTTCATTTTTAAATCTTAAGCTTAGTTTTTAAGCCCAGAAACCAAAGTTCAACTCTAAAAACTAGATATTTAGCCTAAAGGCTCTACTTTAAGCCTAAAGCTTAATTAACCTCGTGCGTAGTTTGTTAGCCTAAAGCTTGAAATCTAAACTCTAAGCCTAAAAAGGTTCTAAATGAATTAATTTGAGGTATATTTGTAAGGGGCTATAAAATAGCGAAAAAAACTTTAAAACAAATTTAAAATTTTTTTAAATTTTAAAATGAAAAAATGCCTAAAAATTCATTGTTCATTTCCACGTCTGTCAGAGTTGGTCGACTTTTTTTGTAAATAATGGGTTTGTACGAAACACTTAATGATCAAGCGCGTGTGGGACCGTTACGACTTTCGACTGGTAAGTTTTCATTATTCGTTGTAATTTCAAACTTCAAATTTTGATTTCAAACCTAAAATTTAAGCTTAAAATCAAAAATTTGATTGTCAAGACTATGTTTTAAGACTAAAGGTTAGATATTTAGCCTGTAATCTGACCTTTAAACCTAAATCAGTGGGTTTAAGGCTATGAGTTGGATATTAAATGCAGGGTTTATATTTGAACTCTAAAGTTTATATTTTAAGCTTAAAGGTTATATTCTAAGCCTACAGTTTATATTTTAAGCCTAAAGTTTACTTCCTAAGCCTAACGTTTATATTTTAACCCTGAAGCTTAAAATTTTAAATCTAAAGCTTAAATTGTAAGCCTAAGGTCTATATTTAAAGCCTAAAGTTTATATTTTGAGCCTGGAGCTCAAATTTTAAGCCTGAAGTTTATATTTTAAACCTAAAAACTAAATATTAAGCCCAGAACCTTGCTTCTAAACTTTAAGCTAAACATTAAGCCTAAACCAAAGAATCAATGCCAATGCCACTTTCAGTAATCCTAATCGCCACCACCGTGCTCTACCTTCTGGTTACTGTGATCGTCGCCGTGATCCTTCAACGTGCCATTGGCAAGCCTTCCGCCACCGAAGAACCGTCGAAGAAACGCAAACCAGCAGGCAAAAAGAAGGTCAGCGACCAGAAATCGAGCACGAATAGCAAGTCCAAGAAGCGCAAAGCCAACAACAACAACAACACCAGCTCGTCAAAGAAGATGAAGAAGAAGGGTGGCGAGAGCAAAAAGGGCAAAAAGGGTGGTAAACAAAAGAAGAAGTAAAATACGATTATCGACTGGTTGACTTTGAACGCAATAAACTTTGTTTGAATTTGGATTTTGGAAACTTTGAATAAACATAAAACTTTCAACTCATATGAACACCATAAGAAGAAAAAGATTACTATAAGAACGTACCCCAGAAAACAAGTAGGTAATGATGGCAGTGACAAGCAAGAATAAGATCAGTGCCACAACAAAACTGGTCAAATCGTTCCATTTCCAAAACGCTGAGATCAAACGACCTTTTGAAAAGAATAAAGGTTAAATTTTAAGTAAATATTCAAAACGTAAAACATTTAAATTATCATTTTTACTTAAAAAGTTTAAAATTGATAACAAAAGTGCATAATTGTAATAATAGTCAAAATTTTACCCACTTTTTCAACGCAAGATATATTTTTTGCATTTTGTTAACTATCAAAATTTTTTTACTTCCCCAGCACAATTTAGATTCCGGTCCTAGACCCACGTGTGTCGGCCCGACACGGCCCCTTCTAATATCAGATTCGTTTTACTGGATTCGAAAGAAATCTTTCGTTGCGAGACCTAAGCTGGGCTTCCGAAACCTTAACCCATAACTCCCATTAATTTTTTGTAATATAAAGCAGTATATAATTCTTGTCATCAAATTTCAGCTCTTTTCACTATCAAAAGCCACAAAGCGCCTTTGACCCCCTATAATCCCAAAATATAATGTTAACTACATTCCTCAATACACTCAAAACAATTTTCATCTTGTTTAAATTTATTACAAGTTATAAAACGTTGACAACAGTTTAGTTACAATACAAAGAATAGATATAAAACTAGGGAAATCAATAATATCACTGGAAAGCTTTGGTGTTTGATACGATGGTCAAGTGAAATAGACGAACAATGTTGAAGAATAGGTTCAAAAGCTACGAGAATAAGAGATTACAACCGTTTTTACTTTGAAATTACATGATTTACAAGACATTTTTATCTAAACATAGACAATGTAACATTCAACAACCCATTTAGAGCTTTTAACACAATATTTTTGCACTTTTATATATCGTTCACAGTACAATAAATTATGTGGACAACCTATATCAATAGATATAAACTGTCATTTCCTATAAAAAACGTTTGAAATTGACAAAACATCAAAAATAGAGAGAAATGCACCTACTACAATATCAGAAAAGTTTTCAAAAACATAAATATAGAGGTCTGATACTACAAAATTCTGGTCTATAAAAGTATAGTATATCATAGAAAATTCGACTTCGTACTATAGTGTATGTGACAAGACCTATACAATACACAACGAAACCTATATCATCCTATACCATAGTATATTACAGTAAATATACCACGTTGTAACAAGATATACTAAAAACAGTATATCAGCTCAAAGTAGAAATCGTATGTCAGTTTACAGTAGAATATACACCAACTTTTAGACCAATAATTAGTGCCAGTATTATTTCTATGACATTTTACCATATCTGTATAGAAAGCGGTCCATGGCTTTATAATTTGGCTTGTGATGATGGTACATAAGTTGGAATACGGGCGTTACCACGGTTGTAAAAGTATACTTGTCCTAAGATAAGTACGTCAATTGTGATCTGAAAAACGATAAAATTAAAGAAAAAACTCTAAAAAGCTTTGACATTTTTAAAAATCACTAAAGCAATTTTTTTTAATTTTCAAGCCCAACCCGACGAGCCAGACTGAACATTTAGTCCGTTTCAAATGTAGCTCAAGGCCGACCCAGCCCATCATAAGGCTGAGCCGGACTTACACAAGTTAGGTTTTTCACCACAAACCCTTGCCTTAGCCCAAATTCCAGCTAAAAACCACCATTTCAAAGCCAAACCCCTACCTGTAATAGTGAGCAGATCCAGAATTGTGCCGGATTACCTCTGACCACAAAGTAGACAGTTTTTCCCAAATCTCCCAACAGCCACATTAGTACCATGTTCACACTCATTCCTTGTGTCGAGCGTCGTTGGAAGTTGCGAATCAGCTGTGGTAGACCCAAACAAGCTTCAGTTAAGACGGCCACCAATCCTAAGCCTTCCACAAAGATTTTGTACTGAAAATATATAATGAATATTGATTTTTAGGTAATAGATAAGCTGAACTTCAATTTTTAAGCAAAATTTAAAATTTTGAATAAAAATAAAACTTCCTATGTTTAAAAAATAACATAAAAAGTTCAAACATTACTATCAAAACTCACCCCAGAAAACAAGTAGGTAATGATGGCAGTAACAATCGAGAACAAGACCAGTGCCACAACAAAACTCGTCAAATCGTTCCATTTCCAAAACGCTGAGATCAAATGGCCTTCTGAAAAGAATGAACGTTAAATCTTAAGTACATTAGAATAGATATAAAATGTCATTTTTTATTGTTAATGAAGTAAAAATTAATATTAAAAGCCACTTTAACCTGTATAGGAACCCGCTATAAAACAAAAAAGCTTATAACAATACTTCTTACTGTATCTAGAGAACCAGAATATAATACTGTACCTAGAGTATAGAAGACAATAACCAGACTATACAATTTAACAATGTACCATATTTTTAAATCTATCCAGTTTAAACAGTCCAAATTAAATTAAAGTTAGTTTATTGAATGTTTTTCGAGACGCGCCATAACTCAATTTCAACCGCATTTCGTGACAATAAAGCAAAGTTAAGTTGTCGACAAACAACATAACCCTCTATCATATCATGCAATTTTTATTCACGAATTTTTTCAATACGTATTTTACAGCGTATAAGCCGCGTTTTTTTTTTTGATATAATGTGTACTAGCCTTGCAGAGATTTACTTTTATTACATCATTCTTGTAATCAATCAGTGTTTAGCCTTTTTACGCTAGTAACATTCACAATACGTTCAGAAGCCCAAAGCCTCAATACAAAAAATTTCATAAACGACAGGTTTTACTATCATTAAGGTTGTTCAAACAATTATGTACCCCTAAGTCCGAAAATTGGCTTTGAGAAGTGCCCAGGATTACTTTTCAAAAAGTTAATGTTTCAATAATACCAACCTCTCCCCCATGCTCCCACCCTCTTATTTTTAATCAAAATGCGTCATTCTAATTTTTGGTCATACTCCTTGTTGTTCCACCCTTCGTGCTACGTGCTAATTTGTCAAAAAATTTTCGGTTTATGTACGATGAATGTTTCTTACTTCCATAAATTTCAATTTTTTCCAATTTTTATCTTTTTATTATTATTTTAAGTTTACACTTCGCGCCATTATAAAATTAAAAAACCGGCAAACCGTAACCTTATTTTAACCTTCCTATTCACGTATTTTAATCTTTGTAATCTAAGCTCCTAATCACAAAGCCGTGTACGTATCTCCATATTCACACACAAGTTATAATTAATTTAAAAACAAACGGAAACACATTCCCATGTTTGTAAAACACTACTTCCAAGTCTTGCTTACTAGTAGGTTAAACTATACAAGTTTACGTCCATCGTTCGTACGTTAATTTTTTAAGACAAAGATCCTTGTCAGGTACTCTTGAATTTATTGTGTATTGTTGTTTTGATATTTGATTTATTAATATTTCAAGGTTTTTGTTCATACCGTGCTTTTGATCAAACGTGCCCAAAAACATAATTTTGAAGAACCACGAAACCCCCTCGCAAACGTTAGCGTTCTGTGGCAACAAGCGTCAAAAAATCAAGAAATTTCAATTAAAATCTTTTTTTTTAAAAACGTGAGTCGGTCGGTCTCCAATTGAATTTACCAATCAGGAACCGACCAGTTCAGGTTTTTTGCAAAAAAAATAAATATCAAAATTGCCTGATTTCGACACAGAACGCCAACGTTTTGCAAGGTGGTTTCGTGGTCCTTCGAAATTATATTTTTAGGCACGTTTGTGAACAAAAACCTTGAAATATTAAAGAATCGAATTCTAGTCTTCTAAATTTCCACCATTTCAAATTTTAAAAATTTTCGCACGTCACACTGATCCCTCTCTCAAAATAGCCAAAACCTCGTCAACACTGTCACTTTTTTCTTGATTGCAACAACTTTTTTCGTCAAACACAATTTCCCATTCATTGTTTTATTCGGATTCTTCGTCGAATCTCGAGCCCCTTTATCTTCTCAATCCCCCCTAAGCGGGCGAACATTTGAAGCCTTGGGGCAGTAATTGAATCTGCACGTTTGTATGGTTTTCGATGCTCACTTTAAGTTCGTCTCCTTCTGAATGCCACCGTGTCTTTTTTAACCGCGGATTTTCCCGAAGCTTTGCCAACACGCAGAAAAAGTTTCTTTATTCGAAGGCCGTGACATTGCTCTTGACCTTTCGAAAAACATTGTTAAGCTCGTTCTTGTGGAAAATGGGTAAAAACTTAAATTCCAAAAGTTTGGAATATGTTAATGCCCTGCTTTTTCGGGATTTAATGGGCCGCTTCTTGGCCGCATTTAAGTCTGCCAAGCTTTGTTTCAATGTGCACTTGAGTAACTAATTTTAGGTTGCTTTTTCCGTGAATAGTGCATTTTTCATTGTAATTGTATGGCAATATGAAAAGGTATTTCCTTGTCTTATGACGAGCATTGACGCTTATTTGGCGTGATTCATACACAAGATTTACTTGTTAACACTTCATACTCATTTACCAACTTTTTTCTTCTTATTTATGTGTATTTAACAATGTAAGCCATGATGACCAATATCCGAGTATAAAATATCCTTTGAGCCCTAAAGTTGAACTCACAAACCAAAAAAATTGTGTTATGTAAAACTCTTTAGACCATTTAGCACCCTATCTTTAGTTGACTTCTAGGTTCATTTCACCAATCTTGAGTTGACTCATAGGTTCATTTCATAAGCTGAATGAACCTAAAAGTCAACTATAATCTTGAAACATCTCGTGCTTGTTTCACAACCTCATTAAGACATTATTGTTGTTGATTTTGGCTTCGAATGCGCTCTTACACTTCTTCCTTCTTTAAAACCTCATTCGGCTTCGCGTTCGGGTTTATTGGAGGGAACGATGAGAGTTTCGCACCACCAATGTTCCCGTAATGCCGAGAAGTTTGCGACCAGCACATTGATACGTTTTTTCCGTCTCTTTATTACTTTCTTCTTCTTGCTTGGTGTTAAAGTGAGTGTGTCGAGGAATTTCGCCGTGAATTCCCAGCGGGTCTTATGGTTCTTGGCTCGGCGGCAACGAACGTTAATTTCCATACTCGGGTAAATTGAAACCTGAGGGGATTGAGAGTGCGAGGTGAAAGCGCGAGTTTTGCCGCTTAGATTCCTCGATTCTTGTTGCACGTAACTTGAACGTGGATTCGGCCGTTTTCTGGCCATTTGTTTCATAGATGACTCTTGCTTTACGTTTATTATGAAAGAGTAGTTGATATGTTTTCGAGTTATTCTTGTTAGCAAAGAAGTTAAGGTTCAAAAACCCTATTTTCAAATTGCTGAAGTCTCTATCGAATTTAGTCAAGGTAAAACAATGAACATTACCGTTGTTTTATCTTGACTAACTTAGGAATCAAGCTACTTATATTTGTAAAACTACTCTTTCAATCAAATGTAGGTGCTTATCAAACAAGTATAGTTACTTGAACCGGATGCCGATTGTTTTCTGGTTTAGTATTTTCACAAAATTATTTTTCCGAATGTTCGTTATTATTATATTGCATGTAAATAACCATTTACCGTGTGTCAATTCATTTTGCATAGCCTTTTCATTATCAACGCTCCTAAATTATTAACCGCTATTTTTTGCGCCCGTTTTCTTGCACTGAATCCGCTCATTGGGTCCAAACATTACATGTAAATCCTCAAATTTTCTCGCGAATATTAAAATGAAACGCTGTTTCTGACGTTGTAAGCACTGTTATGGCGCTTCTAATTTCTCAGACAGCATCTTTAATGCGCACTATATAATTTGGATACAACGGTTTTCGAATACACTGTAAATCTGTTCGCCGTTTTGTGAGTAATATTGGTTTCTGTACATATTTTATAGACAATAGTGATCATATGGCAGTTTTTAATTAGTGATTATATACCATTTTTATATAAAAATTAATGTGGGAACCAAAACGCAAGCGTGATCTAGTTTATATTAATCTAAACCGCGACTCTATAATCATATTCAGCCAAAGTTACAACTATGAATCAACTTTTAGTAGATTAGAGTCCCATTTATGGACACGTTTCCGGATCCGCTGAATCTTCAGTCGACATCCGGTGAAACAATAACCAGCGTCTACAGCACCGTGTTTGAAGGGCCAGCGACGAGGTCTGATTACGAGACGCTTGACTACACAATTACAAATGGCTCCGAATGTCCGCAGGTATATTTGGCAACATTCGCATTTTTAATCTTGTCATTGTGTCCAAGTTGCAAAACTTCGAGTTTTAGTGTGTTGAAATTTGAAAAATTTTAGTATTTTGATATTTTTGTTTCACGACTTTTGTGGCCATCACTTTCTGAGCTTTGTTATCTTAGTAGTACAAATTAGTACCACAAAGTTAATCTTAATATCACGTTCGAAACATAAAGTTTAATCGCTTTGCCATCTTATAATACCATAATTTACAGCGAGTCTACGTAGAGCGACATGAACTCCCAACGCCACTACTGATATTTATATCTTTGCCCGCAACCGCTATAATTTTACTGACAATCTTCGGTAATCTTCTCGTTCTCTGTTTCAAAGCGCGTGTTGGCCGGACCAATACCACGCTTTTAGTATGGAACCTGGGGTTGACCGACTTTTTGGTCGGAGTTGTGGTGCTTCCAATGGGAGCTGTGTATTTGATCAGTCGTAAATGGGTTTTTGGCCGCGTTTTGTGTCGGATTTGGGTCGCGGCCGATGTGACGTTTTGTACTTGTTCGGTTGTAAGTTTTTCTTGTTTTTGTGGTTTTTTTGTTTTTTATTATAAGTGAATATCTTTCGAATTTTTGTCAAACATTGTAGGTCGCAGTATGAATTTTAACGTTCTTGCCCTTTTTTAAAGTTCTTGCCCTTTTATCTATGCTTTTCAATTACTAATCTTTAATTAGTTAGATAAACTTTTTTAATTATATAGACAATCTATAGAACAAAAAGCCAGGAGACATTCCGTTTATCTGCTTCATTTGGCTTTTATGATGCGACCAAACTCGTATAGTAATTAGTTTTTGAGTATGATGCAGGAAAACTGATAGAAAAACGAACTATAGCCACCAAAGCGTAGAACTCAGAATTATGAATAACAAAAATAGCAATCATTTTTTGGCCTCAAGACAAGCAATACACACTTAGAGCACTAAGAATTCTAGGCTTAGAAAAACTAAGCATTCCAGCCCTATAGACACTGAAAATGCCACTCTCAAACATACTAAACATTCCAAAGATATATAAAAAGTACTATGCGAAAAAATAGAGAACGTTGCTTGCAAGCGGTTTAAAAAAAGTAATTGTTTGTTCAAACATCTTCAGGTTACAATATGTATCATATCAGCAGACCGCTATTTGGCAGTGACACGGCCATTACGCTACAAGAGTCTTGTTACCAAATTCAAAGTCATCGGCATTATGATATCAATATGGACCTTTTCGTCGTTGATATTACTAACGACGGTCAAATGGGAAACGAATAAGTGCGCGGATGAGGTGAGTTGTATTATTCTTTAACAGGATATAATAATAAGTATATCAGTTGTAAAAGCAAATATAATTTTTATTTATGTTTTTTTAAACACAGTACTGTTTTCAATCATTGCATTTCAGTACGTGTGCTACGCTGGAAACGAGATCCGCTACTTGGCGCACAGTGTAGTGTTCGCGTTTTTTATTCCGGCTTCTGTTACTCTAACGCTATATTGGCGAATCTACAAGTTAGCCAGGAACAGACAGAAAGCACTAGACCGTGGCTTCCTAATGATCCTTGGACATAACATGAACTTCTTAACGAATACGCTCAGCCAAAATGTAAGAAAAGTTCATATTGTACACATAAAATCACTCAATATACACTTAACATAATCAATTTGCATTTCACAGTTAGGAAAATAATTTTTATGCTGTTGTAGCATTACTATAGGTCCTTTGGTTTCCTTTAGCGAATTTTCAAATTAAACTTCTTGTATTGTTTTCAAATTATTATGAATAACTGTTTTCAGACCACATTACGGGTACATTTCGGAAACAATAACGGTATGGTTGAGCATCAACGTCGTGTTTTACGAACTCATGAACGTATTGCCAAAACTCTGGGTGTGGTATCTTGTTCATTTTTGTTTTGTTGGTTGCCTTTCTTCTCGTTATACCTCGCAAGCAAGTTTATAATTTATATTATTTATAGATGTCAAAGCTTTTTGTAATTTTGTTGACTGCGAAGGCCTTTGTAACATTAGTTTTTACATTTTTAAACCTTTAAAAATCCAGAAAATCCAAAAAAAGTCATCCAACCCAACCACTACTTTCAGACTATCAATGTAAAGGATGTGTTCCCACAATAGCGATAGACATTGCCTCGTGGTTGGGTTATTGCAACTCCATGATCAATCCTATAATCTACTCTTTTACTGTAAAAGACTTCAAACGATCTGCTTTGAGGTTAATATTACCCATTTGGCAATTTGTGTTCCACTGTTTACCAGTTAAAATTCTACCAAAGCCTCCAGACCGCATAGCTCGAGTATCTCGAAGCGGTCAAAAGGCGAAAAATCGACGAAACTTCGAGCCGAAGAACAGAGTTGGTCGGAATGGAGTTAGCAATGTTTCTAATGGTAGAGCTAAACAACTGATGAGTGAAGCTACTTTCAATAAGACCACGTGAGTTTAACATTGGCTTTGCCTCAAGAACACTAATGATAACAAAACAAACTATGAAGCATTTATTCACTTTGTTACAGTTTAAACCGTATTTTACATAAACTTTAAGTAGTGTCAAGTCTAATGACAAATTTTCGGAGCTAAGAAGCACAGAATTATTTAAACATCCTAATATAAAATGACCTCTCAAATCACAAGTTCTTTTCCAGAATCCCGAGCGAACAAGTCCAAACCATCGACAAAGAAGAACGACGTTCGTCCAACTCTTCCGACAACGACGAACTACTTAACATAGCTTCTGTGGATGACTTCACTGACCCTTCAATCCTCACCGATCCCACCACAACCAACTCCGAGTCGTTTTGCATCGAGAAGAACTTTCGCTGGGCCAAACGCAAACGAAACAGTAGCTGTAAGGAACCGTTGACGATGCCGGTGTCACGTCATCACATGAACACCACACGCTCCACACCAACCAAATTAAGCGAATGGTTGGAGAAGACGCGACGTGCTCGTAAGGCGGAGGAAACGAATGCTCAAAATGGTGGAAATATTAATTCCTGGAATTCGGTCAAGCTCACCGCCCGCATGCGACGACATTGGGCGTTTGGACAAAAGAAGTGCTCGCACAGTATGGAGGCGAACGATGGTGATAGCAAAGGAACGCCTGACATTGAAGATTTGAAAAAGAGTTTGAAAGCAATTGATGGGAAGAGTGAGATTGTGATTGGTCAAAGGTACGATTCTAACAGTACGTTGACGCCGAATACTCCAAAAAGCAACAATATTGAGTATCGTGGGTCTCAGAAAGAAGATCTTAGGGTAAATAACGATCCTACGACTTTTGGAAATCAAGAATCAAGTAACGATCATAAGATCACAAACTTTCCAAATTCTGAAGACCATAGCTCAAGTTCTAACACTCAAAACCTCCAAAATCAAAATTCAATTTTTGAAAACAACTCTAACACATCTTCAAATAGACGTGGAACATTAAACAAGTCCACGTCGATTGATCATTCATATGGCTTAGCAGAGACACCACTGCTTTCGTATCGACCAGTCGAATGTCGTGGAGCGGCCCAAATCATTCGAGGTTCTTTTACACGTAAAATGAAGACTCATACGAGTAACTATGATCAAGAACACGGCTATAATAATGAAAACAGCTATGCTAACAACACACATTACGGAAACAGCTACGATAAGGACAGATACGACCAAGACAATCATGGAAAACTATACAATAATGACCATGCTGGCTACAGAGGCCAAGAATCTGATAACGAAGACTACGTTGAAGACCCTCAAACACCCAAGGCTTCTGACGAAGAGCATCCAGAAGATCCCTGTACTCCCAAGGCTTCGCACTATCGATTGTACAACAACATACGTCGAACTGATTATGCAAACTTTGGCAAGAACGACAACTTAACACCGTTGTTAAATTCAGATGCCGTTAAGGGCAGTGTAGAAAGCGTTAGGATCTACATGCTTACAGAAGAAGAAGACGTGTAATGTAGACAATGTAACATATACTTTGATACTCTTGTACATACATTAACTTGTTGATCTCATTTGAATAAATTACACTTGTTTTGCAATTGTTATTGTAATTATTGTCGAAGTTTTCAACAGAATGGTCTTTATATTATGTTTTATCTTAACTTACTCAACCTAGGTTACTGTAACTCAAAAAAAAATAGCTCAGTAACATTAATATCTTTTAACTTAACCAAACTTCATAGGATAAAAAAATCAAATTCACAGTAACCCTAATTACATTACTTTCAAAAAAATAATACCACAGTAACTCAATTTACAGTACCTCAAAAGATAATACTCTCTCCTCCTAGAGATACTTTTTGAAGCATAAGAACAAGGCAAAACGTCCAAAGCCTGACCTTTAACCCTTACTCAAAAAAAACTCACTCCAAACACTTTTCCGTTGCGATGGCGGTGTGATTTTCCTATTCATTCGTACCGAGATCTCCAACATCAACAACATGCAACCCAACATGACCACCGATTGAATCAATAGCGTGATTTCGAAGCGTTTCCCAAACCAAAACTCGATACGCAGAATGTTGGCGACACATAGTGCTAGGCATACCAACAACGAGAAGCCTAGTGCCGACTTTCGTTTGTAGATCTCGGCGTACTGGAACACGTATGGGATTGCTCCTGAAATGAGTTTGGTGAGGTTGGGAAGGTCATAACTTTGAAAAATATTACAATTTCAATATCTTCGGTACCACAATAAAAAATTTGAAAAAGTTTTAAATTTAAAAAAAAATTGTTTCAAAATCAGATTTTTAAAATTTCATAAATTAGCATAAAAACATTTTTTTCATGTTTACAAAAACTCAAATTAACTTGTTTATGCATTGTCAAAACTTTTCAAATTCAAAACCAGTTTATTTGTTGTTCCACATGACCTTTTTCTCACGTTTGAATCACTTTTTTTACAAAACGGCATGATTAATATGCTAATCTACCATACTTTTTGTACTTTTATTGACAAACCGCTGCTTTTTTATAATTTTTTGCTCGAAAAGTGATTTTTCACAAAAAAAACGACTAATTAAATCATAAAATAAATGAAATCTTGAAAAAAAAGAGAAATTTAGGTAATAAATTATACAAAAAAGCCCGAATATAAATTATGACTTAGAGTATGACTTAAAAGTATTAATAAACCCATCTTTCCCTGCAGCTAGAAAAAGTGCTAGCTCTATCAAAATCTATCCCCTATATACGACAACTTCAACCAAAAATCCACCCCGTATAATCCAATTTCAAAATTACCACACCTAAAATTTCAAAAACAATATCACAAGATGCATAAACAACATAAATCAACATACCTCCAAAAATCATAAATCCCGCCGCCAGACCGGCCAACATTGTGGAGAGGAGCGAATCGAGAGGAATGAGTTGCATGGCATTTTGCTCGATCAACAGCATTTTGTTCGTTCCCACCCACTGTTCGCCTGATTAATCGACTTTATCACGCAATTTGTAGTGATAAAAATGTACTTTTGCTCAATCCGCCGGGCTTCTATTTACATTCTTTGTCTGAAAGTGGCAAAAAACTACTTTAAAACCAAAATGAAATATTTTAAAAAAATAAAATTTTAAATAAATTTAAAAAAGCGGTTGAATTTTCAATATTTTTCAAAAAATATCAAATTTTACACATATAACGTTACCTTTCCCACGAAATTTAAAAATTTAAGAAATTGTAAAGCTTTTTAAAATCTTTTGTCATTTCCTGAAATTAATATACACCTTCACTCCTAATAAACATCACTTATAGACCATTCCTTCTGTTGATTGCATAAGAAACAGCTTGTTTATAACACTTTTCATTCGTTTCTAGGGAGAGAAACGTCTGTTTTTTCAATCAAAAGATAAGAAAAAGTAAACTTTTAATAAACTACAATTAAGCTTTTATTCTTTCACGTCTAATTTCTCTCAATCTTAACCATTTGGAACCGTTTTTGTATGAAATTCAATCAAATTTTAAAATAATTTACTTAAAAAAGGTTTCTTTTCCTCTGATTCATGCTAAACCATCTTAAAATGCTAAAACATCTTTAAATTGTCTAAAAGCTTGTTAAAATTAACAAAACGTCCAAAACAAAATCATTAAACGTTTTATTAGCTTCGAAATAGTGTGATTCATTGATGGAAAGTTGAGAAACACTACACACTACAGTTTATTAGATGATCAAAAGTTTGTTTTCTTGGTAACTAAAAAACTAATACTTGTATACACTTAAAAATTTGCTGAAACGTTCAATTTAGCATCTATAACAATATCCTACAAGCTTTTCTTACTAACCTTCATCTAAAAAACCGAAATTTAAAATTTTTAAAAATTTAGGTAAAAAAAAGTTTGACGTTAACATTTTTTAAATAAAAATTAGTTTTTTTACAAAAATTTAATCCTATTTTCCTTATTCCAACCATTAAAACAGCAAACTCCACTTTTTCATACCTAAAAACAAAAAAAACTAATATCAAAGACTTACATTAATATCCCAAATCCTTGCTGCTGTTTCCAAAACAGCGTTGAAAAAGTGAAAATACTGAAGAGTACTGTGCTTTTATGTTCTTGAAAGTTGATGTTGTAGGTTTATTTTCTGCAAAAACAAAAAGAGTAAAGAGAAATTAGAGGTTTTTGACGCGGAAAGTTTCGAAAAAGTGTTTCAGTGACAAATAATCCGATTTGAGACAGACGCAAATAACAAGGCAATCTCGTAAAACAAAGTCATTTAGTTTTGAGGATGTAAAGAGTATCATTTGTATTGTCAAAAGGTCAAAAAACAGCTGGAAATCTTGTTATTGACCTTTAAAGTACGGAAGAAGGGTATGTCAACAAATAAAAACCACAAAAATTTTTGTAAAAAATATTTTTGACTAGACTGGTAAAAATGAACTTAAACTCTCTTAAATTTAATAATTTTATACGTTCTATTCTTTGCGTAACCCTTTCTGTAATAACGGAAACGTCCCCCAAAACCGGATATTACACTTGAAAAAATAGTTGAAAAAAAGTAAAAAAACGAGAAAATTTCAAAAATCTTTAAAAAACTATTTAAAAATAAACAAATCTATCTATTACCAACAATATTTGCTAAAGATTTAGCTTTTACAACAACAAGAAAACAGACAAGTTCTTTGAAAAACAGCTGCCAACCCTTAAATAATTTATAACTGGACAAAGTTAACACATTAAACATGTTTAATTTAATTTTAAAGGGTTCAATTATTACTTTAACTAAAGCTTTATAAAACCCAGAATTTTCAAAAAAAATTTTCATAAATCTTGACCTTATTGCGGCTATAACAGCCATGTATAATATAGCTTCAAATCTTATAAAAAACAATCTTTTAAGCCAAAATTGTACTTTAATTTTAACCCATTTAAAACAGATGTTAAAATGCGTGAGTACAAGATACTAAGCTGCACGTTAAAAGTATAATATAAAGTAAATTTTGATTTCTCCTACTTTTTCCAAATCAGAAGATAAGAAAAAAAACAGATGTTAAAATGCGTGAGTACAAGATACTAAGCTGCACGTTAAAAGTATAATATAAAGTAAATTTTGATTTCTCCTACTTTTTCCAAAAAATTTTCAAAAGTTTCGCGAATAAAAGGCCAATTTTTGGACAATTATAACTGCAAAAGAGCCAGAATAAACAACTTTGCAGGTGAAATATCAAATTCTCGCCTCGAAGAAGTGTAAAAATAACCAAAGGGTGCTTTCGATATTAGTTGTGGTCATTAATATCGGTTTTGCAGGTAAACAGGGTCAATGATTAGGGTATTCCCAAGAGCTCTTGCAAGAGAATCCAATTTTTGCTATTTTTTGACAATTTTACACAGAAATGAAAGCCAAAAATAGGATGTGGTAAAAGTACTGTAACTTCTCAAAATTTTCAAATTTACGAAATATTTTTTGACAGTTTGGTGACATACAAAGTAATGTAAAACAACAACAAATTTCTAGTTTGTAACTTCTTTTTAAACAAAGTAATGTTCAAAATAAACTATTAAGTTATTCAACTAATTCTGTGCCCCCTATCAAAGCAAATTGTCGGTTTTAAGAAGCACAGAATTATTTGAGCATCCTAATAATAAAAGTTTCTAATTTATAAACTGCTTGTAAACAAAGTTATGTCAAAAATGAACCAAAAAGGTAAAGTAATTTTCCGACAAAAAAGGTGCAGACAATGCTAACTTTTAATCTTCTAAAGCTGTTTTTAACCATACTATATTATTACCATACCTGAACTTTGTATAAGTAGGTTCTACATCTTTTTATAAGACTAAACTTTCAAAAATTATACTATACAATAACTATTTTAGGCTCAAAAATAAGTCTTACATGCACATGTATAGAATAATTTTTGAGCTCATATCCACTATTTTATTCTCTTTAACCACATTAGTACATTGGAAACCTCAGCAAACACAATATACTACACAGTTTTCTACTTTTCCCTCCCAAAAACATAAAATTTCCCAACTTTGTTTTTTGCATTCGATGACACCGAGTCAAACGTCAATAATATTTAAATAAAAAGTTGAGGGATTATGTTTACACAATAAGAGGAGACGTAAGAGCTGGAGGAGTGGTCAATGCAAACTTTTGAAGCAGCGTTTTGAAACGTCGAAATTTGTAAGTCTTTAGTACCTTATTTTTTGAATATCGGTCAAAAAATAAGCAGAAAAAAGTAAAAAAAAAACTAACTTTTTTACCAAAAAGATCCATTTCTAAAAAAATGGAAATATTGAACTTGCATAAAAACCATTCTACCAACTTTTAGACCAAGTACAACATTAAAGTTACGTTTCTTCCCAGTACAACATTAAACTTCCTTTCCCAAACTCGTCCAAAAACCTTATCATAACATTATCAAATTTCCCCTTAAAATTCCGTTTCTTTAATTCCCTCAGGTTTTAAAACCATCAAAATGAACATAAAATTCGAATATTAAACAACTGAACATAGAAATGTAAATCAACTTCTCAATTTGTATTAGATTTCAAGCCGAGAATGACAAAAGACAACTTATGTCATGTCACATAAGTACATTAATACAGAGTAAAGAACTGTTATTATTGTAAGTATAAAAGTCTCTATAAATCTTCCTATGACTCATGTGGACAAAACCACATCTCTGATAGTAGTTATGCCCAAAAGATTGATATTGTAGCCTTCAAAATAAAAGTTTCATATTATTGTTGATAAAGTCAAAAATGCTTAATTCCCCGAGGGCAGAAAACCATTAAGAAAAACATAAAATCCAAATATTTCACGCTTCCATTTCAAAAATAATCTCCTTTTTCAACCAAAACTAATCCCGGAAGCGACAAAATAATAGTAAAATTCAAGTTTAAAAAAATTTAGTTGACTAAAAAAAATTTGACTAGGCCTACCAGAAAAGGGTCCTCAGTGAAATTTTTTTTCGGATTGGAAGAGGTGGATCCACCTTTCTCCTCCGAGCAACCTTCTTAAAATAATATCAGTATTTCTTTAATGATAAACACAATATGTTACCTAAAGCCGTCTTTAATCATAATATTACACATAAAATCGACGGCAAAAGCTTAACATTACACTAAAAAATCATCAAAAATCGTAAAGTGATAACATATAATACCTAAAATACTGGAAAACTGTAAAATGTTTCGTAAAATACTCAAAAACTTTTTAATATTACCTAAAATTCTCAAAAAAAAACAGCAAGTTCAAACCCTCAAAACCTTCAAACTTCTTCCATTTCACAAAGCTGTCTTTGGTTTTTTAGTTAGCCCAAAAAGTTCGTGACCTTATAGAAGCAAACTTTATCCCAAACTTTTTTTCGAAACGAAAAAAAAAACAAAGGAAGCGAATTGAAAAACAAAAAAAACCCTGAGGGTTTCGTCAAAAAATGAATCATTTGGTCTGAAATCGCTTGCAAATACGATCAAACCGTTTTTTACATTAAAGCAGATCTAAATTATGGTTTAGCATTAAAAAGCCTTCTTTTTCTTTACATTATTATACCTTTTTTAATTAAAAACTGTCAAATTTTAGTTAAAAGTGTAAAATCAATAAAAATGTTTTAAAAATCAATAAAATACAAAATATCGATTATTGAAAATGTTAAAATAATTTGAATAACAAGTAAAACAAAAGCCTTGTCTAATTTTCAATTTCGAGAAAAATGACACGGAATTTCGGGCGCTAACTCGGCTCTTTTCGCTTGTGCAGCCTGATAGTGACATGTTATACGATGTAAGGTGTATGACATTTTTGGAAATATGCCTTTGGGAATTGATAGAGTTGAGGTAAAGTTATATAAAGTGTATTTTTTAAATTTTAAATGTTTTAAAATTTTTTAAAAATTAAGTTGGTTATAAATTTAATTTTCAGAAAAAAATTTTTTAAATAAGAAATAATTTATATAAATTCAAATATATTATAGCAGTGATTATAAAAAGATTACAGTTTTTAACATGCTTTGGCAAATGGTTATTTTTTAAAAAATTAAAAATTGTAGTTTATATCTTCATCATCTGATTCAACATGGCTACAAGCTACATTGGAATATTCGGTTGGTCAATGTGTTTTCTATTAGGAATCTTATCAATATTATCATACATGCCGATACTTTCCTCACTTGTTTACGTTCATTCGGTGGAGAATGAAGGATAAGGAGAAGCGATTTTTATTGCCGAAACGGAAAGATGTCGCTTATGGAAGTGTGTCCAGGTAAGGGTATTGGAATGTCGTTTTTGAAATTTGTAGTCAAATTTCGGTTTTTTGAAGTCAAGAATCAGAGGAATCTATAAAAGATAGGAAAATAGTTTTTAGGCTTGGAAGAGCGAATGGGTAATTTAAGTCTAGACAGGGTGACAGGGGTAGAGGTGTCATACTAAAGAGGTTCGACAGTATATATTATGGTAATCGCTTGTCTTTTTTATGACCATTCATTGCACGATACAACCTTTTATACTATTTTTATGTCATTTTATACCTGTTTTGTTATACAAAACAAGAACTATTAATCCCATGAAATAAACATGCCTTTGACAAAGCTTGTACTAAAGAACTACTATTAATTTTTAAATTATAATAGTGCCATTAACTTTTTATAAACTATTTTCAAAATACTTTACTAAACTTTTAATTTTTATTTTAAAAAAAGTTCAAAGTAACTAAAAATGGACGTAGTTTTCTATATCACAGAGAAACGCCATGTGTATCTGGTAAAACAAATGAAGTACAAAATCATGGAGGAATTTGAAAGTTATGGTTATTTTGTTTTATAGTCATAAATAGACAGTAAAGGGCCGCTTTGGTTGGGTCTTAGCCTTCGGTCTTACGTATGCCGGCTCGGTCGGGTCTTATCAAACTTGGTTTGGCGCGACTGGGCCTGGGGCTGAGCCAGATTTCACTTAGTGGATTCCCTTTTCAGGTCTACTGATATCTACTTTAAAAATTTGCATAAAGTAAAGAAATCTACAAGTCTCTTTGTTTGTAAACTAAAATGTTTTAATTTTGTTTTTTTTACCAGACGTTTATCACAATGAGCGACTCAAGATTGCTAGCTAATACTATATTCTTATATACACGAACTAATTTCATAGTCTTATATACAGCAAGTTGAGTACAATTGTAAAGTGTAAAGTCTTTTATTTTTAGCGAAACCGGCTCCACCACTTCGTATGACAATGTCCCAGGGCCTGAAAAAACACTGGGATTGGTGAGTTTTTAAGATTTTTTAATTTATCTTATACCAGCGACGTCACTATTGATCTTTATTTTTTCTGGGGAAGGGTAGTGAATGTACCTTTCGATCACCTTTGCCTAGCGACATTCCTGCTCATAAACTATTAAATGTTAAAAAAGATGATAGATAAAAATTTTAGTTGTCCTTCTGTCAACCGTTTGATTACATTTTACTGACAATTGGTGTAATAGCTTCTGTGATTCATGGAGCTGGGTTTCCTTTACTTTCGATCTTACTTGGAGGAATGACTACTGTGTTTTTGAGAGCTCAAAACTCGGCTTTTGTGGCTGGTCAAGATGTTAAACAAGCTTCACTGCCTCCGATTTCACAGTAAGTTCTAAAGATTCGAATTTTAAAACTAAATTTGTAAAATTAAAAAATTTTGTAGTTCCGTTGATTATAGCAAGATTCAATATTACAACTTTTTTAAAAAATCATGAGTTTTTTTAACAATACCACAATTTCTATAAATTTTGTTTTTAGGGACGAGTTCAATGATAATGTAGTAGAATACACTATCTACTACCTTATTTTAGGTGTAGCTATGTTTGTCACCTCGTATGTTCAGGTAATATCTTTATAAGTTGCATTTTTACTTTTAGGCTTATGTTCTTTCTAATTTAAAAAATTTTAATTTTTAAAATACGAGAGCCAAAAAAGTTTTTTCATTAAAGTTTACGGTTCTTTAACGTATAAAAACGACAATACTTTCTTGTCGGTTTAATTTTTAAACAATACGTTTACAATAAGTCAGTTCAAACTTGAGGACGTAGAAGAGTGCTATGTTATGAGAAAACCATCAAAAAACTATTTTACTATATTGTTTTAGGTATCGAACTCTAAAATTCTTCCTTTTTAGATAGCTTGCTTTGAAGTCTTTGCCGAACGATTGGTTCAAGCTCTACGACAAAACTATTTGAAATCAGTGTTACGGCAAGAAATAGCGTGGTTTGATACTACTCAAACTGGCAGTTTGACTACAAGACTCAATGAGTACGTACTATAATATATGTTTTTGGAGCAAATATTGCTCTGCGGTGAATATGACTTTACTATTCATATAAAATTATCTTTGACAAAACATGACTGTTGATAAAAATCACTTTCAGTGATCTAGAACGAGTCCGAGAAGGTATCGGAGACAAAGCCTCACTCTTCATTCAAATGATCTCCGCCTTCTTCGCCGGCTTCATTGTCGGCTTCATCTACAACTGGCAAATGGCTCTAGTCATGTGTGCATTCACACCACTGTTAGCATTTACAAACTCATGGATGGGCAAGTTTACAGCCAGCCGGGTGCACATGGAACAGGAAAAGTATGCAATTGCTGGAAGTATCGCTGAAGAAGCGTTCGGATCAATGAGAACGGTACTCGCCTTTAATGGACAGTACAGGGAGTTGGATCGGTAAGGTTGTTTTGGTTTAAAATAGGTTTGTGAGAGGAGTTTGGCTTAAAATTATTTTTTAAATTAGGGATGACACATTTTTTGGACGGATGACTTATTTCCTAAAATTTCGATATTTTTTTGTAATCATGGTAAAAAATGAAAAATCATTTTAAAATTTTTTATATTAGAGATGACATAATTTATAGAAGGATGACATTTTTTTATAGAATTTTGGAAAAATAATAATGTTGAAGATAATGAAATTTAAAATTTGAAAATGTAGGTCAAAATTAATGTTTCAGCTACGAAAAAGCCCTAGAAGACGGCCGAAAGACTGGCCTAGTCAAGTACATGTACATGGGCCTCGGCTTCTCAATCACCTTCTTGATCATGTACCTCTCCTATGGTGTGGCCTTTTGGTTCGGTTCTCTTTTAATCGTATGGGATCCGACCTTTGATCGTGGTACTATATTTACTGTATTCTTCGCTGTTATGACTGGATCTACATCATTGGGTGCGGCTCTACCTCATCTTACCGCAATATCAATGGGTAGGGGTGCTGGACGATACGTGTTGGGTGTGATCAATAATGTACCTTATATTGATCCGTATTCGAAGAGAGGAGCTGTTATTAGGAAGCCTAAAGGGGCTATTGAGTTTAGTGGAGTGCACTTCTTTTATCCATTGCGCCCGGATATTAAGGTAGGTGTAGGTAAAAAGAAGTCAATGTAGAGTAAGGTAGATTAATTTAAAATAGAGTTAGGTAGGGTAAATTAGGGTGAGTAGGGTAAAGTAGAGTAGATTTTTTTATTTTTCAAATGATTTTAGATTCTGAATGGAGTCAGCTTCAAAGTAGAGCCAGGTCAAAAAGTAGCGTTAGTCGGAGCCTCAGGCTGTGGAAAGTCCACTTGTCTTAACCTGGCTCTCCGCTTCTACGATCCAATCCAAGGCACAATCACCATGGACGGTTACGACCTTCGAGAACTGAATGTAGCCAAACTTCGTGACCTAATAGGTGTAGTTAGTCAAGAACCAGTACTATTCGATGGTACTCTCGAGGAAAACATACTATTGGGTAATGACAAGGCAACACGAGAAGATGTCATTCATTGTTGTAAAATGGCAAATGCTTTTGATTTTATTCAGAAGTTGCCTGAGGGCATGTACACAAGAGTTGGTGAGAGGGGTGTTCAGTTGAGTGGTGGACAAAAGCAGAGAATTGCCATAGCCAGGGCGTTGATCAAGAACCCGAGGGTCTTGTTGCTGGATGAAGCCACGTCGGCTTTGGATACGGAATCTGAAGCTATTGTGCAGGTAATGTGAAGACTTAAATCATTTTGAGCTTGCTCTCAAAGCAAATTCTTGAAGTTAAAGGGCACAGAACTAATTGAATAACCAAATATTAATCTTTTCAACTCTTTTTTCTTGCTATATCTACATTAATATTACAGAGATCACTAGAGAAAGCTCAAGAAAGTAGAACAACTTTGATCGTCGCGCATCGCTTATCCACGATCAAGAATGTGGACAAGATTTACGTGTTCAAAGATGGCAATATTGTGGAAGAAGGCACTCATGCTGATCTGATTGAAGCGAAAGGACTATTTTATGAAATGGTACAGTTTCAACAAATCAATCAAGATGAGGAACGACAAAAACTGGGAGCTATTAGAGGTGAGTCTTATTCATTGTTACATCTTTTCGTAATTTTATGCAAAACTTAAGTTTTGTTATGTTATAGTAGGGTTTTGACCAGCTTAAAGTTCTTCTGGGTTTTTGAGCCAGGCCAAAGAAGAGGGAAACATGGTGTTTTACTCTTCAAAGGTCATTCCAATGCATAGAATTGAGAAATAGGTTAACAAATTTATAATAAAGTCTTCAGAACATTCAAACGAAAGTGATGCGAGTCCATCAGAACGTTCCTCTCGTCCTACTATTATGCGACAGCTCAGTCGAAAATCCAGTTCAGCTCAAAGTCCCAAAAAGAAAGTTTCCGCTTCGTCAGCTGTTTCTCGGTCAAGTACGGCTACGATTTATGATCTACAGAAGGATTGTGAGGTATGGAATTTAAACATAATAGTTATACTGAGGTTTAGTAACAAGTAAGAAAGAATAGTACTATACTAGGGCTCGGCGTGGATTAGCACTTACCATAATAATCCTTTTTCCATCGTACCTAACTTAACATCAAGCTGCAATAGATAAAAGAATTTTTTTAAAATTTTTAAACTTCAATGACATTTTTACGCATTTCAGGAGCGAAGGCTGACACCAACACCCATTTCCAAAATCATGAGGATGAACAAAGACAAATTTGGCTGGCTAGCACTAGGATTGACCGGATGTTGTGTTAGTGGCCTCGTTATGCCATTCTTTGCCTTGGTTTACTCACAAATATTTTCTGCAAGTTTTTCTTTGTCTTTTTATTATGCATTGATATTATTTTCATCAATGTATTGATAGTGTTTTCTAGTTTTATTTATTAATATTTTGATATTTCGTCGCGGAACGTCGATCAATTGTTGCAACCCGCTGTAGATAAAAGATATAATTTTATTTTTGATATTTTCCTTTTCATTTTGTTGTCAAAGATATTATATTAAGTTTAATCTCTGTGATTAATTTGATTTTACTCTAATAAACGATATTGTTTTAGGTGTTCAGCGAGCCAGTAGATCAACTTCAGAAAGATGCTTTATTTTGGGCTTCAATGTTCGTCGCCATTGGAGTTTTGAATGGATTGGGCTTCTTTACCTCTGTGAGTACTAATAGGACCATAACTACTTATTTTACTGGTTTTTGAATATATTTTATGGGCTTTACTTCATTAAGCTCACTTTTCAAAAATACCCAAATTTCTTGACTAATTTTTTAAATTTCACAATTTCAGGCCAACTGTCTAGGTCAATGTGGTGAAGCATTGACCAAAAAGCTCCGTTATGAAGCGTTTAAGAACTTGATGCGACAAGACATTGGATTCTACGACGACAAGCGACATAATACAGGCAAATTGGCGACTCGCTTCTCGACTGATGCACCTAATGTAAGATATGTTTTCACGAGATTACCTGTGTTATTCTCGTCGATTGTGACACTGATTGGAGCCATTGTGATTGGATTTATCTATGGATGGAAACTGGCATTGATTTTGCTTGCTATTGTGCCTTTGATTCTGGCTAGCGGGTATTTTGAATTGCAAATGAAGGTAAGATTTTTGTTTTTGATCGGTAGGAGGAAGTAAACTAAAGAGAGGTTAAGGTAATGTTCTGTAGGGCAAGGTAAGGTAGAGTAGGGAAGGCAGTGTAGAATAAAGTAAGGTAGAGAAGGCTAGGGTAGGGTATGATAAGAAATGGCAGAATAATGTAGGGTAGAGTTGATTGGGGTTGGCTATGTTAAGGTATAGAATGTAGTGTTTTATTCTGGTAGTTCTAACTTTAAACTGACATTTTTTTAGTTTGGAAAGCAAATGAGAGACACGGAGCTACTGGAAGAAGCTGGCAAAATTGCGTCGGAAGCCGTGGAGAACATACGAACTGTGGCTGGCCTAAACAAACAGCTGATATTTCACTACAAGTATATGCTACATCTGGTCGAGCCTTATTAGTAAGACTTTTAGCTATTAATTCAGCTAAAAATTGTCTTATTGTGCATTGGAAATGAGGATTTTGAAAAATTTCAATTTTAATACCTAAATATTGTTCCATATTAAAAAATTCAATTACAGCACGAACGTGCGACAAGCCCACGTGTACGGTGGAGTATTTGCCTTCAGTCAAAGCATCATGTTCTTCATGTATGCCATCGCGTTCTACCTCGGCTCGGTGTTCGTGAATGATCGTAGTATGGAGCCAGTGGCAGTTTACAAAGTCTTCTTTGCCATCGCATTCTGTGGCCAATCTGTGGGCCAAATCAGCTCGTTCATACCTGATATTGTGAAAGCAAGGCTGGCAGCATCCTTACTCTTTCATCTTATTGAATTCCCAACTGCCATTGACTCGCTGGACCCTAAGGGGAAGAAGATTGTAAGGTTTGGAGATGGAGAATCTTGGGCGGGGTATTTTTTATTGGGGAGGAATGAAATTTAAAAAAAAAAATTGTTGAACTCTTGTTCTAACCTGAATTACTCTACCTTGTTTTAGATTAAAAATTAAAAAATGAAAATTTCAGTTGATGAAAGGCAGTGTTGTACTGAAAAACGTGGACTTTGCTTACCCAACTCGGCCACAAAATCGGGTTCTGAAGTCTTTGAATGTTCAAGTAGAGGAAGGGAAGTCGCTGGCTTTGGTCGGACAATCAGGGTGTGGTAAATCGACTATCATGTCGCTTCTTGAAAGGTTTTATCTGCCAAAACGGGGCTCTATTGTAAGTTTTCTGTAGAACAAGAACTTTTTATAGCCTCAAGGAAAACCAGCGTAGACCTAAGCTTGTACTTTTAAAAATGTTTAAGAAACTAAACTTTCGCCTGAAATTCTATAAACTTTCAGACCATAGACGGAATGTCAATTGACGAGTTAAATATTCACAATCTCCGTGATCAAGTCTGTATCGTAAGCCAAGAACCAACTCTGTTCGACTGCTCTATCAAGGACAACATCACCTACGGAATGCGGAAACCAGTCACGATGGACGCGATTCACAAAGCCTGCGAATTGGCCAACATCCACGACTTCATCATGTCTCTACCTCAACGATACGACACTCGGGTGGGCGAGCGTGGCACACAGTTGAGTGGCGGCCAAAAACAACGAATTGCCATAGCGAGGGCGGTGATCCGCGACCCTGCCGTCCTGCTCCTCGACGAAGCCACATCGGCATTGGATTCGGAATCAGAACGAGTGGTACAAGATGCACTGGAAAAGGTGCGCAAAGGTCGTACCTGTATTGTGATAGCACATCGCTTATCGACCGTTCAGAACGCCGACCAAATCGCCGTGGTGAGAGAGGGAAAAGTGGTGGAAAAAGGCACTCATTTTGAACTCTTGAATCGACCAGACGGAGCTTATCGACAGCTTTGTGCTACGCAAATCTTGAACGATGAAGCTGTGAATCAATGAGCTTTTTGTAAAAATTTTGTTGAAATGAAATTTTTAAAGTGATAGCGTTTTGTTGCACTTTTGTGTTATGATTTTGTAAAATAAAACTTTAAAATTGAAACTGAACTATCATAACCAGTTTTTTCTCCGGTCCGGTTCGGCGTTTGGGTTCGGTCCAAAATTCAAATTTTTGGGTCCGGTCCGCAAAAAAAATTTTTTTTATTTTTAAAAAAGCAAGCGCTAAAACTTCTTTTTTTGCTTAAAAGCTCTTAAAAATATATTTTATTTGCAAATTTTAAAACAGTTTCGTTAAAATTAAAAAAAAAAATTTTTGGACCGATCCGGAGCTTTTTCTTCGGTCCGGGTCCGCAGGTTTTTGAGTAAAATTTTTGTTTTGGTCCGGTCCGACAAAATACTGATTATAACATAAATCTTTTTATGGTATTAAAACTTGTAATGACCGGTTGACAAAGTTTAAAATAAATTTAAATATGTATTTGTTATCTACACCAGCCACTTCCATTTGTCGGACAGGGCAACCTTCTTTTCTTTCCCCTAAAAGCTACCCCTAAACCCCCTACCGTACCCCACCGTACCCTACCATACCCTACCGTACCCATCGTACCGTACCCCACCCTACCGTACCCCACCCTACCCTAACCCCCCCCTCTACACCCTACCTTAACCCAGCCCTACTCTGTACCACCTTGGCCTGAGCTCTCAGTTTGATCGGCATGAAAAGCCGACCAAACTGAGAGCCCAGCGCCAAAATGGTACATTTTGGGCTGGTCCGCGCCGCTACTGTTCCAAAAACAATATTGGGAATCCGGTCATGCCATCACTGCCAAACCCTTTCTACTCATCCGACACAGACGGTGTATTAAGCTGCTTTCTGAAGGCAGCGCCAAGGACACCTTTGCCGAGATCAAGACATGGGTTTTGGAGGTATAGGCAGACCAGAGACACAATTTGTTTTTGGAACACGCCCCACCCGCTCCCGCGCTTAGCGACTTCAAAAATCTTGCCAAAATCTATACTTTCGGTCGTTTTTCTTTGAGATACAGAGTTTTTGGAACAGTGTATATTACTCAATCATCGTAGGTCTATCGTTTTTGAGCAAAAAAAATTTTTTTGGGGCAAAAAATTAAAAAATTTCCGGCGAAAAATATTTTTTTTGAAAAAGATGAAAAATTTTTCTTGGTACGAAAAATAGTGATAGACCCACGCCGACCTTATTCTAGACTAAAGCAATTTTTCTGGTTCCCTACTCCCCCCCCTCCCCCCCCAGTAATTACGCGTTTACTGCGTCAGTGTAACATAATCAAGTAAAAACTTAAATACAAAAATTAAATAATTTTTAAAATAATTTAAAAACAACTTAAAAAAAATAAAAAAAGTAATTTAAAACAATAAAATAAATTTTAAAAAAATTTAAAAAATAATTTAATTTAAAAAAGCAAAAGAAAATAAAAAAATTAATTTTAAAAATTAAAAATAACCTAAAAAACATAAATAAATAAACTAAAACATCTTTTAAATTAAAAAAAAAATAATTTAAAACTAATAAAAAAATTAAAACAAAATTTAAAAAAATTAAATAAAAACTAAAAAAATTTAAAAAATTTAAAAAAATAATTTAAAACTAATAAAAATAAATTTCAAGAAAAAAATTTAAATAAATTTTAAAAAAAAATTTTAAATCTAAAAAAAAAATAAATTACCCCTTTCCTTTTATTCTCTCCCCCCACCTCCCCAAAAACCCAAATTAGTCACCGTACCCTAGTAACTATTTAATAAAAAATGAAGTATTTTACAGAGTATTTGTGTGTATAGTTAAGCGTTGTTTTACTAAGCCTATAGCGTTGTTTTACTAAGCCTATTGCGTTGTTTTTATTGCGTACTTAAGCGTTACATTACAATATATGTGCTGTATAGGCTTACCTTTAGTGCACATATAGGCCTAAGCAGATAAAAAACTTGTGTGTGTTGCGTAATTTTTCGCACTTATTATGTATATGTCTCGTGGTATAGATAACAATTACATACATTCGTATAAAAAATTATCGCAGGCTGCAGTTGTTCTTTTCTGCTTTTTGCGAAGTGCGGCCGCGTTTACGAAAGCGTTTTTTTCTTTTATTTTTTTGTGCGTGTCGCAGGGAAGTTTTACTCTACTGATTTGGTTTATGCGTGGTAGGGTGGGATATTGAAGTTATAATGCTTTTAGTTACTTTTTCGTAATTTGTTTTGGGTATTTTATTGCTTATTTGATCGGAAACGCGTTGGCCTAAGGTTTTGAACTGAAAATTTCTTTGTTTTGAACTAAAAAATAAACCTTTTCAGTTATTGTTTGTTCGATTGTCAAGTTATATTCATTAATTCGATGTGAAAAGCATGTCTACGATTCACTACAAGTTTCATTCTTGTGTGACCTACACAACGATTACTTTCGACGATCTTCATGTGCGTGTGAACGAGCTGAAGCAGAAAATCTACGAGAAGGAGAACTTGTCTCAAGATCAGTTTGATTTGACCGTGGAGAATGCACATACGAAGCGAGTCTACAATGATGAACATATTGTGCCTAGGAATTCGTCGGTTATTGTGAGGAGATGCCCAAAGGAGAATACGAAGGCACCAAAGGTTCAGTAAGTTATTTACCTTGTTTTTCTTGAAATTTAGGTAAAGAAGGTGATGAATCTTGTTTGTAAGTTTGAGTGGGGTATTATAGTAGCTATATATATTTGTTTTGAGTAAAAATATTTGAAAATTGGCAGTTTTAAGTTATTTTTTGAGCTGTTATTACATCTTTTAGGTGTCTTTTGTTTGTTTTACGTTTTATTGATTGATTTTTGTTACCCTTTAGATATTTTTGGTAATTTCGAGGGTTTTTTGTTCTCTTGAATATTTCTTTAGTTAAACTTGACGTATTTGTTATTTAATTTTCTCATAATGTTCTATTTTCAGTGATCAAAGTACATCAGGCATCGTCGGAAAGAATAACGTACAAACAGCGCCAGATCTTAGTTTCATTGACTCTGTAAGTGACAATCATTTTCTTTTGTTATTTTAGGTATTATTTGTTAAAATTTATTGATTTCTTATATAGTTTTGCATTTTATTACTTATTTTACCTTCTAATGCAAAAAACAAACTTATTTGATAATTTTTAGATTGATTTTTCGAAATTGACCGAACAGGAACGTCTCGCTCACATCAAGAAGGTCTCTGCCGAAAAATATACACAACAAAAGTAAGTTTGTCTTATAAGGTGATGTAGATGCGAAGGAAATTGATATACATTTGTGTCAAAAACTTTAGTTAAATTTGTTTTTTATAAATAAGATATTACAATTTGATATTTGTTTCTGTTTTACATATAATCCTTCATTTTTCAGCTTTCGACGAACCACCAATTCCTCCGCCTTCTCGGAGCCTCCGCCGCCCAGCTACGTGTGCAATCGATGCAGTCGGACCGGCCACTGGTACAGGGAATGCCCATTGGTAACAATTTCAGTCATATTCAACGCGATTCCAACCTTTATACGCTCATTCTTTCTTACTTGACGTCGGATTTTGTTTTGGATGCTAATTGACCGGTTGATAAGGTTTTTGGTTCGAAAAAGGCGTTGTGAGGAGTTCATGTTTGATTACCTTGTGTTCTCAAACTGAACTTGATCTCTGTCAATGAAAATTGGCAGTTCAATGCTTTAAAACCACAGAAGTTTGACATTACACTGTCTGAAAGCTACTGTAATGTCAATTTTTATTGAGGCCTTATCGACCGGTCGACACGTTGAAAAACGCCCGACAAGAAAGAATGCGCGACAAGTCGAAACAGCTCTGTGACGTGAATACACCTCGGTTAATAAATGGTTTTATAATATTCACCTTTTACAGCGACTGCTTTACGTGTGTTTCAGGTGTCGCGAGACGTGCCAGACTTGTTATACGGGTGTGAAACATGCTACAGCATGATGTTTAACGTGTTTTAGATAGATTTTACCTTTTTTGATAGATTTGTTGCACTTTTTAGCGACAACTGGAGTTTTTTTTGGGCTTGTTGGGGTTGAGTAGAGAACACAGTGTTGGGTTGTGGTTATTGTTGAGAACATAGTGTTGTTGAGGAGGGTTGTTGTTTTTTAGAAATAAAAAGTGCAGCTATTTTCCATTGCACAGGAAAAAAACGAAATTTTTTTGGAGATGGCAAAAAGGGTATATTTACGAAATTTTTTAAGGTTGTTATGCTTGATATTTACTTTTACGTACTTTTTTGCATGTTGTATGAGTTTCAAATATGTTTTTTTACTTTTAGTGTTTTTATTGTGCGAAAATGGGTTTTATTAAAAATTATGGCACATTTAGGTAACATTTAACCTAAAATCTGGTCTTTTTTGTATTTTTTTGAATTTTTGAGATTAAAATTTTTTTCTAGCAAAATTTTTAAAAATTCTAATTTTACAGTTAACTAATTTAATAGTTTTTATTTTTTTTCTAAAAAAGGTGATTATAACGGGCAAAATATTACCCTAATCTCTTTTAAAGCTTCTATCCTCTGACTTACAGTCTGAGATAAAATTTACATTTTCGAATTTTTAAAACATAGGAAAAACTGTTTTTAAACTGATATTTGAAATTTTTTAAAAATAATATTTTTATTACAAAGAACAAAACAAAACCGACCCTTCCTGGCTGTTCGAATTCTGCCAGTATCGACAACTTATTTCAGGTGAATATAAAGCGAACCACCGGCATACCAATGGAAGAGTTGGTCGAAACAACTGCTGACGATCCGCACGCTATGCTCCATCCGACCGGTAAATTCATGGTGCAAAAGATGCACATTAATGCACGTCTGACGTCGAAAGTGAAGCATCCGCTCGGAGTGTCAATGTCGCCGAATCAGGAGAGTGGACAGTCGCCGCGAGTGGAGGAGGATCCAATCCCCGAGGAACTGCAATGTCCAATGTGCAAAGAGTTGCTTAAGGTACGGGTGTTATTGGGTTGAAGGTTTGTTATGGGGGAGGGGAGGGTGAAAATTTTATTTGGAGGAGGGGGGAAGGCAATAAATTTTATTTTTGGCTGAAGAGGGTAGACGTCAAAGTTTTTTATTTTTTGAATATCCTTCACATTCTCGCATTTCAGGAAGCCGTGCTAACGATTTGTTGTGGCCAAAGCTTCTGCATGGCTTGCATGATGCAGGTGATCATGTCTGACAACCCCCGGTGCCCAGGTCAAGACTGCGCGGAACGAGAGATCACGAACAATTCGATTGTGGAAAACAAACAGCTTCGTCGTGCCGTGGAGAAATACCGCCTCACGAAAGCACAACCTGTCCAAAAACCGGTGAATTTTGACTCAGTAACGGGTATCGTGCCACTGCCTCAAACCATGTCACAGGAAGTGAGCGTGGAGGAAACGGTGGAATCGGTAAGGAATTTTGTGAGGGTATATTGGTGTAGGGTGGAAGGGAAGGGTAACATAAGCTATTTTTTGATTTTTAGGTAACAAATTTGGATAAAACATAAGGATAGGGTAAAGATACAGTGTGAATTTTAAATATTTTGGTTAGTAATGATATAATGTTTCAGAAACGTGTCTACAATACAAACAAAGCCGCGGCAACACCGCCTGAAACTAATGGAAGTTCTATAAATGCCATTTCCAATAATCTTGGTGAGTTTTCAACGATTTTTGTTGAAATATGCTGAAAGTTTGAACTTTTTTATCATTCTTCTGTCTCACTTTTCTTTCTTATTCCACTACTTTCTTAACGACGCCCTAGGTGAAGGGGGAGGGCTAGGGTTAGACACAGGACAGGGCGCGAACTGAAATACCCGGTATCGAGCAAGGCACGGAAAATCGTCTATGTCTCATCTTTTGTCAAAGCTTGGGGAGGGAGCATTTGTGTTTTTAAATATTATACTAAGAAGCGCTTTTTAAGTACCATAAAGTACTACTGTAGAATCTTGTGATGAATCCATTCTTTTGATTTTTAAATGAATTAAGGCTAGCTTAACTGTTTAGTCTCGTTTCAGCTTCAACTAACCTATCTTCACAGAACAAGCTGCCAACCGTTGATCTCACCAAGTATTTGGCGTCAACTCCGGCACAGAGTCAATCGTAAGTTATAGTGTATAAAGAGGTGTTTAGTTTTGAAATTTTTAAATAAAAATTTTATTGTTTTTTTATATTTGGGTAATACTTTTAATAGTTTTTTGTTTTAGGTAACAATTTTATTATTTTGGGTTTTTAAGTAACAAATTTAGTATTTTTGGGTTGTAGGTAACTATTTTATTGTTTTTGGGCTTTTAGGTAACAAATTTAGTTTTTTTGGGTTTTTAGGTAACAAGTTTCTTATTTTTCGATTTTTAGGTAACAAGTTTGTTATGTTTGGGTTTTTAAGTAACAAATTTAGTATTTTTGGATTTTTAGGTAATAAATTTATTATGTTTGGGTTGTCGGGTAACGTTTATTATGTTTGGGTTTTTAAGTAATAAATTTAGTATTTTTGGGTTTTTAGGTAATAAATTTATTGTTAGGTAACATTTATTATGTTTGGGTTTTTAGGTAACAAATTTTGTATTTTTGGGTTTTTAGGCAATAAATTTATTATTTTTGGATTGTTAGGTAACATTTATTATGTTTGGATTGTTAGGTAACGTTTATTATGTTTGGGTTTTTAGGTAACAAATGTAGTATTTTTTGGGTTTTTAGGTAACAAATTTGTTATTTTTTGCTTAAAATTTTAAATTGGAGAACTTAAATTTGGGTCGATTTTAATGCGTTCACCTATTTACTTTGTAGACAGCCCGTGAACAATGCGAGTGCATCGGTACCGAATGTCACTAAACCTAAAGAAACAGCAACAAAGCCAAATTTGGACGACACTGCACCACCCGGTACCTTCGAAGAATCGAATGGCACCATTAAGAAGGCGCAGAAGAACGAGGAAGCCGAGCTGAAGAGCCTGTGGGAGACGTTGTTGCAACGAGATGAGGTGATTTTATAACGAGATGATTTTTGATGGATTATAGGGACTGGCATGAAGTTTTTTTGATTTTTAGGGCCGGCATGAAGTGCTGGCATGAAGTTTTAAGCTTGGAGGGGTGATAGATGGATTTATTGGGATGTTTTTGAAGTTTGAAAGGCATTTTTTGTTGTTTGTGGTCAAAAAGTTTGTAGAAAAGTGAAAAAGATTTGGAAAATTATGACCAGCCCTGTTAAGAAAGGTTCATATTAGGCTATTTTTAGACCTTAAATCATATCAAAAGCCTTATATTAACCATACGTAAAGATAAGAAAGTATAAATACTTATATATCAGTTATTAATCTTTTGTTTCAGCCATCCCTAGGCCTAGAGAAAGCAAAAACAGCTCGAAACGGAAGAGAACGAAAAGAAACTTCATCGTCGAACTCATCAGAAAAGGTGAAGAAACGAACTCCATCCCCGGATTCAGAAGCCAAAAATGCAGCATTGTTGTCATTACTTGGCGGTAACGATGATAAAAAGAGCAGTTTAAGTGCTTTAAGTGCTCTGGACGGATTGAGAGTGATTGATCCTGTTACAGGTAAGGATTTTGTGGATCTTGGGGATGGTTATGGGGTTTTAGAGTTAGTAATGGCAAAAGTTGAAAGTTTAATAAGTTTTTTTTGATTTTTAGCTTAAGGGAAGGAAAACATTTTGAAGTTTTTTAAAAAAGTAATGAGTTTTCATTATATTTCTGAAGTTTATTAAAGAAAATTTCCATAAATTCAAAATCTTTAGGTAAACCAATCCTGTCGAACGCTTCAAAAACCCCAAAGAAGCGGTCATCGTCTCGCAGGAAGAGCAAGGATGACAGAGATCGCAAAAGACACAAGGAAGACAAAGAGTACAAGAAGAATAAGGAAGACAGAGATCGCAAGAGGAGCAAGGAGGATAGAGAACACAGGAGGAAAAAGGATGATAGAGATCATAAGAGGGACAAGGAAGACAGAGATGAGAAGATGAACAAGGAAGATAGAGATGAGGAGACCATCAAGGAAGACAGGGATGGCCAGAGGAACATGGAAGACAGAGATGAGGAGGTGAACAAAGAAGACAGAGATCAGAAGAGGAACAAAGACGACAGGGATGAGGAGAGGAACAAAGAAGGCAGGGATGAGGAGGTGAACAAAGAAGACAGAGATCAGAAGAGGAACAAAGACGACAGGGATGAGGAGAGGAACAAAGAAGGCAGGGATGACGAGATGAACGAGGAAGACAGGTATGAGGAGACGATCAAGGAAGACAGAGACGTGGAGAATATGGAAATAGACCTAGATGACGAGAACATGGAAGAGGAAGAACATAAGGAAATAAAGGAAGATAAGGAACATAAGAAAATAAAAGAGGAAAAAGAGCATAAAAAGAACAAAGAAGAGAAAGAGCACAAGAGGAATAAAGAGGTGAAGAAGAGCAAAGAAGAGAGAGAGGAGAAGGATCGCAAGAAGAGCAAGGACAGAGAGGAGAAAGAACACAAGAAGAGCAAAGAAGACAGAGAAAACAAGAAGAAGAGGAAGCGAGAGAAAGAGGAAAAGTCAGAATCCCACAAAAGGAAACGCTCCAAGTCGGGCTCAGATGACGAAGAAGTGGTCAAAAAGAAGAAGAAGAAGCATAAGAAGAAGGACCGATAACTCGACCAGATATTTATTTGTTGTGATTTCGAAGAGTTATAAATAAAGTTATTAATAATATAGACTTTGGGTAATGTGATTTTAATTGTAAAGGGTTGTTGAGCTATTTGTGTGGTTAAAAAGAATTTAAAACGTCAAGATTTGGCTATGATTATATAGACAACCCCTGATTTTTTGATGCAAATGTGTTTTAAAATTCTGTTGAACATGATGAAGTCGACATAAAAGTTTAGCATGAAGATTTACCTTTCGTTTACATCCAAGTTTCACTATGTTTTTGGGTTTTGACAGAGCCAAACCTTTAACCAAAGATAACATTGTTCTTGCTTATCGTAAATTTCAAAAATTTTTATTAGGGTCTTGTCATTAGACTTAAAAGAGAACCACTAACTTCATTAAGTAAAATTCTCTACAATAGACATAAAAAGAGGCCTACTGGGCTTGCCCCCGAGCCGGGATGGTCGGGCTGAAGCAAGTTTGAAAGAGACTGAGCTGGCACATATAGATTCGAAGACCGCAGCCCAAACCAAGATCTGAAGAGCCCAGCTCAGGTCTTGCAAAGAAAAATTTGGCTTGCAAAAAGAGCAAAACGAATATGATTTTAAAGCTAGCTCAAAGCGAATTTGAAGTTAGTCAAGCCAGGCATGCACGTTCCAGGCTCGATCCGGCTCCTTTCTTGGGTCCTAAGGTCGGGGGCATAAACCAAAACCTGGCCTTGCCTGTTTATATGTAGTTCTAATGATTATAATTTACAGTACTCTCTCTTTATAAGCAACCCGAAGGGACCGACATTTTGTGTTTACTATAGAGGGTGCTGCCGTTACAGAGTAAGTTTTAGTGCAAACTGACTTGGCGGAGCCAAAATCCTTGTTGACTATAAAGAGAGTTGCTTATACAGATGGTTCACTGTATAGAGAGGCTACTGCATCATCGGTTTTTCTTGATTATGAATTATCAATCCAAAATAATGAAGACTTGACAATGCAAAGTATAGACATCATTACTGTTCAGTAAAATGCTTTTACTGTGTAAAGGCGAAGTTAAAAATTTGCTGTGTTAATAATTAGAACGGTGACAGATTGTTCCAGCAGTCAATGGCTGCTTTTAGCCGAATTTTGATGGATGACAAAGCGAAATTCATGGTTTTTACGATTTTCAGATGATTTAAGATCAGTAGCTTTTGTACTTTTATATTGATAACCTTCAAATTTCATTTTTAGCATTCCAATTTTTACTTTTTCAAAATTTTTTTAAAATTTAAAATTTTTAAAAAATTGAATTTTTTTCGCAAAACCGCGCAAAAACTTAGTTGACACCTGTGCCATGCCGTCAGATGTTTTGCAATAATCATTTAATAACTTTTATTCTCTTCTCTCGCCGCGCCGATGCGACCTTGACTGATTTTGTGTTAGTTTTAAAGTGACACAGCTCTTTTTATCCCCTCCAAGTTTTGGTTAAAACTGTTTTAGGTGTCTTGGCGGATCATTACTGTTAGCTGTTTTTTAATTCATTTTTTCTTGAAGTTTAATCCAAAGAGCACTATTAGTAGGGAGGGTCGGTGGTGGAGGAAAAAACGGTTTTTTGACTTTAGGAAGGTCAGAAATTGTCGGGTAGAGTAGGATATTAACTCTACTCTTTACAATAGACTTTACTGAACGAAGTTTAACAATTAGGTATGCTATATTGAATAGAAGTAGCTTTTTGTTGTTACCAATGATTTATGTGTTTATTTTTTAGAATTTTATCACGAAATTTCATCGGCGAAAGGCTAAAGCAGTAGTTTTCAGGCTTTTGTTACAGATAACACAGCGAGACTTCTGTATAAAGAATTGCTCGGTGGTCCTAAAGCTGTTTATTATAAAGGAGTTTCGTTATAAAGGAGTTTTAAAATCACTGTGTAGTGGTAGACCAGGATTCGAAAGTTGTTTGTTATACGGGATTTTTGTTATAGAGGAGTTCGTTATACAGGAGTTCCACTGTAATTTCCATTTGTTTTGTACCGCGAAAACTTATTTTATGCTTATTTTTTAATGGTTGATAATAAAAAAACAGTAGACTTTCATGCTTTGCAACATTTAACTATTTATTTTTTATTTATCTAAAATACTACTTTATAAAAAAATTTACATTTTGACTGTTTTTCAGAGAGAATTTTATTGATGTTATAAAATACGATCGAACGATACTTCAACGATAACTATTTTTTCCTAGAAGCCTCTAGTCAGTTCAGTTTTTCCTGGATTTAAAATGAAGAACTTTATTATTTTATTAGCAATTCCTTCAGTAATATCACGGTTTGTGTGTGAATTCGACTCTACTTCATCTCAAACTGACGTGTAAGTATATCATTTGGTTTGGGTAAGATTGGGTATACATAAGTATTACCCGTTAAGGCAGTAATTTAAAATTCTTTTTAGTTTTTAGAATTGATTTTGTATTTTAGAATTGTAAATTCAAAAAAATGTTCAAAAATGGAGTTTCAATTGATGTTTCCAAAGTTTGAACCGATTCGATTTATCCATCATATCAAGGACTCACAGTGCACACCTGATCGAGATCTGATGTAAGACATTGAAAAGTTTTGTAGTTTTTAGTTTATAAAGATTACTTGCTTGTTATACTTAGTATTATCACTTTTCAGAACATACGTTGACTTTAATGGATGTATGGTTGCAAACACTCATACATTAAATACGGCTACTACAAGAAGGTTGGAGGTAATGAAACAAGGTAATGCTTTACATTATTTTGGTTTATATTATATATAGGGTAAGGTAGGGTAGGACAGCTCAGGTTAGGACATTACAAGCTAGGAAAGAAAGGTAAGGGTAGGGTAGGGTATAGTAGAGTAGGGTAGGGTAGACATGAGAAAAGGCCCGGCCCGGGCCTGCAATCGGTCCGGGCCGGCCTTGAGCAAAATTTAGATCGGGCCGGGCCTTGGAAAGTCGGGCCGGGCCTGGAAAAAAAATTTCTAAATTTTTAAAAATTTTTAATTTTAATTTCCGTTTATGTTTTTAGATTTTATTGGGTTCTATGATCCATAAATGATCTAAAAAAACAATTTAAAGCCAATTTTCCGTTTAGTTTTTAAGTTTCAAAATTTTTAAAATTTTTTAAAACGGGCCGGGTTTGAAAATTGGGCCCGGCCCGGCCCGTTTCTCATGTCTAGGGTAGGGTAGGGTAGGGTATTGTAGGGTAGGGTAGGGTAGGGTAGGGTTGGGTAGGGTAGGGTAGGATAAGGCTCACTTTCTTCTTCCTTATACAAAGTATCTTATTGTTACCTAAAATTCTGTTTCAGGCGGATCTCAGGATGACATAGCATCAACAATGTACAATAAAGAAGATGTCGAGTTTTCGGTGAACAAAACTTCAATTCACATTAGTAATGGGCATGAAAGTTTGTTACCTAAACATTGTAATGGAGTATTTAAACTGAACAAAGGATCTCAAATTGTAGTACCTGTTACCATTGAATTCAGCGACTCGAGTTGCGAGGTTGAACTTGAGTTTGTAAGTTACTTTTGAAAAATAAAAAAAAGAACTTTTAACAAAAAATTTTAATCTACCTTATCCTATCATACTCTACACTTTAATGTTTCAAAATTCAATTTTCACTTATTTTAGCTAAACGGAATTCCTCGCAGTCCAGAGAAACGTCGCTTTACCGTACCCGAGAAAGTACTTACCGTATCCTCAGATGACACTCCGGAAAGGCTTGATAACAGAAAGATTCAAGCGTTGGATTCAGCACACTTCTCACGCTACGACGATGAAACTATTTTTGTTAATACTCGCAACGATCCTAACAGTTACTGGCGTCTGTTTGCTGCTATGGCCGCTTCAATGGTGTTTATGCTGGTTGGCATCGGGTATTTTATCGTCACCAAGTTCAAACCTACTATTATTGGGCGGTTGAAGGTAAGGAGGGTTTTTAGATGTAGTTATAACTTAAAAAATTAAATTGAAAAATTTTTTATTTACGGTAATGTAAAAAATATCATTTTGTTGAGTAGGGTGGAGCAAAGGGTTGAATCGAATCTGGAGTATGAAGCTGGGGGGGGGGAGGGCTTTTGAATAATAGTTAAGATATGTTCTATTGAGATTAAGAGCGACGACAGGATAGAGGCCAGAGCAGAGTCTTGGGCGTGGATTTTTTTAGAATTTAGGGTAGAGTCGTGGGTAGTCGTAGGATAGCGGTTTGAGTAGAGACTTCTAGAAAGGTTAGGGTAGGGACTACAGTAGAAGCTCGTGTTTAGTTTAGTTAACGTTTTGGTAGGGTAGTGTAAAGTAAGGTGAAAGAAGTACGGTAGATTAAGTTAGGCTAATATAAGGTACGGTAAAGTAGAATAAGATATGGTATGGTAAAGTTGGGAAGAGTAGGGCAAGGCAAGGCAAGGCAAGGCAAGGCAGGGCAGGGCAAGGCAGGGCAGGTCAGGGCAAGGCAAGGCAAGGCGAGGCAAGGCAAGGCAAGGCAAGGCAAGGCAAGGCAAGGCAAGGCAAGGCAAGGCAAGGCAAGGCAAGGCAAGCGTACGATAAGATAAACTAGTAACTTCAATTTTTTAGATAACTACGGCAGGGGTAAATGAAAAAAAAAAATTTTTTTTTTAGCCAAACACAATGTCATTCTCCAATCCCAATATTGAACTGAGCAACCAGCCAGGACAAGGGCCAGATGCTGAACCAAATTCAAATCAAGTCATTTTTTCTTCGGGCGGTGTGATATTTAAAAACCATGACAATCCGACTGAAAATCTAAATCATGGTGCCAATAATACTGGTTTCACAAATCGTATCTACGAACAGTCATTGTAATCAGATATACGTACAGTAGTTTTACGGTTATTGTACGGTTTATGCTCAAAGATCTAGCGGGTTTTAACTTTACTGTATATTTTTAAATTTAATTTATTTTCCTATGTTGTATTACAGTATTTTTTACTATACTTATTGATATTGATATGTAAAGAGCCATATAATAAATATTTATTTTTAGTAAGGATTTTTGTAAAACAATATTATTGACTATTTAAATAAGCTCTGAAGATATATGTAGTTATCGATATGTTAAAGTAGGTATAAATTTCAATAAGTAAACACAAATTTTTTTGACAGTTGATATTGATAAGTAGCCTTTAGACGTTTTAAAAATGTTCGTTGGTAGAGTAGTTTGGCCGTGGTCAAAGCTTTAGTTTACATTGATCATCTAGACAGGTCTGACTTAAAATTTCTGTAAATTTAGATGCTGACGGTACGGTAAAACTTGGTATGTTCTTTAGTATTCTCTGAAATTATTAAAAGTGTTAGAACAAGTTAGGGTTGGATAGGTTAGAGTAGGGTAGGGTAGGGTAGGGTAGGGTAGGGTATGGTAGGGTAGGGTAGGGTAGGGTAGGGTAGGGTAGGGTAGGGTAGGGTAGGTTAAAGTAGGGTAAATGTGAAAAAATACTGGGTTTCTACTTACCACAAAGCTTTCATCTTCAATAACATCAATTGGTATGGCATGGGTCTTGAACAGTTTGAGCAAGTCTTGTTCTATCTTTTGTTGCAAAGAGATTGGTTTAGTTTTGGTTTGTATTGAAATGTCATATGTTTTGGTTTTTGGAGTACAACTAATGGTTACAGCTTCATGTTCTTTTGTAGCACTTATGGGTGGTTTTACTTCATTTTCGGCAACAGCTAGACACTTTCTTAAATTAGGATCATACTTAAGATGTACTAGTAAGTGTTGAAAGTGTCTTTCGATTTTTAAATATAAAAAAAAATAAAATTTGTTTTTTTAAAATTTAGTTATTTTGGTTTAATAAAGGCCTACCAAGTTCATCAAGGCTATTTTTCCTTTTCTTCCTCGTATTTTGCATCGAAGCCAAAGTTTTTGCGGTTTCCGGATGAGAACGTTGAAGGTGCCTAAAGGCGTTTGAACATTTGGTCGAGCGAATATTCTTCTGACACAATATACACTTCCCTTCATTTATGAAAAACCATACAACTGAACGGCGTGGAGGCATTCTGTAAAATACCCTTTTAAAAATTACATTTTTTTTTAAATTGAAGTTTAGGTAAAAGTAAAGGTAAAACAAGGCTGGCAGCTTGTAAGGTGAATCAGTTTAGCGCTAAAACCAGACAGAGCTGCGGGTCGAGCCAAGCCTATTTTTCAAAGGTTTTCAGGCTCCTCTGACAAGCTTCTAAACCCACCCAGGTACGAAGAGGTTTGGCTTTGAATTAAGACTAGGGCAAGAACGTAACCTAAAGCTAGGGCTCTGGGCTAGGGCTCTGGGCTAGGGCTCTGGGCTAGGGCTCTGGGCTAGGGCTCTGGGCTAGGGCTCTGGGCTAGGGCTCTGGGCTAGGGCTCTGGGCTAGGGCTCTGGGCTAGGGCTCTGGGCTAGGGCTAAAGCTAAATTATTTTTTTTTCAGCCATATACAACAAAAATTAAAGTCAGAAGCTAAAGACGAGAGAAAACACGTCTTTAATAACATAGTAGAGCGCCTTGAAGATGTGTCAAATACCGCACGGATTAAATTGGCACTCACATGTCCGGAGGCAATTTGGCTGGAATGCCAGTTGTTTGAAAAACCTCCGGACTTGTGTTCGTTTTTTCGCGACCACAACATGCCTTAGGCCAAAAAGCATCCGCTTCACGGCATTTCGGAAGAGATTAATGCCTCCGGCATCGAATAAGTGTGGCACACCTTTAATAAGGAAGTGTGGTGAATCAAAAACGACACTCTATAGTGCAAAGTAGTGCAAAATAATATGATAAAATATAGTTTAAAAATATCAGCGTTTAACATAGCATTATTGATAGAATAAAGCTACGGTAAATCTATTATAAATACTGAAGCAAATGTTACAGTAAAAATCATATAACGTTCTTTTATGAGTGTTAAAGTTAAGACAAAACAAGGTAGCATTTTACATTATTTTTATTTATATATTTAAGAGAAGAGTGAGGTAGAGCAGGTTAGGGTAAAATTAAGGTAGGCAAAGAACAGTGGGATAAAGGTAATAATTAGAGTGATGAGAGTATAACATCGGCTATAGTAAGAATTAGATTGAAATATAAGATATAAAAAACTTTAAGGATTTCAATAGGGTTTACGTATAGATTAGAATACTGGTTACCGCACTGATGTTCACAATAAGATAATATAGAAAGGAAAAGGAAGATAGAGTATGATCAGAGCTTGCAATATAAGGTCCGCTAAGTCTTTTAGCAAAATTATTGTAATAATCGAAACAGACGTTATTATAAATTAGAAGGTAGAGGTAAAAAACAGACCGTATAGGCTTGACTCGATCTTGAGAAGCGACCGGTCTGACTGAAAAGTTCAGCATTAGGGCCAGGCTTAAAAAGTGGGCCAATCCGGCTTGTTCTTCACTCTTAGATAAGGAAAAGATGTTTTGTAGAGTTTATGAAACAAGTCCCTTAAGAGTTATAGTATGAGTATTGTAACGATTACTGTATGTAGGGAAAGAGTTAACAGTTTGAGTACAGTGAATGGTTTAGGGTAATGAAAAAGATAAGGCAAGAAATAAAAATGAATAAAATTTTTAGTTTGTATATTTATTTAAATTCAACTAATAATAAAAAATTGAAGTTTTTAAAGCACATTGATAGTTTTTATGTCATTAAAAAACTGAACAAAACACACAGGAAAACTCCTATACACCAAACTATTCTGTATCAAAAACCCATCATAACAAACCAGTTTTAAATAACACATCAATTCGTTATATAGAGGTTTTACTGCATTTACATAATGTTAGAAACTGTACATAAAGCATTTTTTCAAAAACGATGTTTTTGTATTTTTTAAATTTTTTAAATTTGTAATGGTATTTTTTGTATATTATTGTTGTTGTGACTAATCACCGTGTTGCCGTCAGTGTTTATCCCCTCCAATATAAGGTTGTTTTCGGGAATCGAATGAAAAAGGCATGTCGGCCGAAGAGATAGTGGTTAATGAAGAGAGAGCCGTGCCGCGGCCCTTAAAAGGCAGGAAAAAAGCGGCCGTTGGAAACGTGGAAGAAAGCCCCCAAAAACAACCAGAATCCGACCGCTTTTTCGCATTCAGAATCCGCTATATCGCCGCGTGGCTCTACTCAATATAATTATATTGTTCTTGAGGTCAGGCCAACAGGGCTTACTGAGTTTTGTTTCATTTGGAAAAAGTTGGGTTGGGTATTGAGTACGGGTGTTTTTTTTGGGTAGAGGAAGGGGTGTTTATTGAGCAAAATAAGGGGGTTTTTTCTTTACGAATAGAAGGGATGTTAAATAGAAAATGAGGGGTGTTTCTTGACGAAGCGGGGGGGGCTGTTCGTTGGGAAAGAATAGGAATGTCCAAAGAGAAGAGGGGCGTACTAAAAACAATAAAAACCTTATTAAATTGTAGATCTGATACTATTTAATACCAATAGCAAAAAATTTGTAATTTTTTTAAGTTTTGTACTAATTAGTACCATTGGCTTCTGAAAGAAAAAATGTTTTTGATTTAAAACTTTGATACTATCTAGCACCGTTTAGTACCTGAAACATGAAGAATTTTTAATTTTAAAAAATAGTTTTATTCAGTATTATTTAGTACAATATCCTTACTCAAGTCAAAGTACTATTGAGTACGTTTCTCAATCAATTCAAAGTACTATTTAGTATGAGCTTCTCTCAACTCAAATTAATACGTACTAAAGACGCTGTTTACAAAAATTTTAAACTTTCAGCTTGGGCAACTTGACATTTGTCAAAAAGTCATCATCAAGACCGGATGGAACGACTGTTGACCAATATCGAAAAAGCTTCAGATTCGAAAAATGTTCCTAGACTTGTCGAGGCTGTTTATGTGGCTAAAGGTGGGTAGTAAACTTAAAATTGAAAAAATAGTATGGTTTAGGTTATACAGGTTCATTTCTTACTGATTTTAACCTGAAAATGGCGTTTTATACCTAAAATTGAGGTTTTTCTACCCTTTTTGTAACAAAAAACTTGTTAAAAATGCCATTTTTAAATGAAAATTATAGTTTTTTAGTCGAATTATTAGCTGTTTTAGTGATATATGTTACTACAACGTATTTCTATTATTAGATATAGCCAACTTTTAACTTATCATAACTTTCTCACCACTTTATTACACCCCCTCCTTTCAGAATCCCTAAAGATCCCAGCAGTACCAATTCCAGAAAAACGAAAAAAATGTTTTGTAATCTTCGACTCAGTTTTAAATTCAAACAAACAAAAGCTGGTTCCATTGGCCATCGAAGGTCTACAGTTTCTGCTACGTGACGCTACATTAATATCAGAATCGGCTACGAAACGACCAGAAGATTCGTTATGTTCTCAGATGCTACGATGCTTCAAACAACTACCTAATTGGGACAAACAGTTTCAGTGCCAGATATTAACTGTGGGTTTGTAGTATTGAATCATTTGTTGGGTTAGGTGGCTCAAAATTATTTGAACAGCTTATATTTTACTATACCTGAATAATTTGAATTTTTTCTAAATTTAAATTTAAAAACTAATATTATTTTTGATAAAGTAACAATAACAGACTAAAATTTTCATTTTAAAACCAATTTCGCCCTTTTTCAGATCCTAGTCCAGCTGATATCGTTGAACGAAGTTGTGGTCAACCTAAATGATGTTCACGAAGCGTTACAAGTAGGAAATTTGATTCATATTTTAATTATCCAACCCAAAAAACAAAAAACATGTTCATTTCGTCTTGTTTTTGTAATTTGGCCGCTTGAAATGACATTCGGATAAAATGGGTTGCGCAGGTCGCAGTTGAACTGCGCCCAAATTTAGTCTTCTTATTTTTGTTTCTTGAAGCTGAAAAGGGATAAAAGTATGTAGTTAAATTAGGATGAAATTGTTGTTATGAGGCGTTTCTTAGCCTTATTTTTTCAAATTTTGAATTTTAAAAAAATTTTAAGTTTTAATTTTGACTGATATTATACTATACATTATAGATATGCTCTCAAACCTTTGCCAGCGAGGAAACCAGTGTCCGGCTAGCCGTGAGAGCCGCCATCACCCAGATGTTGAACTCATTTTGTTCGAATCGACATCAAAAAGTGTTTCGACAAGCTTCAATCGACTCGGAAGCGGGCCAAACCAATCATAATCAAGATGAAATTGCCATTTTCATGGAGATGCAGGCGTTGTTATCTAAAGTTCACGAGAAACTAGCTGCCGCACAGACTGCCGAAGACTTGCAATTGGCATTGGACACGATTTACAGTATTTTAAGTGCTCAACCGGGGAATTGCTGCAAGTATATGCCTTTGTACAATGTTCTAAGGTATGGACGGATGTTTTAGCCGTTTTTGGGGGAAGGGGGAGGTTTTTTGGAGGGATAATGGAGGTGAAGATTGAGAAAAAGATAAGGTTTTAGGTTTTTGAAAAATGTTTTAAAAAAATTGAGGAAACAGGGTCATTTATACAAAAAGGAATGGCAAAATGCCCAAAAATGATTTGATAAAGTAGTGTTACTTTAAAGTTTTTTTTCACAGTTAAAGAGCTGCGGATGGTAGTAGTGTTATATATCAAAAGATAGACAAGAATGAGGTTTAGTTTTTAAAAATATTTTTAATTTTTAAAATTTTTGTTTTTGCGCCATATTTTTCGATTTAAATTTAGATTTTTTATGAGATTTGACCATGTTTTTTCTGGAAAAATTATATAGGATATTTCTCAACTTTAATTATATAGGATATTTCTCAACTTTAAAAAAAAATTATTTCAGGTGATATCAGGTTGTTCAAATAATTCTGTGCCTCTATTTTAATTTTTTTTTGGCACAGATTGATTTGAACATTCTAATATAATATAAAGGTGTTTAAAAGTTCTTATTGTTTTTAACTGTTTTCACATAATAAAAAAATTAAAAAATACTTGTAATCCTTTAAATTTATTGAAAAAAATAAAATTTTTAACTTTTTTCAGTACCGAACTAGTGCCTTCAATGCTGTGTCTTTTACATTCGGCCGATGAAAAGCCGGCTCCTTCCAAATCGTTGCTCAGCCGAACTCCAACGACTCCGTCAAGCCTCAGTGTCTTCAATTCGCCAGAGTTAGCCAGGTCTTTTTATCAGTGAGTTTTTTTTATCTGAAAAGTTTTTTAGAAAAGTAGTGTTTTTGGTAGGTTAAGGTAGGTTATGTGGGTTTATATTGAGGTAAGGAAGGCTTAAAGGTAAGGTAGGCCAGGGTAGCGTAAAGTAGGTTAGGGTGGGTTAGGTGTAGGGTATGGTAATTTAGGGTAAGATAGATTACAGTAAAGTACTGCATAGTACAATATCGTGCAGTATATTATAACAGAGTAGATCAGGGTAAGATAGGGTAGAATACAGTACAGGAAGTAAAGTAAAGTAGTTACAGTGCATGTCAATGCAATATACGACAGTACAGTATATTACAGTACAGTAGAATAAATTATTATATACAGTGTAGCACAGTACAGTTAAGTAGGGCAGGATAGGGTAAGCTGTGGTAGATTCAAGCAAGTTATATACCTTTATTTTGAACACAAAACCCATTAAAAACCTTACTTTAGAGTAGTAGAACAACTGATCCGCCTCTTAAGCCGAGCAGCAGAAGCTGAACCAATGGTGCTCGAACTTCTTCGCACTGCCATTGTTTTTCCATCAGTACCCAAAAGAGGCGAAGCTTTGAAATTACTAAAGCGACTGTTTTCTACTTCCGCTAGATTCTTGGAATTCCTGGATTTATGTGCTAAAGAACCACAGTTTTGGCCGCTGATATTGAGCTGTTTGGAGGAATGTGTGAAGCAGGGCTTGATGGAGACGGCTATTGATGCTGTTAAGGCTACTGGGGCTTTGGTAGGGGCTTTTTTGTTTTTATTTTGGTAGGGAGTGGGGGGGGGAATATGGCTATGTTAAGTTAGGTTTTGGGCTAGGTTATGGCAGAAAGGATATTAGAGTAGGGTTGGATAATGTAGTGTAAGTTATGGTGAAATAGTTTAGGGTATGCTATATTTAGTGAAAGTTTATGCAGCTTACTGTAGGATATACACCGAAAAAGTAGTTACGGTAGAGTAAGATAGGGTATTTTAGAGTCGGGTAGGGTAAGATATGGTAGTGTAGAGAAGCTAATGTTGAGTTTGATAACTAAAGGGATTGTTATCATGGTTTTGTGGAAGGGCAGGGTATGGTAGAAGTGATAATGATGTAGTATTTAGGGTTGTAGTCAGATAGGGAAGAAAAGTGCAACAGAAGGGGTAAAATACGATTACGTTGGGGATATGGTAGGATTAACGCAAGGTGGGGTAGGGTATAAAAGGGGAGGATAGGATTGGGTGGAGTGGGGTAGAGTAGGGTAGGGTAGATAATGGTAGGGTAGGGTAGTGTAGAGTAGGGTACAGCAGAGTAGAGTTGAGTAGGGTAGGGTATGATTTGCTATGTATATTACTTTATAAATGTTTTATCATTTCCAGTTTACCGGCCTAAACTCCCAACTCTCTCCCTCCCTAATGGATCAACACAATAGTTTAGTCTTCGAAATCCTCAAAACCGCTAGTAATGCCAAAGGGCATGGTCGTGTTGGCGCAGGAATGATCCAAATCTCAAGGCAAAGGAAGAAGGAGAGATTAAACGAAGAATCTGCCAAGATATTTGTAGTAAAATTGAAGGAAAATGTGAAAACATGGAGTGAAATAGACGTGGCCGAGGATGTGGACAAGAAGATCATGGTGTTTTCTTACTGTATTTCTAATGGTGAGACTTTTATTATTGGTATTTTAGGGTTTTTGGTTAGGCAGGCTAGAATAAAGCTAAGTCAGACGGATTTTTAAAAAAAGTTTTGGATTTCGGTTTTAGCCATGGCTCATAATTAAATACTTTCAGAACTATCAAACCTAGAGCCAGAAGACGGTGAAAGTCCAGTATTTGTTAACACTGATACTGCGTATCTTACAGTATACGCGGCTTTATCATTTGGTCTACGGTTGAAGACTTCTGAACCTGATAAAGTAGGTTATGGGCAAGTTGTGTTATGATAAATTTAGCTTAATTTTGGTTAGGCTAGGCTTATCTATTTAAAAGGACAAGTTTAGTTGGTTTAGGCTAATAAGGTTAGGTTTCGTTAGCTTTGGCTTGGTAGTCGTTATTATGTTTAATAGGTTTAGGTTTAGTAGACTTAACTCTAGTAGGCATATGCTCAGTAGGTTTAGTTTTAGTAGGCTTAGGCTTAACAGTCTTAAGATTAGAAGTCTTTGGCTGAGTAAGGTTAGGTTAAGGGAACTCAGGCTTCGTAAGCGTTGATTTAGTAGGCTTAGATTCAGAAGGGTTTGGCTTCGTAGGCTTAGTAAGGTTAGGTTGAGGGTACGTAGGCTTGGTAAGCTGAGATTAGATTTAGTAGGTTTAAACTTAGCAAGCTTAGACGTTCTAGACTTTGGTTTAGTAGGTTTAGGCTTGGTAAGAGTAGGCCTAGTAGCCTTGGCCTTGGAAGACTTAAGTTTTTTAGTTTTAAGCTTAGTATGCTTAGGCTTAATAAGCTTGGTCTTAGCGTTAGTAACTTATTCTTAGCAGGCTTAAACGTATTCTTTGTATTCTTATGTTTAGTAACGGAGAATCAGTAAAAGTAAGTTTATGTTAGACTTAGAAACTATTACGTTGTACTTTAACTTTATTTTTTTAAGTTTTCTGTTTCAGTCCCTCTTCTTCAACCAAGTAAATCAATCTGGCTGCTTAATATACGCAAAAGATCAATGGTTTCAATCGATTTTTGATTTTATTTTGGATGTAGAGCTATTTGAAGAGGTGGAATCACCAGAGAACACAGTATTAGGGCAATTACTAGATGATTACGATGGTTACAGTGGTAGAAAAATGTCATATCTCTGTGAAGAAAAGGTGGTTAAGGATTTGAAGTACGATTACTGTAAGTTTTTACTGTGTCTTATACTAATTTGCTCTACCTTAACCTAAACAACTCTATTTTTACCTACTTTATCTTATTCTAACCTACTTTGCTTTAGAATACCCTGCTTTTTGAATGCTTTTATAACAATGTTTTAGTCAAGCAATGGCTTCGGGACCTTTTCGCGGCCAGTTGGAGCACTGTACTTTACTTATTGACCAAGTTTTCTCTAAGTCTGGACCGAAAGAACTTGGCAGACAAGATTCAAATCGAAGCCACTGAAGCCACGTTCGAAGCCACCGTATCCTTGATGCATTTGTTGATGAAACTCGAGCTGTCATCCGAGATCATATGGGTCTTTGAGCGGATCGGCGAAGAGATTTGCCTCCTCGAGGAGCTGCGCGACTTCATCTACCAGAATGTTGGCCTAGAGACCAAGAAACCGTGGAGAATCAATCGAATTGACGCCCTTTGTATGGGTATTCTCATCGATCACTCGATCGATGTGGGCGTGCTGTCAGCTCAGTCCTTGAAGTATACAGTACGAGTGATTGAGTACATTGTGGAATTGGAAAGGTATTCATTTAGACTGACTAAGACAGCCAATACGAATTATGATGCGAATGAAACTTCTTTGAATGGACTGTTGGCCAAAGTCTCACAGAATGAATTGCCATTGGCTACGGTGGGAAGGGTGCTGGATGAGTTGATGCTCAAAATTGACACGTAAGTTTGAAAAGTTGTTTTAGAACAGATCGCCTACCCTAACCAACTCTACTTGTCTGATTGATCGTAATGTTTTCTTTTCAGATTCCTTGACACAGCATCGAAGAATCTGAATCTTCACGCACTGTGCCATCTCCTGAAGTTTCTCTGCACAGCCGATGAGGACAATCTTCGAAATATTGAAATAAAACCGACCAAAAATGCAATCGATGTTATCATCTCGAGCTGTGCCTTACCCCGAATCTCCAGAATCGTCACGGCTTCAATTCACGGTCGACCTCAAAGCCATCTGATGCGAATCTGGGGCACGGTGAAAGAACATTTGGTTGAAGCGGCGTCTTCAAAGTACCCGGTCGAGATTAATCGGCTGGCACTAACTGCCATTTATGATATAGTACGAAGCATGTTGAGTACAGAACCGGCTGGTTCGACGTTTTCAAAGTGTTTGTTCAATGCCTACCTTGATATCGTGTGCTTTAATGTTTGTAACGAGGAGACTCAAGAGCATGTCGTATCTAATTTGGCTAGCTTTATCGAGGACACGCCCAATCAGCTGGGCAGTGGATGGAAACCGCTGTTTGGAGCGTTGAAGGCTATCAGAATATCACCGGCCAAAGAGATTACGGGTAGGGGAATGTTTTGTTTGATCTGTGAAGAGGTAGGGTAGAGTAGAGTGTGATAGGGTAAGGTAGGGTAGGGTGGGGTAGCGTAGGGTAGGATAGTTAATGCATTGACCTCAAATTTCAGGTGAAGACGAAGTGGTATATTCTCCATTAACAGCTGCTAATTATGCCGTGTTGGATGTGTTCAAGAAGTATATGGAGATAACAGATGTATCTATAGTACTACCGACTGCCATGGAGTTTATTCATTGTATGGTAAATTATCTGCAATCGACTGATGGATTGGATAAGTGTAAGATAAGATTTTAAAAGGCTTTTTGTTAGTATATTATATAACAAGTGACATTTTTAATATTAAAGTAGACTAAGAGTACTATTTTTGGTACTGAAAGATGCAAAACAGTACTATTTTCAGTATGAAAGTGTATTAAAAGTACTATTTTTTGTATGAAAGTGTACTAAAGGTAATGTTTTCATTAGTGAATGTTGTAAAGAGTACTATTTTTGATACTGAAAGGTACAAACTAGTACTATTTTTGTAGCATGCCAGCGGACTAAAAGCAACATTTTCGGTTTTGAAAGATGCTAAAAAGTACTATTTATATTTAGTATGCAAGGGGACTAAAAGTACCATTTTTAGAACTGAAAGAATTAAAGAGTACTAGTTTTAGTACTAGTGTTTTAAAAAAGTACTATTTATAGTATTAAAGTGTACTAAAACTGCTTTTTCAGCATCAAGATATACAAACAGTACTAATTTCTATATCTTTATTAGTACCAAAGTATCTAAAGAGTACCTTTTTCAGTACCACAAGACCCAGAAGCAGCGCCATCGAAAGAAAGTCAACGGGATACTGCCATTTGTACTACTGTCTTCTCTTTCATACCTACATTCCAACAAAGATTGATCAGCTACTTTAGTAATGAAGATACGATTGTAGTACCATCTCTGCTGACTCGACTAGAACATCGTGAGCATGCTGTAGAGTATCTGGATCAAACGTTGATGGATGATAAGCTGGAAGAACTTACTGATTTGGCTAATTATCTAAATGAAGATCAAACTTTTGGGGTGGATCCTTCGAAGTTGAGCTACAAAATTGCACGTAAGGGAAGGGTATTATGGGGCTTGTAAAGAAAGTTCTCGCCATGTTATGGTTTGTTAAGAAAGTTCTTACCATTTTATGTATTGTAAAGAAAGTTCTTGCCATTTTATGGTTTGTTAAGAATGTTCTTACCATTTTATGTCTTGTAAAGAAAGTTCTTGCCATTTTATGGTTTGTAAACAAAGTTCTTGCATTTTTTTGGAAAGGAAGTTATTGCGATTTTAGGAAAAGAAGTGTCATTACCGTGGAAGGAGTGGACTGATTCACAAAAATGTGTAGCCGAAGTCTTGCTAGGCTTCATTGATGAACTTTGTGGACTATTACTGACTTGTTCAAGACAAACATTATCAACTTTACTGGTTCAAACAACTGATTTTATCAATACTATCACTGGCTCTGAGCTGGGTAGGTCAATACAGGTCATACTGCCACCTTTCATAGACTTTTTGTGGTCTTTAGGGGTTGGTTTTGATTTTTTTCGGGTAGTAAATGCTATGTTATCTTAAAATATTGATTTTTTGTCATTTTAGGTATCAATTTTGCTATAATCCAACTGTGTATTACGGTAATACCGGCGCTACAAAAGTGGTCACGGAGAGAAACAGACGGATTTGTACCCTCGAGTCAAATATCTGTTAGCTCAAGAAATTTCAAACAAGCTGCCACTTTTGTCACTGATCTGGTGGGACAGGTTATTAGGTAATAATGGTTGAATGTGTTACTTAAACTTGTGTTTTAAATTTTTTTTTGGCTTTGCTTTATCTTGACTACCCTACCATACCTTAAGCTGTTCTACTATACTTTAATTTACCCTACCCTACCCTCTTTTGCCCTACTTCACCCTTCCCTACCCTACTTGACCCTACTCTCTCTACTGAACCCTAATTTTACCCAACCTATCCTACCATACTACACTATTTTACCATACCATATGCTTCTTTGCTCTACATTGCCCTACTCTTAGTTCTACTTTTTACTCTTACCATTACCGTTACCTTGTATTATTCTATCCTCATTTCAGTAAAGACTCCTCAAATCCGTCGGCCGAAGCTCTAACCTACGATATTTTTTCATTTTTCAACGAACTACTCTCTCACCCTTCGCCTTTCATTGCTGGTACTGGTAGTGCTTGCTTTCGACATTTGGTCAATTCATACGGCGCAGAATTTAGTGAACAGATCTGGGAGTTGGTCTGTTCGTTCTTATGGAAAGGCGTGTAAGTTAAGGGCGCAAGTTGCTGAAAAATAGAAAAATCGGCTGCAGGCTGCGAAAGGCTTTGCCATAGGGCGTGAATTGCCAAAATTAAAAAAAAATTGAGAGCGCGGATTGCCAATGCTTAATAGTGACATTTATTTAAAAAAATTTTTTTAGTTGCTTATCACTGGTGCCCATTCGAAAACTGGTCGTTAAGTTCGTCCCAAACTCGGTCGATTTGAACGGTGACATTGGCGAGGTTCATGTCGTAGTAAAAGAGAATTGTAAGCAAATAGACCTAACTGAGCTGAAAATAATGTGTCATCAAATCTTTCAAATCGACGACAACAAATCGACCGAAAAACAAAGTATCGACTGCGACGCGGAAATGGTCAAAATCCAATTCAATTACGTCTTCGTGTTTCGACCGAAGGGAAACGAGAAAATGGCACATGCTGAACGGTAAGTTTTAAAGTAGAGAGGTTTTGGTAGGGCAGGGAGGGTTATTGTAGAGTAAGTTTTAATAGAGTAGGTTTAGGGTAGAGTACGGTAGGGTAGGGTGCAGGGCCGGACGCGAGACGGAGTATATATAAAGGTTAGAAAGTTGATTATCAAAACTGATATGACATTTTTAAGCCTGATATGGCAGTTATTAGAGTGTTCAAAAAATTCCTTGCCCTTTTCAAACAAAATTGTCGAAGTTAGGGGGCGCGGAAGTTTTTGAACACTATGGGTAAGGTAGGGTCTAGAATTTACGATCCCCTTTCACTTTAGGCCTCATTCGTATGTATGCCTCCAGGGTTGTGATAAGTGTACTGTAATTTGCCTATTTTAGCAAATTTTAAAATTTCGTTTTAAAACGTCGATGACAATGTTAATAGCGTGTTATCAGGGCCGGGCGCGAGGGGGGGGGGACGGGGGGTTAACCTCCCCCCCCTCCCCCAGAAAAAAATTTTTGAAAAAAGTTGAACGTGGTCCCCCCTGTGGATTTTCGGAAAAAAAATTTTTGCAAAAAAATCGGCACAGATAGCTTACCTGTGCCGATTTTTTGGACCCCCGCTCCCAGACCAAAAGTCCCCGCCCGGTCCTGGTAGGGTGCGGTAGGAAAAGACAGGGTGGGTTAGGAAGAGTAGGATGGGGTGGGTTAAGAAAACATATTTAGTTTTTTAAATTTCAGAGCCGTATCAATGGATGAGATAATATCAGGCCTAATGTCAGCCCAAGCCCTCCTCCAACTTTTGTCCCAACTCTTGGTTGGCCAATGTCATTCTTCTCAATTGGGTGAATCCCTAACAAGAACAATGTCATGCTCCGAGAGTGGTAAGCCCTTGGCAACATTGTTAAGTCAAAAACAATTGGGAGTCTTGATGGCATGTCTAGATGGTGTGAATTCAGTTGCTGATGAGTTTGATGTCAGACCAGCGCTGAAGTATCTTCTACAGAAGCTGATCAACGGAGAACAACCTGCCAATTTGTATCGGTTGTCCGTGGCCAGTAAAGCAATAAAGTTGCAGACGGTTTTTGAATTGGCTAAACAAGAAGAACCTACCAAGTTGGTTTTTGATAGTTTTGTGAAATGGTCCTTGTCGTTCTGTTGAAGAAATAATTAACCTTGCTTTACTCTACTCTCTCTTTCCTTATATTATCTTGCTGTACCTTACTCTACCTTGCGGTACCTTAGTCTATTTTACCCTGCCGTACCTTAGTTTGCGATGTTTTACTTTGTTCTATTGTGACTTACTTTACCTTGTATTACCCTGCGTTACATCACTCTAGCCTAATCTATTCTGCTTCAATCTACTCTATGTTTTACTTTAGTTTATTTTACCTTACTTTACCCTGTGTTAGCCTTTTTCTCTAGTCCTGTCGTAATTTTTTGTTGGCTGCCTTGATATGCTTTGCTTTATCTTTCTCTTGAATTTTTTGTTGTACTCAGTTTGCCTTACTCTAACGTCGTCTATCTAATTTATTTCTACTATAATATATGTATAACCTTCTACTGTTACTTTTGTTTTCTTTGACGTATTTTACCTTACTTTTTAAAACCCAAAAATTTAGTTTTAAATACATTCTTTTTCCAGAGAAGACGTAGCCAAAGTCTCGAAAAAGCAAGGCGCTTCCAACCCAAATTACCGTTTCATTCGATTAATCGACCAGTTGGTCGAAAACGCCTTCGATCAATTGGAAGAGTTGGAATTACAATTGTCAGGGAAATCGACGTTAAAAGATCGTGGCGACTTTGAATGTGCTCCATTTGCACGATCAGGCTCACATGCTGAAGACAGTACTCCGGCTACACCCATCAGTCCAAGGCCGAATCCATTCGTCAAGAAAATGAGCGTTAAGGCTACCAATTCTGTGGAGAGCGCTGATGGGCTGCAGGTGAGAGATATGGGGTTCGGTAGAATATGAGTATGGTAACACTGGATAGGGTAGAGTTGGGTACTATAGGGTAGGACATAGTAGGATAAGGTTGGGTACGGTAAGATAGGCTTGGTGCGGGTCCTTTAGAATAAGGTACTGCAACGTTTGCCATAGTAGGATTAGGAACAGTAAATTGGTGAGTGTAGGGTACGTTAGGGTAGAATATATTAAAATTGAGTACGGTAGAATAAAAGTATGGTATTGTAAGTATGATACGATAGGCTACAGTAAAATACATCAAAGTAGGGTAAGTTAGTAGGACAGGGTACGGTGGGGTAGGAAAGGGTAAGGTAGCGTAAAGTGGTGTAGGTTACAGTAGCATACGTTAATGTATACTAAAGTTTAGTAGAGCAAGATGCAGTAGGGTATTATAGAAAGCAGCAGGAAAAGGTACTGCACAGCCGATTTTTTTTACTGTAGAGTAGGGTAAAGGAATGCTAAGTGGAGCTCTACCAACAAGTAGGGGTGTGCTATACCAAATTTAACAGCAGAATTTCAAAGCTTTAAATTTAATTTAAAAAAATGAAAAGAAAATTTCAGAAAACCCAGCTATCAGACTTGGACCTCCGTGCCATAGCTCAATCTGAAATTGTGGCGATTTTGATTGAGAGAGTTGCTGTAGAAGAAGCGACCGTTTTTCGCAACTTTTTGCCCTTATTTCTGCCTAAAATCCGAAAACTTATGAAAATTTGTCCGGCGAAACGAGCTCGCTTTGCTTGCTCCGAATTTTTGGACCGACTCGACAAGGAGTGGGAGATTACGTCTTGATTTAGTCTAGGTTTAAACGTTATGTTTTGGTCTAGTTTAGGCTTACACATGATATATTGATGTAGTCTAGGCTTATAGGTTTTATTTTTAAGTACTTTAGGCTTATATATGATATTTTAAACTATCCTAGGCTTATATATAGTAATCTTTATAGATGTATAGGTCTTTTACAACACAATACAAGGCTTTTGTTATACATCTACAGAGGTACTATATGGGTACAATTACTTATACACGTACTGTAAACCTCTTTGTACGTACACAACAGTCAAGAACATACCTAACTGCATGGTAAAAAACATATTTGGAGCTTTGTAAATACTAGTTTGGCAATTTTCTAATTTATCTAGTGCTACTAACTTCCTTTTATAGTCTGGTTTATATAGGTTTATGATAGTTTATTTATATAATAGTATATATAGTCTTTACTTAATATTGTATTCTAAGTATTACAAACGCATCTAACGTATATGGTATCAAGATAACTTCTTCTTAATATCAGGTGTATTATTTATTTTTTGCCAAAAAATGATTATTTACTATTTTAATTTATTTTTAAATAAAAGAAAATAAATTATAATAAATATAATAGATTATCCAAGATGTTAACAAAATAATCCTGCTTTTTCAACTGTACCCGTACTTTGCTCTGTTCTATCCTACTGTATCGTTCCCTACCCTATTCTGCCCATACCCCTTAATTTACCCTTCCGATGCTTGAAAGTTGGGTTCGATCTGCAAGCCGGGCTTGAAAAGTAGGCTCGGGCTTAAAATTTTTTAAATTTTTTTTGGGTACGGCAGTCAATAAGTCATCTAAACAAAAAATTTAAAGCCAAACTCTTATTTTTTCAGTTTTTAAAATTTTTTAAAACGGGCTAAGCCCAGCCTAGAATTTTTGACCAGACCGGCCTGATAGAAAATGAAAACGCCCGGACCTCTTTTTAAGGTTTGTCTGTTTCTCATCCCTACTCCACAACATTCCAACCCTACTTTACCCTACCTCACCCTACCCTATTGTTATTGGAAACGTATAGTAGGAGGACAGTGCGTAACTTTTTCAAAAATAAAATATGTTCAGTGCAAATACCCAAATTTAGTAAAAAGATGATAAAACTAACATAAATTTAGTTTTTGATTGATTTCCGATACATTCATGTACTTGTGTTATCTAAACTTTAATTAGCAAGCGGCTTTGTTTTTTGGACTGATAAGTGTTTCAAGACAAAGTTCTTCAAACTTTTTCATCAGTCTCGCTTCATTCTTGCAATGATGCGACTGTTTTTGATATTGTTATTGACTGCTGGGGTTGGTGGTTACAAGTTTGATCCGGAGAGCTTTAAATGTAAGTTGTGGTAGTACTGTTAGTACTAGTGGTACTTTTTGGGTACTGTTGGGTAGGGTAGGGTAGGGCAGGGCAGAGTAGGGCAGGGCAGGGGTGGGCAGGGTATGGTAAGGTAAGGTAAGATGAGGTAGGGTAGCTCATGATAAAAAATATTGTTTTAGTGATTCAAGAAGACCCACTAAATGCTAATTTTGTAAATCAATATACCAAACCCAAGCTGGGAATCAACATCTACACTAATGAAAGTCTACCTCACGATGTTGTTGTACATTCATATGACATTTCGATTGAGCCTTTCTTTGCTTTTAAGGATTTTAAGTTTGACAAACGTAAGTTTATTAGCCCTTCCCTGCTCTGCTCTGCTTTGGTTTACCCTGCCCTGCTCTGCCTTGCCTTGACTTGCCCGGCCATACCCTGTATTGTCCTGCTCTATTTTACTTTACCTTACCTTACCCTACTCTACCATTTTTTGATCTACACTAATTATAATATATTATTCAGAGCTCCTAAACACTCTTAATGGTGCAGTAACAATCACATTTTCCGTCTTATCACCTACGGCATCAATTGAGTTGGCATCATCAGTTGTTATCCAAGAAAGCAGCTTGAAATTAAAGAACAAGTACCTTCATATTACCCAGCTTGTGAAAGGCAATAAGGATCATCTGAATTTGCGAACAAGAGAAGTATTGTTGCCAAACAAGAACTACACACTACATTTCCGATACCATGTAAACACAAGTGACGTTTATCATGGAGGTGTGTATACCTACAATTATATGGATAAAGATAATCAAATTACGTAGGTTTTTGGTTTTGAAAATTAAGTTTTCTTCTTAAATTTTTTTTGGACAGTATTATTTAACTTATATTATAGTAGACACTTTTTGCTAAAAATGATAAAAAGCTGCAGTCTGCGGGTGACATGTTACACGACCTTTTTCAAAAAATTAGAATTAGGCTAAGAACAGTTGCATTAGGATTACCATGGCTAGGTTTAAGTTATGGTTTAGGCTAGGGTTAAGGCTAATTTCTTTTTGTAATGCTAGGGCTTTGTTTAAGAAAGGAGCTAGCTTCTTGGGTGAGCTGAGCTTGGTTGACTGTGGCTGCGCTTGGTTAGGCATGGGTGTGCTTGGCTGGTATTGGCTGTGCTTGGTTGAAGGTGGCTTGTCTTGGATGTTACTTGGGCTAGAGCTTGGGCTAAGGTTGGGGCTACGGTTGGACTGGGCTAGGTTGGACTGAACTGAATAGGGCTGGTCTGGATTGAGATGGGTTGGGATAAGGCTAGGACTAGGGATAGGGCTCTAGGCTAGGGCTCCGGGCTAGGGCTCTGGGCTAGGGCTCTGAGTAGGGCTCTGGGCTAGTAGTGGGTTAGATTGGGCTGGCATAATCTGAGAAGGGCTGGGCTTGTCTAGCGCTGGTTTAAAGCTAGGACTAGAAATAGAGCTAGAAAAATGGCTGGTCTAGCTAAACAAAGACTTCAAAATAAATTTAAATTTTAAAAATTGTCTTTTTCAGATCTTTAATGGCGACAATTTTCGAAACGGTGTATGCCAGAGAACTGTTACCTTGTTTCGATGATCTTTTCTTCAAATCCACCTTTACTTTGACAATTATTCATCCAAAAGGAGCTAAAGTGTACAGTAACTCCGAAATTGACAGTCAACATGAGTTTGAGTAAATTTTGTCTTATAATTTTACTTTTACATTACTTATACTACAACATTTATACATATACTGAACTAATAGGAATTGCTTTTAGTAGCAAAACTTGGCATATAACAGTAATATAATATAATATTATAGCACATATGTAGATATTTTTATAGTAAAAAGTAGGGTCAAATATTGTGTATATAAGTTTTCATTTTAGCGAACAACGTTACCTGACAAGATTCAAAGAAACTCCAAAAATGTCGACCTATCTTTTGGCTTTTGCTATTGGTGACTTTGCGGAAAGACATGCTGTTTCAGCTAGTGGTGTTAAGGTAAAGCTTTTAAAAACTTTTTAGTAAATAGTGGTTTTAAAAAAGTTTTGACGTTGTTTAACTTCAAAGTCTTTGTAAATAAACGACAAGACTTTTATGATTACCTAACTGAAAACTAACAAATTTAAATTTTGTCTTTAGAGCAGGGTGACCAGTAAAATATTGAGAAATTTTATTTTTTCTTTTGCCTTCTCTCTTTCCCCCCCCTTCATTACAATAATCAGATTAATCTTTTGAATCTTAGATTGGAGCCATGGCCATCAATAACTTGGAACGGTTCATTGAGGATGCGGCTAAAACAGGTGCTCATTGTGTTGATGCTATGGAAAACTTGGTCAGAGTCAATTACCCACTTTCTAAACTTGGTATGTTACTTTAATATCTAAAAGGGCTAGGCGAACTGATAGAGGTAAGGCACAGGTAGCTCTACCTGTGCCAATTTTTTCGACCCCCGCTCCGGACCAAAAGTTTCCGCCCGCCCCTCCTGATGGCAGCCAATTAGAAAGTAAAGCCATGTAATTTCAGACCACCTAGACACGGTGCAATTCTCAGCCGGAGGCATGGAAAACTTTGGTCTAATCATTTATGGCAATTTCGTCCCAGAACAAGTTGGAACCTCGATTGCCGAAAGATATTCACGAAAGAGTGTCATTTGCCACGAAACGGCACATCAGTGGTAGGTCTAACATATAGCTGACTGAGATGTGAAGACGAGCAGGGAGGGCTACAGTAAGATTTGCAGACGAGCAGGGAAGGGCTACAGTAGGATGGGGGAGTAGTGACAGTGTACAGCTATGATAGAATGAAGACTAGATAAGGCTAGGGTAGGGTAAGATATGGTAAGGGTGTTTTTTTTTGGGATAGGGTTGGTCTTTAATACAGGGTGTGTAAAAAGTTTTGTTACACCGTTTTTTAATCAAATATTTATTTTAACAACAGGGTAGGGTAGGATGATGGTAGGGCATGATGAAGTAATGTTAGAACAAGTAAGGGTGAAGGTTTGATGAGGGTAGGGTAGGGAGTTTGATGAGGCTAGGGTAGGGTAAACTAATTTATGGTAAGGTCGATTCTTAAAAAGAGCTATTTTTAGGATAGGATAGGGTTAGGGTAGGGCATAGTAAAGTAATGCAAATCATAGGAATAGTGCTAATTTTAAACAAGTTTATGTCAAGAGTTTCAATTTTAAATTTTTTCAGGTTTGGCGATTTGGTAACAGCGGAACGATGGGGATGGGAGTTTTTGCACGAATCTTTTGCCGATTACTTCCAAGCAAAGATAGTTGGACAAATGAATGAATTCAAGCAATATGCGGTAGGTTTTTTCTTTACTTTCTTTAAAAAAATATTATATTATGTAGTTAAACAACCTGCATAACGAACAACTTTTGAATATCCAACTAACGTCACACGGTACATTTAAAACTCTTGTATATTGCTTAATCGATTCGTTATACAGGAGTTTCACTGTATTTTAAAATGTTTTTTAAAAAATTGCTTTGAGGGCACAGAATTATTTGAACATTCTAATAAACGTTTTTCAGGAAGAATCTACTGTTGCTGTCACGTTGTACGCTGTTGGTCAAGCAAATTATGCTACCCATCCTATTGCTGACAATGTTAGTCATTTTGATAGTAAGTTTTTGATCATGGTTGGGCTGTACAAGATAGAGAAGGGGGAACGTTACCTAGCACAGCATTTTTTATGATAGGATACTGTAACTTAAAATTATAGTCAAAAATTTACTATTTTTCAATTTAAAAACGAATTTTTAGGGATAACATACCAGGTTGGAGGGGCCGTACTGAACAGTATTCGACACGTACTGGGCGACGACGTATTTTATAAAGGATTACATACATATCAGGTTGAGAATGCATACGGTAACGCACGGTTAGAGACTTTACTCAAGAGCTGGTCTAAGGTAAGACATACTCAAGCTTATATTATAGCACTTAATCGGAGGTAATATTTAGCACTACGCTTAGGTACTATTTAGAACTATACTAGGTACTATATAGCACTATACTGAAGTACTATTCAGCATTATACTTAGGTACTATTTAGCACTTTATATCAGTACTATTTAACTATTTAGCATTATATTTAGGTACTACTTAGTACTATACTAGGTACTATTTAGTACTATGCTTAAGGTCCAATAGCTTTGTTAGAGCACTTTTAAATGGTTAATTCGGCTTTTGTGTACTGTAACATGAGATATTTTAGCACGTGTTAGATAGTACTATATCTTATTTCATACTATATAGTACTGTACTTCTTAAAACTTTTATAACATACTACTATAACATGCCATATTTCAGCACATGGACACAGAGTACCTATGTGGTGACCTGACCTTCACTGACTACGCCTCAGACTACTTCCTTCAAACTGGCATACCTCAAATCAACATCAACTTGACCAGTACCAAAGAGTACGAACTGACTCAACTCCTCTTCGAAAACAGTACCACTTGGAACGTACCAGTCTTCATCCTGGACCTAGACACAAACAAAGAACATGTCATGTGGCTATTGAAGGATGGTGGTATGTGTCATACCGAGCACTTTGCTCTGAAGCCTGAGGGCAGATACATGTTCAACAACGATGCCAAGACCTTTGCCAACTTTGATATTGATGACATTTTGTGGAAGAGGGTCTACGTTCATGACAAATATACACAACTGTCAGTGCATAACCAGTACTATCTATTACATTACCTTAGCACGATTAAGAAACAGTACCCTGTGGCAAACGGACTGATTCACAAAACTGTCAAAGCGAACAAAGGAAAGACGTATCCGGTTACTTTGGGATTCTTATGGTCTCATGGCGAAGTAAGTGGAGTTTTGTGGGGTTGTTACCTAGGTTAATATAAAAAAACTTTAAAAAAATTAAAAAAATTTTTTTAAAGTTTTTTGAAATTTGAAAAATTATCAAAATGTGATACTTAAAAGTTTATTTTTTTTATAATATTTTAACTATGTATTGACTACAATGTCATTATAAATCTGCTTTTAAGGTTTAAAAACTGCAGCCTGTACAACATAGGGCGCAGTGCGAAAAAGTAAAGATATCTATTAGGTTGTTCGAATAATTCTGTGTCCCCACTCAACACAAATTTTTCGGAACAGTGAGCACAAAATTTTGTGAACAACATAATAATGACTTTATATAATAGTATTTTAGAATTACAACGAAACCCTGAGATTACTGAGCGATGCTTTCGATTATGAACCCACACCTTCTAACAGGTATGAGTTGTTAACTAGTTTAGTAACCCTAGCCTTAGCCCTAGCTCTAACGTCCTTGCCCTTGCCTTTGTCTTTGCCCTTGTCCTTGCTCTTGCCCTTAACTCTAGCCTCAGGTCCTGCCCTACCCTACCCTACTCCAATTTGTTTTACTCTATTATAATATCTCCTACTCTGCCCTACTCTGCTCTACCCTAGTCTACCCATTACAGGTGTTAACATAGTATCTTTTGTAGACTTTTGGGATCGTATTTCTTGGAAAGAGCAGTAAATGTTGGAATTGACAGTGTTGTGAAGAAGACCCAGGAGTATTTCGACCAGTTTAAAGTGGATTGTGGCTATGGCAAAGATGCGTTTGAATGTACAAAGTAAGGTTATAAAGGAGTTTGTACCTAAAGAGTTATAAAAATGTGTTATTTTGACCCAAAAAGGTAATATGAAGAGGTTATTCTTGCCTAAAATGATGTCTTTTCGGCTCTGAACTTCATTATGTTATCTAAAATAAGGTCTTTATTATCTAAAATAATATTTTTTGTGTATAAATCTATGATATACTGACATAAAGCAATGCTTTACAACCTAAAACATCAATTTCAGGCTGACCCCTGAGTTCCGTCGTGCAGTTTACTTTCAAGGAGCTAAAGACCCAGAGGGCAAAAAGTTACTGCGGGACTACCACTACCGCATTTTGGCCCATAAGTACTCGGAACAAATGAAAAGTGAGCTGTACCGTACCGGCTTCTTCTAGGTCGTGTATGTTTAATATAACATAAAATAATAAAAACATAAAATATTGAATGTTCATACCATACCCTACCTTGCCCTACCCTACCCTACCCTACCCTACCCTACCCTACCCTACCCTACCCTACCCTACCCTACCCTACCTACCCTATCCTACCCTACCCTACCTTACCCTACCCTACCCTACCCTACCCCACCCTACCCTACCCCACCCTACATTACCCTACCCTATGATACCCTACCCTACCTAGCCCTATCTTATTTTTCCATGCCCTGCTTTGCCTTGAACTGTCCTGCCCGTTGTACCCCACCATACTCTACCCTGCCCTGCTCGGCATTCTCTGGCTCTGCCTGATTCTGTTCTCCTCATCTTAGCCGTGCCTCGCGTTTGCCTTACCCTTTCCTATACTTTGAACTTACCCTACTCAACCCTTTTTCAGCCCTTTAGGCAAGTTTTACTTTTCAAATTGATTCGACCGGTCGATAACCAACAACAAAGTCAAACCGATTTATCAAGTGATATATTACAACCATAGTTCAGTTCTACTTTATTGTAACTCAATATACTGACAATAAGTAGTAGGTTGTTCAACTAATTCTGTGCTCTCTAACATCAAAGATTTGTTTTGAAAAGGGGCACAGTACTATTTGAACAACCTAATTTCATAACATACACAAAAGACAAAAAATAGTACCAGTTCCCTTTAAAATAAGTTTAGTAGTAAACACCTGAGATTGTTAACCTTCAAATAAGCCTAAAATGACATTTGTATGTGGCTTGCGATCAGAAAACAATTTAAAAAATTAAATTTTAATAAAAATTTGATACTCAAAACATAAAATTTTAAAATTTAAATTCAAAGTTTGAACTTTAGACCTAAAACAATTGATTTTAAGGCCTTGATAATCGATTTTCTTACCTAAAACAATATGTATAAAAAGACTAGATAATCTAAGATTATTGCTTTTTAAACCCTTTTATGGACTATATTATGATAAATCTATCTATGAAATTTAAAAAAAATATTAAGATGAAATAGAAATTGAAGATGAAAAAGTAAAAAAATATGAAAAGAAAGTAGAAAAAAAGAAAAAAAGAAGAAAATAAAATAGAAAATAAGTAAAAAAAACTAATTTCAAGCCTCTTGCTTCTCGATTTTGAACAATGATGCAGCTTGACGGCTTGTAATCGCAGTGAATGGCCTAAAACAACATTGTTATGGATAGAGATTGGTCTATACGACATTATTATAGCTACAGTAGCTACAGACTGATCTAAAGAACGTTATTTTAGCTAAAAATTGGTCTAAAGGACTAGTCAAAGATTAGCCTAAACTAAGGTTCGTATATATGAAAATCGAGCTAAATCAATATAAACTCCATTTAAAAATAAAAAATTTTGAAATCAAGCTCAAGATACGCCACTTACTTTTGAAAAACAAAGACATATTCATAATCAATCGAAGACTTGATCACTACTCTATTACACTCCCAAATGAACTCTTTGGCTTTGGAAGTGACGGCTACCTCTACAGTCTTTGGAAGACCAATTGAAACCGCTTCGAAATTGAACGATGATGTCTGAAAATAAAAAAAAATTATAAAATAGACCTTACTATGCCTTACCCTACTCTATCATACTTTTCGATATATTAACTACCCTACCCTATATTACCTAACCCTACCTTATTTTACTATGCCCTGCTTTTCCGTGCCCTGTTCTGCCCGTTGTACCACAACATACTCTACTCTGCGCACTCTACCTTATCCTACCCCGCCCTGTCAGAGCTTACCGTTATCTAATTGTAAGCCCTAACTCAACCTATTATTATATAAATGGCCATAGCAGTTACCTTGTTTCTTCGCTCTGGCCCCTCCTTAAGCCTTGCTTACCCTGCCCTAGTTTACTCTATATTCTTTCTCTGGAGTAGTTTACTCTACCTTATCGTATCATATCGTACTTCAAACTCCCCTGCCTTAACAACTAACAACTACAGAGTCCTTAATACCTAAATTTACTATTCAATATATTACCCTTCTGCCCTACTTCCGTTCTGCCTTCTCTATCAGTCCTAGATATAATGCGCTGTCCCCTGCCCTAACGTATTTTACCTTACTCTACCCTACACTGCCTACCATAGCCCTACCTCCGCTTTATCAACAACAGTTTTCACTTACACTAACCTAACCTACTCTTCTTTACCGTACCTTATTATACCTCACCATACCTTAACATATCTTACCTTATACTACCTTATCATACCTCACTTTACCATCCCTTGCCTACCCTAAAAACCAACCTTTTCCCAAAAAAACCTACAGAATTAGCCCTGAACGGTGTAGTACGATCATTAGGTACCAATATTCGAGCAGCAGTATCCCCCATATCGCCAAACAAATTGAGTTTGACTTCAGCTTTCAACGGTAACGTTGAAGCACCCGTAGTAATTTCAATATCGTATAGTAGATTGAGCAATGGTGGTTTGTCTGGCCACGCTACTGGAAACTCTACGATACCCGCATCTGGAGTGACAATCACGTTGGCTACGGGGAAGCGGACCTCATCACCGTTCGCATTGTCTACTAAACGCATCTGAAGAAGAGTTAAGGTTACTGTAGAATGAATACTGTATTTAAATTTGAGTTACTCTATTTTTAGCCATTTTCATACGCGTATTTTACACTAGGATAAGTTACAATACTTTTTAATACCGTATTTTTAGTTACAGTATACAGCCTTCGGTTAATGTACTTTTTAGTACCGTATCTTAAATTGCAGTATACAGTTGTCAACTGCTGTAATTTTTAATACCGCATTTAAATTACAGTATACTGTCCTGGTTACTGTACTTTTTCACACCATATCTTATATTACGGTATGTTCTTAATTACTGTACCATTAGATGCCGTATCTTATAGTACAGTATAAAGTTCCCGAGTACTGTAATTTTTGACACCGTATTTTTATTTACAGTACATAGCCGTCAGTTGTTAAACTTTTTTTGCTACCTGGGTTACTGTAGTCTTGAGTACTTACTTTATACTGTAGTTTACGCTACAGTTATATCATAACTACGGTACTATAAAACCATCCCCCCAGCACTATTCACAAACAGTACTGGATTTACAGTAAAAAAACGAAGTGAAAAATTTTTTCCGATCTTATAGTACACTTACTTTCATGATATGTAACATAGGTTCGGTCGGATTGAATTCCTGATCAGAAGCAAACTTCATAAACCTGTCCTTGGCTACAGTAACCCTGACCTTCGCCACTGCTGCCAATACTTCCTTACGCTTCTCTCTGTTCTAAAATTTAATTTTAAAAAATTGCCATTACTTTTAAGTTCGTTTTAAGGTTTTGTTAAGTTTAAAATTTTAAATTTCAAAGTCATGTTAGTAATTCTGAAGTAGAGTGTAGAAGATTAAAGCGACAGAAGTAGAAGTCGAAGAAAGCTGAAGTTGAATAACTTGAAGTTAAAGTAAAAACACAAATCCCATTCTTTTTTCCAGCATTGCCAACATCAATATCCCCCAAGCACTAGTCAAAACCAAAAATATATAAAAAATAAAAAATGGTTAAGCAAACATAACAAAAAAGACTGAAAAATAAAGAACAACCGTAAAAATGAAATTAAGATACGAAACAAACTAACACAGTTAAAGCCTGAACAAAAATAAACACAGAGAAACTATTGTATAGCAAATGGGGGAAGGGGGGGGGGAGGGACCCCGAAAAAAAAAATTTTCGAAAAAAGTTGGACGTGGTCCCCACTGTGGATTTTCGAAAAAAATTTTTTTTGACTCCTGCCCCCAGACTAAAAGTCCCCGACCGGCACTGTACACTACCAAAAACAAAAAGTCCACACCCCTAAGCAATTCATTACAACCAACAAGTTCAATTATCGCGCCATACACGCGACCAGTGTTTTGCCGGACCGGTCCGGATGAGAATTTTTTCGGTCCGGTCCGAAAAATTTTCGGTCCGGCCCGGCTCTATTTTCTTTTGGTCCGGTCCGGACCAGTCCGGAAAATTTTTTTTTTATTTTTAAAAAGAGCCAGGAGCGCTCAAACTGCTTTCTTTACGTTTAAAAACTCTTAAAAATATGTTTTATTTGCAATTTTTAAAACAATTTTATTAAAATAAAAAAAATTTTTTTTCCGGACCGGTCCAGAACTTTTTTTTCGATCCGGTCCGGCCCGGCTCTATTTTCTTTTGGTCCGGTCCGGACCGGTCCGGCAAAACACTGCACACGACAACGAAAGAGGGAATCCTCCTCCTCCCTCCCCACACCAAAACTGTAAAGTTAATCACGACACCAGCCTTTTGCGACAAGCCCTCGCCGCCTTCCCAGATAAAAAACTTCTAACAGCACCATCTCCACGTTAAGACTGTTCATAACACCGCCCTCACATCGAAGCTCATCACCACACCGCCCTCATTAAAGCTAATTCCAACGCCACGCCCACATATCACATACAATACATAACGCCACAACATAAAACATTTACCACAAGGTCCCAAAAATCAATCCTCTGCACGACCCCCATACTCAGGGGGGCCGGGTGGGGACTTTTGGTCTAGGGGCAGGGGTCCAAAAAATGCGAAAAATTTTTTTCCGAAAATCAACAGGGGGGGACCACGTTCAACTTTTTTTCTAAATTTTTTTTGAGGGGAGAGGGGTTCTCCCCCCCCGTTCACCCCCCCCTTAGCGTCCGGCCTTGCCCATACTCATACAAGATTAATAACCCCGAAACAAACAACATTCAACACGCCACTCCCATACCCGTAGAAACGTTCGCCACGCCACCAAAGCTGATCACAAACTAAACCAACATAGTAAATTCACTACATTACATCATAACATAGAAGATAGCCATAACGTTTCAAAACACAACTATTACATTACCCCCACACCCATAGAAGATTCACCGCCCCCACATCGAAGGTTATCACAACCTCACCATAAACCAAAGATTCGCCACACAACCTCCCCCAGCTTCACCACACCCTCACCTGAAAACTGATCATACGATCGGTGGCGGTTTGTGAAATGGGATGCATTTCGGTAGCATAATTCTTGCCGCACAGTGTGATGGTGGGCATGAGGTTGGAGTGCTCAGACAGTGCCATAGACAAGAACCAGGCCGAGGGCGAGCGGTGGGGAGCTTTACTCTTTTTCAGCCGCGTCGACATCCCTTCCATCGCTAAAATCTACACTCCAAAAATGGTCGGATTGGCCGCCGTTTTTTGGTACCGTACTAAGTTCTTTGTACCTTGGTACTAATTTTGATTTTTTAATACTATTCTTGAATTTTTGATACTATAGTTAATTTTTTAGTACTATACTTCATTTTTTTTGTCCTAATTTTTATATTTAGTACTAAGTTGAAGCCTTGGTAGCATGTTTCATTTTTAGTACTAAAGTAAGTATTTAGATATCAAATTACAATTCTTAGTAAAAATGTTTTATTCTAATATTAATTTTGATTACTTACAAAATTTTCTATTCAGTACTAGTCTTATTAGTACCACATTTTTTACCTACAGTATTCAAGTATAATATCCTACCTAAAGTGCTCTACCATATTCTCTTCTACTCTACAGTACCAAACAACACCCTACCGTATCTTCTACAACCCTACCGTACTCTGCAGTACATTACCGTACCCTCTAATACCTTACCTTACTTTAAAGTTCCTTTCGTATGCTACCGTATTCTCAAGTACCCCACAATACCCTGCTATACCTTGTCCTACCCTGCCTTACCCTGCACTGCCTTACCTTTTAATTCCCTACCGTATTCTCTAGTAACCTACCCTACCTTGTCCTACCCTGCCTTACCCTGCTCTGCCTTACCTTCTGGTTCCCTACTGTACAACATACTACTCTCTAGTACTCTGCCAAATTTAGCTTACTCTATATTGCCCTATCTTACATTCTAGTTCTTTACCGTATTCTCTAATACTCTACCAAACCTATACCATCCTACCATACCCTTTTTTCCTACACTACCATACCCTACCATACCCTCCAGTAACTTACCAGAAACCCTCAGCTCCAACACATAAGGTTCATCATCACTTTCTCTCGGCCGAACCTTCGAAGCACTGAGTACGTACTTAAATGGTACATGTTGTCCCTCACGTACTGTCAAATCGCCCAACAGCCATTCGTTGCCACTCGTACCAAGAGTATGTTGTGATAGGCTGCCATTTAGATGCCGATCCCAGATGTTCTGAAGCACTCCGAAGCCGTTGAAGAGTTGTTCGGCTTCGTTCGTCTTTGGTTCCAGATAGAAGCGTGCACGGTGCAATTTGCCAACGCTTAAGGCTTCGAATTTGAATGAAATTTCCGGTTTTTTGGATTTTCGATCCAGATTGGCAAAGTCTACAAAGATACAGCCAGTCTGGCCTAGGTCTCCAATCAGCTCCATTCTGCCGATGTGCTCGACGAAAGAGAGGCATTGGTCGTAGACGTGGACTCGGCCTTCGTAGTGGATCACTGAAACGGTACTTTATAGTATGTACTGAGTATGTAAGTACTTAATAGTATGTACTGAGTATGTAAATACTTTATAGTATGTACTGAGTATGTAAGTACTTATTAGGTTGACCCAAAAGTAGTGGAAGACTTTTTTAAATCGAAAAATATATAAATAGTGTCCCACTACTTTGGTTCAACCTAATAAGTACTTACATACTCAGTACATACTATAAAGTAAAATAAATATTAACTCTGTAAGTACTATACATAACTTTGTTTCCCTAAATTTTGAAAAGATATGTCAATACCTACATGGCAAAGCCTCCATTCCAAGCCTGAAAGTCATGACTTCTCGGAAGGGTTGATCCCCCTTTTGAGTATGTTGCCATTTCAACCATTTTGCACATGGAATGACACATCTTTCCTGAGTATCCAGGTCTCTCAACTCTACTTCATGAAGACAATAGTTGGGCTCATCACCTTCACCATCGATCTCTACTCTCAGCTTTAAGAGTTCTCCGATCCCACCGAAGTCTGCCTGAAATTACTTTTTATTTTCAGTAGGGTAGGGTAGGATAGGGTATGGTATGGTATGATATGGTATTGTATGGTATAGTAAGGTAAGGTAAGGTAAGGTAAGCTAGGGTAAGACATTCCAAACCCCCTACCTGCATCATAGTCTCCGATGGCACATTCTGCAGACTTTTCTCATTCGCCAACCTAACAGCACTCGAACTCAAAGTCCCAGTACCAACCAACAACAAGTTCGATGTAGTACCACCATTCCCAGCGTGATCTCCCGACCTCAACGTGACTTGCCATCTACCTTTCGTCATTCGCTGTGATGCTTGTTTCACACTGTACATCTCACAGTAAGCTGTTAACTTCATTGTTCGAACCAGTTTACCATCAACTTGGCCAGAATCAAACCATTTATAACACTGGAAAAGGAAAGCACGGCCGTTCACAGCGTTCTCGGTTACCATCACTGTGTCTATGAAGACTCCGGCACCTGGAAGTTTAAATTTCAAAATTTTAAACTTAAAAAAATTTTTAAAAATTCAAATTTTCTAAATATTCAAAATTGCATTAAAAATTAAAAATCTTTAAATTTTCAAAAAAAATTTAAAAATATTCAAAAAAAATCGAAAAATTCAAAAACTCCCAAATTTCAAAAAAATCGAAAAATTCAAAAAAAAAATTAGAAAACTCAAAACAATTCAAAATATTCAAAAAAATCCCAAATTTCAAAAAATTTCAAAAAAAAATTTAAAAAATTCAAAAAAGCCACAAATTTCAAAAGAAATTAAATTACATAATTAAATTTCAAAAAAAAAATAAAAATCCCTCAAAACTCCATTATCAAATCAAAAACCCAAGTTTTAACCTCCGCGCAGCCCGCGGTGACGAGTTATACAATAACCTCATTTTCCTCTTACCATAGCCAACAGAGTCGTGTCCAACGGTAATTCTCTGTAAAATCCCTAGAAATTTGCACGGAACTTGAACTCTGAATGTGTTCGAAGAGTCTCGAGACTTTCCATCAACTTCCAACCAGTTTACATACTAAATATATTGTTTTAGGTATCGTTTTAAAAAAATATTATAATATTTGGTTGTTCAGATAATTCTGAGCCCTTTGCAAATGTGTTTTGAATGGGGGTTCAGACTTACTTGAACAACCTAATAAACGTTAGTTTTTAGCCATTTTTTTCAAGTTTTTAAGGGTTTTTACTCCTTTCTGTTACCTTTTTTTCCTTTCTTTGACCTTTTTAGGTAACATTTTCACAAAATTTTAAAATTTTTTACAAATAAATTTTTTTGAATTTTCAAAAATTTGCAAAATATTGAAAAAATTGTTAAAAACGACAAAACCAACCTGATTTCTGATATAACTCTTCTCAGATTCGCCTTTCTCTCCATAAAATTGAACAAACAGCTCGGTTTCCGAATCGGCCGCCCATCTATTACCTAATTTTACCACTACTGTGTAGGTTTCAACTGAAAATGATCATATGATTAATATCCACAAAAATTTACTAAATTTTAAAATCAATAAGTAGACGAAATGTCAAAAGCATTTGTCTTTTTCAAAAAATCAGTAAATGAACGAAATGCCACATTTAAAAATTTAAATTATTGATTGATCAGCATAATATCAATATCAGTACAATATGTCGGAATTTAAAATACAAATCGAAATTTTCTAAAAAATCAATAAATAAACGAAATGTCACAATTCAAGAGTTACATTATTTATCATAAAATACCAAGGAAAATCAATAACAAAACGAAATTTCACAGATTTAAAAAAATCATTTTTCCAAAAATTCAATAATTAGACGAAATGTCACATTTCAAAATTTACAATATTGATTGTCTTCTTAAAATCAATAACTGTACGATATGTCAAAAGTAATTAATCTTTTTTCGAAAAATCAATAAATAGACGGAACGTGACACAAAAAATTCTAAATTTTAACTTGACATACGATATATTGTACATAAGTCAAACCTACTCTACCTTACCTTACTTTACCTTACTCTATCCCACCCCGCTCTACCCTACCACACCCTACTCACCATCTTCAGGATCCACATTCCTCTTCAGCAGCTGATCATCCTCATCATCCTCAGTAGAGCCGTCATCGTGACCTTCCAGCTCGTTCACATCCTGAAGTTTGAAGTAATACTTTTCACTTCGTTGATCCGGATCTTTTTCTTTCTCCAGTTCATCGCCATCGACCGTCACGATGTCTTCAACCTCATCCAATGGTCGATATTCTTCAGCTTGCTTCGAGGTTGAAGGCTGATTCTCGAGAGCATCAGCTGTTTCTGGCTGTTTATTTTCATCGTTGATTAACTGAGATTCAGCAGCTTCTGATTCCTCGATTAGATTGTTCTTTTCGTCGGTTGATTTTTCAGAATCCTCGTTTTTATCGTGGCCTTCAGAAGTTTTGTCGTCATTTTCATTGGCTTTCGCCCCAATTTGCCCATTTTTCTCTGCCGTCTCTCTCTTTTCATCACTATGTCCTTCATTATCCGGAAGTCCATCATCTTCATCATGGACCAAATTGACAGGATTCGCAGAATCCGCGGCGTCTTCATCTGGAATCGACGCTCTTTCAAGGTCTTCGTGTCGCATTGGCTCCAGATGTCTGGCCGTCTCCACTTTTTCGTCGTTCTCTATACTTGTGGACATGGATTGATGAAGATCGTCCACCACGGTGTCTGATATCACTGATCCGTCTTCTGGTTTTGTATCTGAAAGTTTTAAAATTGATACCTAAAATTTTAAATTCCTACTGTACCCTACCCTAATCCACAGTATCCGATTGTACCGTACCCTGAAATACCTTACCTTACATAACCCTACCCTACCCTACGCTATCCTACCACACTCTACCCTCCCATACCCATCCTAAGTTATTCTATCCTGCCCTGCGCTTCACTGACCTGCCCTGCACCGCCTTTTCCTTCTTGCGCACCCCAGCCGTAAACTGCCCTGCCCTAACTTTTCCTCCTTGTCTTGCCCTGCCGTCATTGTCCTGCCTTGCTTTGCCCTTCCCTAAGCTGTTTGTTCTTTATTACCCTGCCCTGCCTTTTTCTTTTTTGCCATGCTCTGCCCTGCCGTACCTTTTTCTTTCTTGCCCTGCCCGGCCCAGTCTTTTCCTTTTCACCCTGTCCCACTCTACCCTACTCTACAAAATGTCATATTGATTACCTTTTAGCTTGCGTCTGGCCAGAAATCCTCGGAAGCCGGCTTGAATGGCGGTGGCGGATTTAACCATGGTAGCTATATCTTCGTATTCTTCTGAAATGCCATTATTGACTTTTTCTCATTATTGTGTTATCATCTATGGGCTAAAAAACGTTATACATAGACTAAAAGATGTCATTCAATAGGTAAGATAAGATACGGCCATTAAATGCCTCCTTTATCTTAGAAATTTAGATCTTACCTTTGTTATCATTAACATCATTGTCTAGGCCAATGTTATCATTTAATCCGTTTTTAGTTGTTTTACTTCCTCTTCGATTACTTTCATTATCACCATTACTACCATTGTCATCATCATTATCTTGGCCATCCTTTCCATGACTTTCCTCTATATTATCCTTCCCAATCAAGCCATTCCCCTCCCTTTCGCGACTATCCTCCCTCCCACCATCCTCAACATCCGGTGGTTCAGGATAATCAGACTCCAGGCTTTCCACTTCATGTTCATCATATTCCCCATCCTCCTCTTCAATCTCATCATCACCATCGTGGCCCGCGAAGTAATGGTTGGTATCTTTGTCGAAGTTGGTCTCACTCGAGTTGTGACTCGACTGTAGATGATTGATCGACCTTGGTCTACCTGAATCACTGTCAGCGGTATGAGAACGACTACCTTGCTTCTTGGTCTCCGTGATGATGGGCGGTGTAGCGTGCACGGTGTTGAGGATGGTTGTGGTTTCTGTGGCGGTCTTGAGAAGGTTTGAAGCGGCGTCTGAAGCTGGATTGAGGCCTTCTGGAGTAGTTTTGCCTATGTTTGAGGTCATGTTTGTTAAGGTATGATGATGTTCTTGACCCGTTCTATCATTCCCATTATTGCCACTTGACTTCAGCTCAATATTCTTTCGTTTAGAAGCCCTAGAAGCCTCCACCGATCCATCCTCAACATTATCCTTCTGATTCCTCACTCCGTCGCTATTCTTCGAATCCCTGCCCTTCCGACCCGACCTCCCATAGTTCGGCAACCTTCCATTCGCTAGCCGACTACTCGTTTGTGGCTGCTTCTCACTGTTTCGCACGTAGCGTGGCTGCGAAGCGCTGCGCCGGCGCTTCGCCGGATTCGAATCGGTTTCGCGCGACGATGCCAACGCCGCAATATACTGTTTTCTTGAGAGAGTGGGCGCGATTGCACTCGTTGATGGCAGTTTGTATTTCCCTGGACGTTCGATCGAGTTCTGTTGCTGTGATAGGTATCTGAGTGAAGCTAAAAGTAGAGTGGCTAAGTTTAATAAAAATTTTATTTTGTGTTTACTTGCTGTCTTTGTAGCCACATATGACAATAAGACTTGCCTAGCCCTGCCTATGCCTATGCCTATGCCTATGCCTATGCCGATGCCTATGCTTATGCCTATGCCTATGCCTATGCCTATGCCTATGCCTATGCCTATGCCTATGCCTATGCCTATGCCTATGCCTATGCCTATGCCTATGCCTATGCCTATGCCATGCCTATGCCTATGCCATGCCTATGCCTATGCCATGCCTATGCCATGCCTATGCATATGACTATGCCTATGCCGATTTGCCTTGCCTTGCCTTTGCTCTACTCGACCCCGCCCAACCTTAACGAATGTTTCTCTACCCTACAATGCCCTTGCATACTGTATCCTATCCTACCAAGAATTCACTGAAAAAATTAAACACTAGCTCCTACTGTAGTCCCTACTTCAGCCCTTACTTTCTTATAAATACACTTTTACACTGTCTAACCTTCTAAAAACAATTCAGTATAAGCAACTTACGGCGTTGATTACGCGAGGTAAAGCCGTTTCCAGCCGAGTGGATGGGAGGTAGTGAGTGGGAGAGATTCCTTGAGTTTCCTTTCTCCAAATCGCTGAACGATCGTCCTTGTAGCACCAGTTTGTCATTCCGACCAACCGCAATAACTCTATTATCACGGAGGTCGAGGAGTCGTTCCATACTTGTGATACGTTCACCTTCGTATGAGTAGATTTTGAAAATTGCCACGCCCAAGGCTTGTGACACTTCTTCTAGAATGACGTCCAAATCCAGCGGTTTTGAGGGATTCAGAAGGCAGCGATGGATTTGAGAGGGATTACCGTTCAGCACAAAGTATACCTACAAAGGGTTTGGTTAGTTTGTAAGTACGTTATATTAGGGTTGGGTCAAATAGAAAAAGACAAGGGCAAGGGCAAAGGCAAGGGCAAGAGCAAGAGCAAGAGCAAAGGCAAGGGCAAGGGCAAGGGCAAGGGCAAGTTCAAGGGCAAGGGCAAGGGCAAGGGCAAGGGCAAGGGCAAGGGCAAGGGCAAGGGCAAAGGCAAGGGCAAGGGCAAGGGCAAGGCTAAAGACACAAAAAACCACACAAACTAGCCCCAGTAACTCTAAATTGCCCTTTACTATGTAGACATATATAAATTTCAAAGCCAATGTACACGTAAAGTGCCAATCTACAGCAATATAAATCTGTTTTGTTATGCAAAGCCGTCGGACAAGTTATTGTCCCGAGATTAAGAACGTTAAAATAGGGGTGGATTTGGGAAGGGGGGAGGGGGGACGAACAGAGAGTTATTTAGGTAAATGAACACAAAGAGTAGGTATTTATAAAAAAGGTCCTCACACTTGTCCTTTTTATTTTGAAGCTTAAATTTGAGAAAAAGCCGGAAACCTAGCCATTGCCCTAGCCTAGCTCTATCCATTTCCCTAGCGTTGCCCTAGCCTGTCTTTACTATTAGCCTTGTATTGGCCTTGTTTTAGCCTTGCCCAAGCCATGCTTTAGCCCTAGCACTAGCCGACACCCTAGTTCTATTAGGTTGTTCACATAATTCTGCGCCCCTTACCCCGTAAATTTGTTTTGAGGGGGGGGGGCGCAGAATTAAGTGTACACCCTAATAGTTTGATCCGTTATAAAAAAAATCAACTTTAAAACACAATGCCAATTTGGCGGGAAATTTAAATTTAAATTTTTGAAATTGCAAATTAAAACTTGAAATTTTTCAACTTTTGTCTGTATGGTAAAGATGTCATAACTGTAATTTTTTTGCTTAAAATACATTTTTTGAGAAGGCTCATAACAATATAAAAATTTGGCGGGGAATTTAAATTTGAATTTTTAAAAGTTGAAATATAAACTTAAAATTTTCTATACTCATTCTGTGTGCCGAAAGCAACTAATAACTCAAATTTTCGCCTAGTCTAACACCTAGAAGTTAAGTTATGACATTTTTAAAAATATTTTTTCAAAATTTTAAAAATTTTAAAAAACTGCCATATCTACCTTTTCTATTCTCAACCCTACCCATGCCTTGTCTATGCCCTGTCCTAACCTACCCATGCTTTGGCTATGCCCTGCCCTACCCTACTCATGCCTTGTCTTTGCCCTGCCCTACCCAACCCATGACTTGTCTATGCCCTGCCCTACCCTACCCATGCCTGGTGTATGCCCTGCCCTACCCTACCTTGCCTTGTCTATGCCGTGCCCTACCCTACCCATGCCTTGTCTATGCCCTACCCTATCCGTCCCTTGCCTACCCATAATACCCTGCCTTACTATATATTAGGTTGTTCAAGTAATTCTGTGCCTCCTAACTCCAAATAATTGCATTGAAAGGGAGCACAGAACTATCTGAACAACCTAATAAATACAAAACCAAAAAAAAATCGTATACCAATGTAAAAAAGACGTTCTCGTATAGAAAAGTAGTATTACCGCGGTAATACGAAGGCGACTGTTGATGGTATTAGGCCGATAATCGGCAGACAATTAACTGCTAAGCTCACTGATAAATAACCCAAGTAACATTACTTACTGAGACTATTATAGAGTTATTAACTGTGTTTTTCTGGTTTTTGCAAAAAAGCATTTTGAAATTTAAATTTTTTAAAGTTTTTACCCTACCCAAACCTACAATACCACGCCCTACTCTATTCCATTTCACCCTGCCCTACTCTATCCGATTTACACTATCCTACTCTTCCCTACAGTAAAATTAATGTTTTAAAACGTCAAAAAAAGTCTTGTCGTCAATTTGGATGCATTTACTAACAAAAAAACGACAAAACTTTTTTTTTGCCCTTCAAAACTAAAAATTTCAAAAAAAATTTGATTTGAAGTTTAAAAAGCGTTACATTATTTAAAATTTTAAAGCTTTTAAACAGTAAAACTGAAAAAAAAATCCTTACCGTTTTGGAGGTCGCCGGATAAAAGGTACCGCCATAATAGCGGCCCGGCATCCGGGTGAGCCGGATTTGGTACCGCTTTTGACTGCCCTGAAATATAAGAAGTTAAAGACTAAAAAAAAGTTTAAAATACTTTGACATTACCACTAGAAACGACTTTCATTTTTACTTTATTCTAATGCTACCTATCCTTACCTCTACTTCTTATTTTATTTCACCTTGACCCTAGTATTAGCCCCAGCTCTACCCAAACCCTACCCTAACTCTAACTTAGCCCTAGCTGTATCCCTACCCATAGTTCTAGCCACAACCCTTGCATTATATCTAGCTTTAAGCCCAGCTTTAGCCCTAGCTTAAGCCCTAGCCCTAGCAATAGCCCTAGCTCTAGTTCTAGCTTTAGGTCAAGCTCAAACTCAAATTCAAGCTCAAGCTCAAGCTCAAACTCTAGTCCTGGCTCTAGGTCTAGTTTTAACCCTAACTCCAGTTTTAGTTCTAGCTCTCAAGTGTAAGCTCAAGCTCTAGCTCTGTGCCTAGCCTTTGCTTAAACATACCCTTATTATAATCTAACTCTCGCCCTAACCCTGTAAACCTAGCATAAAATCGCTAACAGTGCTAACTATAAAAGAATCCTATCAAAACAGCATAACTAAATCGAACAAAAGTTGATAAGAAACGCGGCCAAAAACTAAACCCAATTCTCCAAAATATAGTTTTAAAAGCTATCCAGAGACGGCCATTGGCACACGTGAAAATTATAGGTTTGTAGGTGAATATATAAATACGACAAAAGAGGAAAGGCGCTTACATTCCCTATACACAAACGAGGGAAAAAGTCATACACAGGCGCACAAAACACTAGTATATACAATCGTACATTGGCATACAAAAACATGTGTAAGCAGCGTGTAAATATATACATGTATGTGTGCTCAATTACTTTAGTTTTGTGTATTTATGCGCTGGGTAAGTGATAAAGTATTAATCCATATTAATCATACCCTACTCTACTTTACCCTACCCTACCCTACCCTACCCTACCCTACCTTACCCTACCCTACCCTACTTTACCCTACCCTGACCTACCGTACATTACTTTAAATGTCCCATCCTGCCCTGCCCTGATCTACCCTACATTACTGCCCTGCCCAATAAATTAAAATCCATATACCCTTACCATATCCTACCTTTACTACCTTTAAATACCGTATGATGCCCTGCCTTACACTATGTTATGCCCTACCCCCCCCACCCCTGACCTGCCGTAACATGCCATGCCCTGACATGCTCTGCCCTATCCTGCTAACTGAAATCCCTATTAACCTTACTCTACCTTAGATACCTTACCATGCCCTGCTTTAAACTACCTTAAATGCCCTTCCCTGCAAATTAAAATCCATATTGCACCTACTTTACCTTTAATACATCGCCCTACCTTACCCCTAGCTTAAATACCCCCATCCTGCCCCGTCCCACTCTACCTTACCTTATTCAACTGTCCTTTTCCTATACGTTCCCCTAACTTACAGTACAGTACTTTACTTTAGCAGCCATACCTTCTCCTTCCCCCTTCCACCTATCCTTCGTTTTTTACTTCAATAACCCTGCCCTATAGCACCATTTCTAATATTATCAATGTAAAACCCCACAAAGAACCCAAACTGTCTAGAACCCAAATCATACGTCTACCACACCCACAGTAACATAAAAAGCAAAGTAAAGTAAAAGTTTTCACCTGCTCGGAAGATTTGTTGGTCTGCTTCGAAGACCGGCTGCCCTTAAGGCTGGTCTCCAACTCCTGCGACCGCCGTTCCAAATCATAGTAGAAGTTGTGGTTGGGCACGGCGCGCGACGACGATGCCACGTACCTAAAACCGTGTTTGTAGTAAATGACCTGCGGCAATGCGTCGCTTGTGTACGGTCGATCGTTCATTTTTATGGCATAATGGATTTTATACTAAAATTTTTTTAATTTTAATTTTAAATTTGATTTTTAAATGTGAGGTAAAAAGGTAAAAAAAACGCGGTAAATTTGCATAAAGTTTTATATTAAAAAATTTGTCAGCAGTTTCAAACAAAGATATAAACTTTTTCAAAAGTGACCCTACCGCTGACCAAAGCCTAATGTAAACTGCATTTTAAAAAGTATATCAAAAATAGGCTTAGCTTGCTGTGGAAACTAAGGCTTAAAATTATTAGCAAGTTCAGCCTTTTGCAGCGTAGAATTAGTAGCCTCAGTTTCAGATCCATTACGCTTTAGGCTACTAAAAATTGATTACAAGGAAAGTACGCGACCTGCCCCGTCCTGATTTCGATTTCAAACTTTTTATTTAGAAAGATCTTGTAAATATAAGATATTCAATAAAGTATTAAACCGTGCTTTATAGAAAATCCCGAGAAAATCGAGATCAAAAAATCAGGTTTTGAATTTCCCGCCAAAGTGGCATTGTGTTTCAAGCTTGTAACTTTGTCATTTTTTTACTTTTTATCATTTTTCTTGGATATAAGTAGAAAACCTTTAAATGAACCTATATTTTTAAATTTGTAAGTGTACCTTGGCTGGAAAGTTGAAAAAAGTGATTGAAACACAATGCCAAAGTTGCCAAATTGGCGGAAAAACAATATAATTCAATTTTAAAACTCAAAAGCGCGAGCTAAAACTTTTTATAGGTATTATTGGTGGTACCAGAAATTCATATAAAAATTTCGAGCTGATTCAGAGCGGGGCAGGTACTTTTCCTTGTTAATGTATCATCAAGTTGGGTAACAGCGCGCAAATTTTATTATTTTTATGAAAAAAGTAAGCTTAGAAACCTAGAGAAGAGCTATCATAATATAGGTTGGAGTAGGGTAGGCTAGGTTAGAAAATTAACGTTATTTTGGTACACCGCCCTCCTTTCACCTCGCCTTTTTTTCTTTTTTTTAAATGCCAAGCCTAATTCAAATTTTAAAAAAATTAAATCAAACTTCAACCCCAATTTTGCACTAAACTAGGTAATAAATAGGTATCAAACTCCTTCAAGCTCAAAAATTATTCTTTGTCCAATTTAACGTAAAAAAACAAATTTACTGCCTGAGGGTGGAATTCGCTTCAGGTAAATAGCAGAACGTTACACACGGCCTGAGTGATATTGCTAATTGGCCTCGGGCAATGGCGGCCATAAAGGGCACCGAAAATCGGTTTACCCAGTTTTTTCACGTCAAAAAGTCGGGTTATTTTAATTAAAAAAAGCAAAATTTACTTCGAAATAAGCCTTTTTACTATGTTGCTTTGAGTTTTTACATAGATTGTAAAAAGAAGTTACTGTAATGTAAATGAAAACTAGTCTTTCTGTGGTTAGTAATACGCCTATTAGGTCGAACCAAAACTAGCGGGACACTATTGATATAGTTTTCAATTAAAAAGTGTACCGCTACTTTTGGGTCAACCCAATACAAAAAAAATTGTAGTTTTAAAATTAACATTCAAAGTATGATTCAAAGCGTAGACGTTTTAAAAATGTCATTATCGGATTTACATTTAAATTGCCACTAAAAATTAATGTACTTTGAACTTTTTTTACCAGTAAAAAAAGCATTTTTTATCTAGTGGTGCAAGACTTTAGCTAGTCTTTGGCTAGATTTTGGCTAGTACTTGACAAGTCTTTGACTAGTCTTTAGCTAGGTTTTAGCTGGGCTTTGCCTACGCGTCTAGCTAGACTTTGATTAAGCTTTTACTAAGCGTTGTCGATGCTTTGGCTAGGAGTTGGGAAACGTTTTGACTAGTACTTGGCTAGACATTAGCAAACTTTTTGGCTAGGGCTTTGGCTAGGGATTTGCTTAGGGGTTTGCTTAGTTAGCTAGTTTTTAGCTAATACTAAACATCGGCCAATTTAAGCTAGACCTTTGGTTGGGATTTGATTTGTGTTTAGCTAGGCTTTCGCTTCTGCTGGTCTTTAGCTTTATTTACGGCATTGGCTATGGTTTTGGCTTGACCTGGGTTTCAGCTAGCCCTTAGCATTTGGGTCCGAATTGGTTTGTCTTAGGCTAAGCTCATGCCAGCATTCGTCTAAGCTTTGGCTAAGCCTTTGTCTGGTCTTTGGCTAGGCTTTTGCCTAAACATTTGGTTAGGCCATTAACTAAGCCTTTGCCTAGGCCCTTAGCTACCCTTTGGCAACCCAACTCCTCCTTGCTCCACCGTACCCTGCTCTATCCTACCCTACTCTACCGACACTACCCTACCCCATCGCACCTCGCTCTACCTACCCGAGTACAACGGTAGTTAACCCGCACCACCATGTCTCACCCCTCAAGTCATATAAAAACCAATTTAACCCACTCATCTCAAATCACACCCCTCCCCACCCTAAACTATAACAGCCATCACATAAACGCAAAAACAAGACTAATCCGAAGCAAAGCAAATTAAAGCATTGCGTGCCGTGGCGGCTACACGCTCCGGTAAAAGTACGTGTTCGTATCGCCAGCGGCTTACTCGGTAATCCGGCTGTAATTGTCAACACACCCTGAATACTGCCAATTTAAAATAGACCCTACAGATTTTTTTCGAGTAAGTCGTAAAGAATGGCATAGATTTTGAGGTCTTTTCAACAAATGTAACACTTTATAAAAAATGGGTCGGAATAGGTGTATATTGTGTTAGGTAGACAGGTTTAGCAAAAAATGGCATTAAATAGACTATTATAAAAGTTACTGAGTCAAAACGTAAAAGCTAAAATATATTGAGTACACACTAACACTACCCTAGCCCTAGCCAAGAGCCCTAGCCCAGAGCCCTAGCCCAGAGCCCTGGTCCTAGCCCTGGTCTTAGCGCTAGCCCAGAGCCCTGGTCCTAGCCCTGGTCCTAACCCTAGCCCAACATTTAATGCACATTAGCCGTGGTCTCACCGTAAACTTACGGTAAGTACACCCCAAGCTTACCGTAGTTACTCTCCCCTACCCCTTAGCCTTAGTTTTAGCCTTGTCTCCATCTTGAATTCTAGCACCGCCCTTAAGTTAGCCCAAGCCCAGAGCCCTAGCCTAAACATGAAACCCCTATTAGCCGTAAGCTTCGAACTTACCGTGAACTCTATGCTTCACGGTGAGTGCGGGAAAGTAGCCTTGTCTTGGTTTTACTATTGCAATTATACAAAAAGTTCATCTACTCTACTTTACCTATTTACCAGCTTTTCACCAATGAAATTTTAAAATGGCGTACAGTGCCTTATATAACAAAACAAAACTTTACTCACTGAGTTAAAGCTTTTTATCTACAATAATTTCAACCCTGCCCAACCTCGATTCATGGAAAGAATAATTTGATGTCGTAAATTCTGACTTTTGTAAATAAAACCTACTACAGTAGCCTATAAAGTACAAAAAGTTATTTTAGATCCATTGTTCAACCGTACACAAGTCGACCACTAATATTTTTTAAAATCACATTTTTTCTATAAAAATAATCATAAAAGATCAATAAATCCAACTTACTTCCCCATATGTTCAAGTTGAGTCACATCAGTTACGCGAGTTCTGCCATGTGGTGTATACAAGTGTCGTACTCCAAACGGCAGTTGTATGTTGCCATTCAAATCATCCAACAAAGAATCGATCGTTCTGTACCGTGCTTTTGTTACTGGAACTCGCAGGCCCTAAACAAAAATGTTGTAAATAAGGCTTGAAGTTATATTATATTATACATTATACATTTACAGTAAAGCTTTTTTATAATAAACTCTCAACCAAACTACAGTCAAAGCCAAGGAAAACCATCCAAAATACTACGATCAGTATGAATTTACTATAACTAATACACTAGGCTTTCAAGATGACACAGTGAACGTATTTTACACAATATACCACGGCTAATACCAAAGCATTTTAAGCCAGATACCACAATCAATATTAAGGTAATTTGGCAGATATACCATAACAAAATTTAGCGTATTACGGCCGAGATATTAAACCCAATATAAAAGCATTTATACCTAATAAATATTTTGCATTCTGCGCAGTTTACGTTTTGTAAGCAAAGTTTTTGCAATTTTATGGTTTGTAAAAAAAGTTCTTGCCATTTTAATGTTTGTAAAGAAAGTTCTTTCCATTAAAGCCTCCGTAAAAAAAAGTTTCTTCCATTATAATTCTAGTAAAGAAAGATCCTTCTATCCCCACCCCTGTAAACAAAGTTCCTTCTATTCCCACCCCTCTAAAGAAACTCCTCGCAATTTCAACATATGTAAAGGAAGTTCTTGCCATTTTAACCCGTGTAAAAAAGTTCCAGGGTTGGACGCAGGGCAGGGCATGGGCCCTGTAACAGGGCATTTTTGAATTGTTTTTTGGCGCGCTTTTTTTTATTTTTTTTTTGGCTAGGCCTAAAAACGCAAAAAATTCTAGAAATGGGTTTTAAACACTGCTAATCCATTTTACGTTGTTATTTTCTTGATAGCTATTACAGTTTTCAAGATATGAGTTTGGCGGGAAAACGAAATTCAAAAAAATGCCCTGTTGAAATGCCCTGCCCTGCCCTGCGTCCAACCCTTTTCTCCACCTTTCCAAACAAAGTTCTTTCCCTACTAAACCCCTGTAAACAAAGTTCCCACACTCACCGTGAAGTAGACGTCGTTGTCTTTGTAGAAGAACACAGTCTTAGCCGAATACGGTCGTTGAAAGGTTCGATTCTTGTTGTCGTACGTTCTGACCATGCCATTCACCGGTCGGGGCACGGTTTGCATAAGAAGTTCGAACTCGGGCGAGATCTGTTTGGTGCGACGTGTGATTAGGCTTAGTATTTGATCGCTCGGCGTTCTTCGCTCAGGACTGGACGTGCTGGGAAGGAGGAGGGGCTGGAATTTGAAATTTTAATTTTAAATTTTTTAGTTTTAAAAAATTTAGGCTTAAAATAAAAATCTTATGCTTAAATAACCCTTTTTTTGAAGCTGAAACTTACTCAAATAACAATACCTTAGGCGTAGATTAGCAGTTAAACCTTAAGCACATAACAGTATCTTAGGCTTAAATCAGCCTTACCTCAATTAGTTAGGCTTATATTATACTACTAACAACATTTTAGGCTTATTTTACATTTATAACAGCAATTGAAGCTTATACTATACTCCTAGCGTCAACTTAAGCTTACATTAGTCCTTTCTCAATCTTTTAGGCACACTACTAGCCTCAACTTTGGCTTATTTTATATTTATAACAGCAATTGAAGCTTATACTATACTCCTAGCGTCAATTTACACTTATATTACAACACTAGTACCAAGGTAAGCTTATATTGAAGTCATAGCAAAATTAGGCTTATATTATACTCCTAACACCATCTTAAACTTATGTTATACCTTAGCAGCAATTTAGGCTTAAATTATACATCTAACAAAAAATTAGGCTTATAGTTTACCCCTAGCAGCAATCTAAGCTTATATTCTCTCGTAATAGCATTTTAGGCTTATATTATACCCCTAACAACAACTGAGGCTTATGTGAAAGAACTTTTCAAAAAAACCAAAAAATTCAAAAAAAATTCAAAACCTTCTCTCCCCAAAGCCAATAAAATAAAAGTCATCGTTAAGGCTTACTCTGTGATTTTCGGGCGATTTGGCCGCTGTGTCGTTGGTCCATGTCTCCAAACCTAAAACAATATAATTTGTAACGTTAAACCAAAAACTTGATAAAAAAGATATTTGAGTATCAATAACACCAGTTTAGGCTTTAATTATAGCAATATGTTATCATTTCTGCCATTCTTTTTTATATAAAAAAAATATTTTCTGAAAATTTTGTTACCTAAAATAATATTTTTCCCCAAAAAAATTAAATATCTAAAAAAATATTGAAGAAAACTGAAGTTCGTCTGGAAAACAGACAAAACCCCAGAATTTGAGCACATTATAATTTGGTGGGAACGGCGTGGGTTTCGAGAAAGAACGACAAATAAGAAAAAAACACGCCAAAAACCTGACCGTTCTTAATTTACTTATAGACACGAAAAAACAAAATTAAAGGCAGGTATAGCATCAGTCAGGGCCGGGCGCGAGGGGGGGGAGACGGGGGGAGACGGGGGGGGTACCCACCGCCCAAAAAAAAATTTTTCGAAAAAATTTGAACGTGGCCTGTGCCGATTTTTTGGACCCCTGCCCCCAGACCAAAAGTCCCCGCCCGGCCCTGGCCTCAGTATTACAAAATGAATTGTGATTTTATATCTACCGTACTCTAAAATACCCTACCCTACCCTACAGTACCCTACCCAACCCTACCCTACGATACCTTACCCTACCCTACCCTACCCTACCCTACCCTACCCTACCCTACCCTACCTTACCTTACCCTACCCTACCCTACCCTACCCTACCCTACCCTACCTTACCTTACCTTACCTTACCCTACCCTACCCTACCCTACCTCTAAAACAACCTATGTATCGCAACAGCAGTTCCCTTGCTCTCTCTGACCCCGACCCTACTCTGAGCCTTATTTACCCTGCCTTAGTTCGTACCATCTTATCTCATCATACCATACTTCAGTTTTCATTCCATTAAACACTAAAAATTTTTTCTAGGTTCCCCCCCAGCGCCCGGCCCTGACCATAACCTTACATACCATATAACATTTTTTTCCTAAAGTACCCCCCCCCCTCTTTTATTGTCCGCAAATTATAAAAAAAAATTAAAACCCACCCCCACTTTTATTTTTATAACACCTTACTCTACCCTACCAAATAAAAGTTAACACACCCCCGTATCCAAATTTTATTAAAACTCAGTTACGCGTATCGTATTTTACCTTACCATAACCTACTACTGTAATCTCTCTATATAGTGAACCATCTGTATAAGCAACTCTCCTTATAGTCAACAAGACATTTTGCCCCCGCCAAGTCAATTTGCACTAAAAAATTACTCTGTAAAGGCAACACCCCTATAGTAAACACAAAATGCCGGTCCCTTCGAGTTGCTTATATAGAGAGAGTACTGTGTAGGCTGCCCTACCCAACTCAACGAAAAGAAAACCACCCCCCCAACTCCTACATTTTCTCAAATGTTACAATAACAAGCTCTAAACTGACAAAACAGTAGAATGTAAGTTGTTTATTCGATAACAAGCATGTCGAACCAACCCTGTAATTGTGAGCGGATTATAAATCCTTCGAAATTTTACATTTTCAAATTCGAAAGCAATTGCGTGTCATTTACCACACTTAATTGGTCTTGTTTTCCATAGAGATTCATTATACAGAGCTTTCACTGCATTGAAATGATATGCGTTATACTTTCAAAATCAGAATAACATACAACGAAAGATGAACCCTTGTGTTTGGTCTATCAATACTCTCTCTATATAAGCGACCCGAATGGACTGACATTTTGTGTTTACTATACGGAGTATTGTCCTTACAGAGAGGCTTTTTAGTGTAAATTGACTTGGCGAGGCCGAATTTCTTGTTTCCTATAAAAAGAGTTGCTTATACAGATGGTTCACTATGTAGAGAGACCACTGTAGTACAGAAAGGGTGATTTTATGTAAATCGTAGGCCATAAAGAGAGGAAGAAAAAGAAAGTAACAAGGAAAGTACCCGACCTACCGCACTATGATTGACTTCAAACTTTTTCAGGAAGATCATGTAAATACAGTGGAACCCTTGTATAACGAATCGCTCGAAGACTTGAAATTTGTTCGTTATAATATGGAGTTTCGTTATAGAAGAGTTTTAAATGCACTGTGTATTGGTAAACGGGGATTCAAAAGTTGTTCGTTATACAGGATTTTCGTTATAGGAAAGGTCGTTATACAGGAGTTCCATTGTATAAGATCTTCAGCAAAGTACTAAATCGCGCTTTCCAATCAATCTCAAGAAAATCGAGGTAAAAATACACTTTGAACTTCCCGCCAAATTGGAAATTTTTTGGCATTGTGTTTCAAGCTTATAACTTTGTCATTTTTTGACTTTTCATTACCACCTTTCTTTAATATACTAGTAAAAAACTTTCAAAAATTTTTAAAATTTATTAATTTAGAAACGATTTTATCTGGAAAGTCAAAAAAAAGTTCTTGCAACAGAATGCCAATATCGCCAAAAATTGGCGGAAAATTCAAATATGTAACTTTGAAAACTCAAGAACACAATTTAAAAACTTTTATGTGTACTATTGATATTACAAAGACTCAGTATGAACATTTTTAGAGTAAAGAAGGTTGAGTACTAATCTACGCTACCTAACCCTGCCCTACCCTATATTACACTCCCTTACCCTACCCAACCCCATATCCAGCTTAAAATTAATAAATAAAAGATAATAGTGACAAAATTCTTACCAAAAAAAAAAGACAAATTTTTTTAAAAAATTTTCAAAAAATAAAAATTTCAAAAAATTTTGAAATTAAAGAAAAATAGGAAATAACTTACCCATTAGACAAGCTGGACGCTTATGGTGTGTACAATAACTTTATATCCTTCCAACCCGTCGACTAATTACAGGTTGAAAGCCGAACGTTTTCATGTCGGATGTTGTAAAAGAGGAGGCATGACTTTTTCGCTTCTTCTGAAATCACAAACACTAATTAACAATTGAGAAGTTATGACAATCATCATGTTTCACAAACTCGAGTATGAGATCAAAAAAGGTTCAGTTTAAAAAGTTGAGCTAGAGTAGAGCTCTCACTCCTTTCCTTTGATGAATAAGGAAAATTCCATGCCCAGGCTGCAGAAGATCGTGTGATCTTCTTGAAACAATCTTAAGTTTAAAGCGCAGTCCAAGCGTTTTTTAGCGTTATGCCTTATTTCAATCGTTTTCCGTCCTCACCTATCCCTAAAAAATTCAATTTTATTAGAGCTACAGCAAATGCTAGAGCTTAAGTTGAACATAGAGTAGGGCTTGAGCAAGGTCTTAGCGAGGATTTGAGGTAAGGCTAGAGCTAAGACTACACCTAGAGCTAGAGCTTAAAGGACCAGTAAATATCATTGGCATTCTGTCGCAAAAAGCGTCGAAAATCAGGCAATTTCAATCAAAATCATTTTTCTCAAAAAACGTGAGTGGGTCGGTGTCGAAATGAATTTTCCAATTTGGGACCGACCTGCTCAGGTTTTTTGAGAAAAAAATGAACGTCGAATTTTTGCGACAGAATGCCAATTATATTTAAATGGGCGAACTGGTCCTTTAAGCTAAAGCTGAAGCTAGAGCTGAAGCTAGAGCTAGAGCTAGAGCTAAAACTAGAGCTGAAGCCAAAGCTCGAGCTAAGGATACTGCTAGAGCTAGGGCTAGATCTAATAAGATTAAAACAAAAGTTAAACGTAAATAATACTCCCCCCCCCCTCGTTAATTAAAAAATTTTTAAAAATAACAAAATATTCTCCTCAATTTACAAGTGCTTTCAGGTAAAAAAGAACATTGTTTTGACCCTCCAGTTAGATAAAAAAACTTTGAGTTTGGTACTATAAAGAAATGGTCAAGCTTGGTACAGTAAAAGAATACTTGTCAAGAAAAATCAATTTGAGACCAGATAGTTGGTTGGAAATCAAAACAAAAATACAGTGGAACTTGTGTATAACGAACAACTTTTGAATCCTCGTCTACCACTACACAGTGCATTTCAAACTCCTGTATAACAAAACCCTTTTATAACAAACAAATTTCAAGTTCCACAGCGATTCGTTATACAAGAGTTCCACTGTAATAAAAAATAACCTTATAATCTTGAATGAACCTTTTTATACTGACTCAGGTAACGATTGTAATCAATTTTAGTCTTAAGTTAAGCTTACACCTCACACAGCCTTATTATATTATAAAAAACTTTGCTTCAGAAACTAAACTCTAGACTAGAAATATTAACATAGCATTAGTAATTTTCGAAAATGAACGTCTATATTATAAAAAAATAGTGTAAAAAAAAGAAAAGGGGATGTTTTTCCAAAAAAAATTTTTTAAGTTGTACGAAAAAATCTTCTTGATCCTCTGAAGTAGTAAAAATAAAAAAAAAAGTTTTTTTGGTCAACAGGCCACCTACCCGTTGATGTTTTTCAAATCGACTCTAACAGATAAATCCCCCCCCTCCACCTCCTTTCACCCTCAAAAAACTACCCTCCAAAACATCACTACTAACCTTGTTACAAAAATAAGCCTCAAACCTGCACTATTCCTTTACTCCTTTTACTTTTTCTTTCTAATGCAAAGTCAGGGCGCGACAAACAATCGCACGGAAATTAAATGGGAAAAGTGGGGAAAGTACAAAAACAAAAATAAATACTGCGAGAGTATGTTACCCACAGCAACCGGTATGTGGTGAAGAGAGAAACAGCTGTGATACTATTTAATTCTACTGCGTTTTGTTTTTTGAAACGTGTCATATATGTAGTGGTTTATTACACTTTTACAACCACAATGTGCTGCCAGAGTTCAAAGTGTGGGAGTTTTGAGTCATTCACAGAAAAGAACGATTATGGGGGAGGGATGAGGTATCAAAATACGAATGATAGTATATATAGTAATCGAAAATTGTGGTAAAAAGTTAAATCCTCAGCCCTAGTCGCAGTAAATACTGTTATATGATAAGGCAAGGCTAGTTTATCAACAATAAGTTAATAAACTGTATGCTAAGGCTAATCCAAAACAATTTTACAATAGAACTTAAATTTTTACGTTAAAAAGGCTTAAGATATAGGCAAGGATTCGGCTACAGAAAGGCAACAGTGAGACAAAGGCCCGGCTATTGTATAGCTAAGGTTATGGCTAGACCTAGGGTTAATAGTGGAGATAAAACAGAGTTAAAGTATGTCTAGAATAGAGTTGTATATCCTAAGACTACAGTACGACCAAGATAAAGCTATGCTAAACCTAAGATAGTGGTGCTAGTTTAAAATAGTAGTAGAGTAACTACGGTAAGGCTGTTGTATTAATTACAGTAGAGTTATTGTAAGACCACGACTAAGGCAAGAGCCCGGTGCAGTACTAAGGCTAGAGTTATCGCTAGTGCTAGGGCTTGAGCTTCATCTAAAGCTAGAGTTAGTGCTAGAGCTATGGCTAAGGCTAGAGCTCTGGGCTAGGGCTCTGGGCTAGGGCTCTGTGCTAGGGCTCCGTACTAGGACTCTGGGCTACGGCTCTGGGCTAAAGGTCCAAACTAGGGCTCTGGGATATGGCTCTAGGTTAGGGCTCTGTGCTAGGGCTCGGACTATCGCGACTATAAAAAACCCAAAAAAAATCAAAATCCTTACAATAATACCCAAACCTCATAAAACAAGATAAAATATATAATAAATCTACCTATAATACATTATACTACACCCTTATACGTATTACACTGTAAAATGTGAAACCAAGTAAAACGTCCTTTTGAAAACCCGACACGTTCAAAATTGTACCTCCCTAATATTATAACAGTACTCGGAAGTATAAAGCAAGAACATGAAATACTCGAAACGAAAAGGTATGTAAAAATAGTTGGACCAGACCTAGGATAATCTGATTATTCACAAAAAGTCAACCGAAATGTAATTATGAAAGTGGGAGTTACACTTACTTAGTTAATGTGGTGTTGCTGTGAAAAGGCATAATTAGAGAAGGAAAGAGCGGTGGGTAGGAAAAGAAGGTTTTTTTCATAAATCGCTTACATTGTAAAATTTTAAAAATCCAAAAAATTAATTTCAAAAAAAAATTTTTTACTACCCCCCCCCCCCCCCCCCCCTCCTTAAAATTTTTCTTTCAAAAATGTCAAAATTTCAGAAAAAAGTAAAAATCAATACAAACCCTAACTTAAAAAATTTTTTTTTACCCCGCCCCCTACCCCCCCCCACCCCCCCCCAAAAAATTTTTTTCAGTTGAATTTAAAGTACAAAGAAACTAAACACCATATTAAACCTAATTTACATACAAAAAAATTCACCCTGCCCTCCCTCCTCGCTTTCCTCCCACACTTAGAAAATTCACTGGTCCAATACTACGCCCTAAAGCACTCAAATTCAATTTTTTTTGAAAAATGTGTCCTATTATACTATCGAAGACAGCACGTCATGCCGTTAATCTCCATGTTTTTGCCTGACCTTGACTCGGACTGTAACAGTTCTGAACTAAACTCTTCCATAATAATATGCAAAGCCTTCTTTCGTCTATGTAATGTATTGTTTTACTGAGTAGATTGTGATATATCTACTACACTATTTTTAATATATATTTTTTGAAACTTTTTTATATAAAAGTCTAAATATTTAAATTCATTTTCAAAGAGTTAGGCTTAAGTTTTAAAACCTTTTATAAAGCTTTGTGGATTTAATTTAGACAACGCACGACTTCAATATCTAAACCATGATGTTATAACAGACCATGCCTATAAACCCCTAAAGCAAAGTCGACTAATGTCTACTTGCCATTCCTTCTTACATTGTTTATTTGTGACAGAATGTCGCTTAAAATTACTATTTATTCACGATTAATCGAATCTAAAGCATGGTATTTAACTCGAATATTTTGGACTGCTCTGTTAGTCGGCACTTTTTGTAAGTTTACTGTTGGATTGACATTTACATTGAAATATGGGTAAAATTTTATAAAACACGGCAGTAAGTTCTAGCTATATGAAGCAAGAAAATCAAAGAAGAATAGCAAAAAGTATGGCAAGATTAGTGCAAAAGTAGAGCATAGGTAAGACTATGACAAGACAATAAAATAGCAAAGGTAGAAAATAGAGAAGACAAGGTAACGCAAAAGTAAAGCAAGTGTAGACCAAAAATAGGGCTATGGCAAGGTGAGAACATGATAAAAGTATAGCAAAAGCAAGGCAAGGGTAAAGCAAAACTAAGGCAAGGGTATGGCAAAAGTAAGGCAAGAGTAGAACGACAGTAAGGCAAGGGTAAAGCAAAACTAAGGCAAGGGTGCAGCAAAAGCAAAGTAAGCGTAGGGTAAAAATAGGGCTAGAGCAAGGCAAGAAAATTGCAAAGGTAGGGCAAAAGTAAGGCAAGGGTAGATCAAGAGTAAGCCTAAAGTAGAGCAAAAGTAAGACAAGGTATAGGGCAAAAATAAGGTAAAAGCACGGCAAGAGTACGGCAGGGGTAAAGCAAAAGTAAGGCTGAGGCAAGGCAAGAGTAGAGCTAGAGCAAGGCAAGAAAACGCCAAAAGTAAAACAAAGATAAGGCAAGGGTAAATCAAAACGTAAGATAAGACGATAGTAACAGTAGGACAAAAGTAGGATAAAGACAGAGTAAAGATAAGGCAAGTGCAGACCTAGAGAGTGCTAAAGAAGGCAAGATTAGAGCAAAAGGCAATGGTAGCACATAGTATGGTATAGTAAAGATAGTATCGTAAAAAGCTAGAGTGAAACCCCTTTAAAAAAGTTCAAACCAACTTTTCAAAAGCGCATTCTATTTCAGACACAATATACTCCACCGACAGTATAATATACGGTAAACGAGTATACTTCCCTTATCGTCCACCCTTCTATCAGCATAAAGCCACACTACTAAATGATACAATTAACAATAACACAGAGATAGAGAAACCACAAGAAGGCGTAGTAATAACGGCTGAATTCCGTGATCAAACCTTCACCTACTCGTTGTTACCGCCATCAGACAGAGACTTGTGTAGACACACTAATGTGCTGGTGCTGATCATATCAAGACCAGATGGATTCAGGAATAGAGATTACATTAGGAAGAGTTGGATGTATTATGAGGTAAGGCAAATTGAAGCAAACGTTTTTAAAATTTAGAAAAAAAGATGGAAAGTTCGGAAAATTAGGAAAAAAAATTAGAACTGGCGGGTCCAACTTACACCTACATTTAAAAAGGGTCATATCCTAAATCTACATAAATTTTCAAATTCAGCAAAATTCTGAAAAAAAAAGAAAATTTTGCCATGGATAATATCGCCGCGTGTTCAGGTGGTGATTTCGCGTTTACTATTGAATATACGTTATATCTAGCTTAAAATAATGTTGTGTTGCTCAAGTTTTTCAGATATTATCAATATTTTACTTTTGTCTGATGAAATAGTCTACTTTCGCCCACAATTTTATGCCTTCTCCAAGATCCAAGCTAAAACAATGTCGAAAGTCGAATGGTAAGTCATTTCTTTCGTTTTATTTTTGTTGGTTTAGAGAAAAGACATATTCAGGCAACTAATCAGTGGCCTTTCATCAGTTTTCAAGCTTAATTTCCTCATATAACGTCTTGGCATTGTTTTAGATAAAATTTTAGGTAACAAAACATAATTTTGCCACATTTAAATGGTAAAAACATGAAAAATAATAAGTAAGGTTTTACAACAGTTTACCAGTCAATTCTCAATGTTTTTAGCTCTAAAAGTTGAACAGAACGCCATTTTTTACTCAAAAAGTATTCTAAAACAATACCAAGATGCCTTCCAATCAAAAATCTTTCAAAAACTGACGAAATGTTGCATGTATGTTTGAAAAATGACTGTTGTAAAACGCTACTTATTGTTTCTGCGTTTTAACTATCAGAGCGTGGCCCAATTATACTTTGTTACCTAAAATTAGCGCTAAGACAATGTCAATACGTTAGCTAAAGAAATTAAGCTTTAAAACTGATGAAAGGTTAACGATTAGTTGACTCGATATGTCTTTTACCTAAACCAACAAAAATAAAACAAAAAAAGACTTACCGGTCCACTTTCGACATTATTTTAGCTTGGGTTCTGGAGAAGGTATGGAAATTTCCCCCGAAATGGATTGTTTCATGTGAAAAAAGTGAACTATTGATAAAACCTGAAAATCTGAATTAGTAGAACATTATTATAGACGAAATAGAATTTATTTACAATAAGAAACGACACACATATCAACTAAACTCGCGATATTGTTCAAGAAAAAAAGATGTTCAAAAACATTTTTCGTAATTTAATTTCGCTAAAATTGAAACGAAACGCCAGAGGAATCAATTTTTTAGCTGTAAAGGACGATTAAAAGCCCAATTTCAGGGAAACCCAAAAGATGTTACGTTAAAGTTCATCATTGGACAAACTTTCGATTCAAAAACTAATGAAAGGCTTCAGGAGGAGATCGTTGAACACATGGATATTGTGCAATATGAATTTATTGATGAGTAAGTTGTGTTTTAATGGTTCTAAATTGTAAAATAATTATTTATTTTGCCCATTATTGGATGTTCCGGTAATATCAACCTTATTTTACACTTAACTTCAAACTAGGACTACCACACTGTTCAGTATAATATAATATATTTTGTTACAAATGGTGTCAAGAAGTCTTTTTTGGTAATTTATATCATTGTAAAGAAACGATGTTACAAATTCAAATCCTTAAAGTTTAGATACGACCTCCTGCCCTTAAAAGTTCATGCCACATTAGCGTATCAACAAGCTTTTTGCCCTGAGGCTAAATACTTGCTGAAGACGGATGATGATACTGTGATTCATTTGGCACGTCTAAATCATTTCATAGAGACGAGCTATGAAGAAAAGTACTCAAAAACACCTAAAATGCTGGCATGTGCAATATTTGCCGGATTGAAGCCTAATCGGAACAAGGATAACAAGTAGTGAGTGATTTTTAAAATTTTTATATTAAAAAAAAAATTTTTTAATTTAAATTTTCAGTTACGTGTCCAAAGAGATCTATCCGTCAGAGTTATACCCAAACTTTTGTCAAGGTTGCTCTTACATGGCTTCAACTGATGCTGTAGCTGCCATTCTTAATCACACTAAGGAGGCTCACTTTCTGAAACTAGAAGATGTGCTTTTTACTGGATTAATAGCTGAAAAAGCTAATGTTACTTTGTATAATACAAGGAATTTTGGATATTATGTAAGTCTTACAATGGTATTTAGGTAGGGTAGAGTAAACGGAAATAAGTTAAGATAGAATAAGGCAAGGCAGGGTTGAAGGTAAGATGGGGTAATGTAGAATAGGGTAGGGTAAGGTATAACAAAGTAGGGGAAGGCAGATCACGGCAAGGTAGAGGAAGGTAGTTTAGAATAAAGTAGGGTGGGGTAAGTTCATTTAAAGTAAGGTTAGGTATATTAAGTTACAATACGGTAGAGTAGATTTGATTATAGTAGGGCAAATGTATTATATTATACTATACTTCATCATAGTATAAAGCTTTAAATGTTGAATGAAACTTTGCAGACAGCTTCCAGTAGAGTAGAATGCGATAAAGACCAAGTGCCGTTACCGACAGCTCTTTTGGGAGTACGAACGTACTTAATGGCACGGTACTTTAACAAGCTTCAAAATCAACAGTGTCTAACAAAGCATCACCATTAGGCTCCCAAGACTTGTGCCGAGTCTCGTCGGCTCACTTTCAAGTCTAAATAGTACTTACAAGGAAATGTATTTTTAAATAAAGTGAAACCTCTGTATAACAAATCTTTAGGGGAATTAAAATTCGTTCGTTATGAAGAGGTTTTGTTATAAAGAGGTTTTAAATTCACTGTGTAATGATAGCCGGAGATTTAGAAGTTGTTTGTTATACAGGGGTTTTGTTGTATAGAGACTTTCTACGGAGGTTTCACTGTATTTTTGAAAATTTAAAAATTTTTGATTTTTTAAAATTTTTTAAAAGAAACTTAAAAAAAATACGATTTTGAAATACTAAATTTTTTAAAAACTTATTTTTAAATTTTTTTTAAATTTTAAAATTTTGTTTCATTACTACAATTTTTGGTTTTTATTTTTTTAAATTTTTAAAATTTTTAAAATTCAAAAAAAATTGAATTTTTAAATATTAAATTTTAAAATTTTTTATTTTTGTAATTTTAATGTTTTTACGTTTGTCTTATCACCACAATTCCCCAATCAGTTGAGATATTAGTATTTATTAATCTACAATATATACAGTATAGTAATAAATATATACATGAATGGAATGATGTTGAGATTGACCAGTAACAAGCGTTTAGTAGGGTGGGAAGTGAGGGCTTTTGACCAGATGTGGGTACACAAACAGTCGTACATCCTCTTTGATGTCATCGAACCGTTGCATGTCCTCTTCACTCAGTTCGAAGTCGAAAAGTGAAAAGTTTTGCTTCAGGCGCTCGGGGTTGGTACTCTTGGGGATGACCGTGATGCCCTGTTGTACCATGTGTCGTAGCAGGATTTGGGCGGGAGTTTTGTTGTACTTCTTGGCCAATTCTTGCGTGACTGGGTGGTTGAGGTTGTCAGCATGGGGCCACTCGCCCATTGGTGCTTTGCGGAAGCCTTCCAGACGGCCTGGTGATCCCAAAGTGGCATAGCTGGATACAACAATATCCAATTCACGACAGAGGGCAATTAGGTCGCGACGACGGTGGTGGATGTGTAGCTCGATCTGCAGATTCTGAGGCTTGATCTCGGCCTTCTTGTGCAGGTCGAGGAGTTGGTCGGCACGGAAGTTGGAGACGCCGATCGCCTTCAGAATGCCCATCTTGTAGTAGCGTTCGAACATTCTCCAGGTTTCGATGTGAGGGGTGAGGTCGGGGGCGTAGACTCCAGGTTCGATCTCAATACGTTGGTAATTGTCGTCGTGTGCCATTCCGCAGGCATTGTGCATCAGGTAGAGGTCGATGTAGTCGATGCGAAGAGCTTTGAGTGAGTTCTGGATGAAGTGCTCGACATCTTCGGGTTTGTGGCCTTGAGTTGGGAGTTTGGTGGCTACAAACAGCTCTTCTCGCTTTACTTTGCCTGAGGTAATGTACTCTTCCAGCACTTCTCCAATAAGGTCCTCGTTGTAGTACAGGTAGGCGGTGTCAATGTAGCGATATCCCGAGTCCAATGCCAATCTCAATGCATCTTTAAAGGCGACTGGGTCACGGCCTTGCCATGTGCCCAAGCCAACCAATGGCATCTTCTTTCCGTTGGCCATCACAACATAGTCCTTTTGGGCGCTGGTCTCTTGGTAGGAGCTGGCTTCGTAGACCGGCTTGGCTGGCTCGATCTCCGGCTCGAAGCTCATCCAGCTAGCAAAGTTCTGTTTTATTTCTGTGATTGGAGCCATTGTAGTCGTTCGTAGTCCAGTAGACTGTCTTAGTAGTAGTAGTATTCGTAAGAGGAAATTATCCGATGAAACTTTGAATTCGGATCCAGCCTTATATAGTAATGGGGGTTAGGGGCGGTTTTTTGGTGTCGAAGGCGGTGGGGCGGTTTTTTGATCCCGAAGGCGGTGGGACGGTTGTTGGAGCCTAAGGGCGGTTTTTTGATCTTAGAGGCGGCGGGGCGGTTGTTGAAGGTATAAGGGCGGTTGTTTGCTTTAAACTTGATAGGGCGGTGTAATGCTTTTAGTGTCTTAAAGACGGTAGTTCAACTTTTTGTTAAGGGGTAGAGAAAAACAGAAAAGAGGGGTAACTATAAGAGAAGGGGTGTGATATAGAGTGAAAAGTAAAAGAAAGGGGTCCGGTAAAGAGCGTAAGGTAATGAGAAAGGGTGTAGTATATAGTGTGAAAGGTAACGAGAAGGTGTGTCATGTATGAAGTAAAAGAAAAAAAGAGAAACAACCATTAGATAAGGTAGGGCAGGGTAGAGAAAGAACTATTTGTTAAGGCAGGGCAGGGTAGAGAAACAACTGCTAGAGAACATAGTGTAGACTAGACCAGACAAAGAAAAAGAAAGAAGAGGCTATTCATCAACTCAACTGATAATTTTAGAACCGAGGCGGGCTCATTATCACTTTTTTAGACATTAAACTTTTAAAAAACTATATTGCCTTAGGCGGAGACATTGATTTTTGATTTGTTAAAGTCAAAAAAGCATAATATAACGGGAAAGCGAGAGAGTTAACAGACAGTGAAGGTAATAAACATCAAAAAGATAGTGATATAAGCCAGAATGTTAGAGAAAAACAAGATTAAAATGTTAAAAAATGAAATAACAAGTACAAAAAGTTGGGATAAGGACAGTATAATAAAGAAAATGGTACTAGAATTGATGATAAAATTAAAAATAGTACTAGTTGTAATGGTACAATCTAGCAAATGGCACTAAAATCAATGATACGGCCAAAAATAATACGAGTTGTAATAGTATAATCAAGAAAATGGTACTACAGTCAATGATACGGCCAAAAATAATACTATAGTAATCCCTTTGTATAGTGAACCATCTGTATAAACAACTCTCCTTATAGTCAACAAGCAATTTGGCCCCGCCAAGTCAATTTACACTAAAAAATTACTCTGTAAAGGCAACACCCCCTATAGTAAACACAAAATGCCGGTATTTTTGTGTTGCTTGTATAGAGAGAGTACTGTATTAGATTACACTGCGCATCAAAAATAATGCTAGTTTTACTATTTTTTACAATATGTTTTTCGATTTTTTTAAATTTTTGAAAATCAAAAAAAAATTTTTGAAAAATTTTTAAAATGTTCTGATATTGTTACGTAAAAAAGGTCATAGATTGTGAAAAAAGGGTAACAATCAAGACTGAAAAACCTTTATAAATCTTTAAAATGTCTAAAAACTAACTTTTATTAGGTTGTTCAATAAATTTTGTGCCCCTCTTGAAAGTTCATTTCTGGAGTTAGTGGCTCATAACTATTTGAACAACCTAACATTACTATTTTTGCTCGTATCATTGAGTTATACTAATTCCAATATAGTACTATGCAGGAACAATATAGTACTAATCAAGAAGAATATAGTACTAAAACAAATGTCAGAGCAATAGAAATAGTAAAACAACCAAAGAGACGTCAGAGAACCAAAAATCTTTGAAAATCATTTGTAGGCGGAGCTAAAAGTCTGTCTGATCGTCTCCCCCACCAAAGGTCTGACTGTCTATCAATGTTACTTTACAATATCTTATCACTTCTCTAGTCTACCCCAATTTCATATGGTCTTATCGTTGAAATGGTAACGAGTGTTCTGTGCTTCATCATGTTCATATAGTATAAAGTGCAATATTGCGCTGTAAACACTGTCGTCTATGGTGTCCTTCACATGTCAACAGTCTGTTGATGTCTTAGGTTCTATTTTAGTTTTTGATTTATTCTTTGGTAATTTTTTAATTTTTATATTTTCATAGTGTTTTTTAGGCTTATGTCACCATTTAGATTATAGGTATGCTTCTTTCAGTTAAACTCTTGTTATAATCAACAAAACATGTTATAATAGGGATAAAAATAAGGTGAAATTAAGATTGAAAGAAAAAAAAACAAAGATTGAGTCCAATTAAGATAAGCCTATCATAATTCTGTTCAAGCTAGAGCTAAAGCTAAAACTAAAACTAAAGCTAGAGCTAGACCTTGAGGTTGAACTAGAGCCTGAGTTAGAGTAGAGCTAAGGCTAGAGCTAACGATAAGGTTTAGCCTAAGCCTGAGCCCGAACCTAAGCCTAAGCCTGAGCCCGAACCTAAGCCTAAGCCTAAGCCTAAGCCTAAGCCTAAGCCTAAGCCTAAGCCTAAGCCTAAGCCTAAGCCTCAGCCTTAGCTTAAGCTTATGCCTAAGCTTACGCCTAAGGCTAAGCCTACGCCTACGCCTAATCCTAAGCTTAAGTTTACGCTTAAACTTAAGCCTAAGGCGAAACCAAAGCATACGCCTAAGCTTAAGGCTTTGGGCTATAGCTAGCTTTGGACATGGGCTACGATGGGGGCTCTGGGCTAGAGCTAAGGTTAATAAAAAAAACATTTTACATTATTATACATAATACTTTGTCTATAGTGCTATTCTATTTCTTATTCTCTATCTTTCACTCTTATTTTCTCTCCTCTTCGCTCTTTACCCTCTTATCACAACAACATCACCTCCGCCAGTTTCTTGTAGAATTTGCTCGAGGCCCCGCTCTTCAAAAGTTGTTTTCTGAATTAATAACAATCGGCGGAAAAGCGGTGATAAGTTCACGTGAATCGTATCAGCGATCATTGAAGATCGCCGTAACCATTGATTCATTAGGAGCAGCATGGTCGTCGAAAAAGTCATGAGGTTGGTCGGTACACGTTCTCGCCGCGTCTATCATGACATTCATGTGAATATGACATTCATGTGAAGGTATTTTTGGAATGGATGTATTTTTAGGTTGGTTTTACAGTGTAATATTACTGTTGGTGTAATTGTAAAGGAAAGGGCAAAGTATAATACATTATGTAATAGTATAATGTCATAACTTACAGTATGGCAATGACAATTTTTGTACAAACATCTAAGGTGGCAGAAAACAAAAATACAAAAATATTATCAAGGTTACTGTAACATACTTTAAAAATTTTAAAAATTATAAACTTCCCCCCCCATCCCTCTGCTCTACCGCAGCACCAACAGCTATTAAGTCGTTCACTTAATTCTGCGCTTCGTAATCCCGAAAATATGCTTAAAAAGGGCGCAGAATTAACTGAACGGCTTAATATATAGGTAGAGCAGAGAGTAGCCAGAGTTTAACGATGAGATTCATGAACAAACATCAACAACTTTTTTTGTCTACGATGCTGTACTGTAAAGTTATTTTTGTTTATGTTGTTTTAAAAACAGCCATGTTGATACCATGTGTTTACGTTTTCGGACTACAGCCAAAAAATGTTTGTCTGTTGCTTTAATGTTGATAATGTAAAGTGATTGTTATTTTTGGCTTTTTAACTTTGACATTGTCTCAAAATTTTAAATTTTTATTTTAAAAGATATCATAGATGTTACTACCTCATGGTTTACTTGTCGGGGACGGTATCAACGAGAGGAAACCAGCCGATTGCTGTGAGAACAAAAGAAGGTCACTGTGACTTACACTTACAAAAAGACAAACTCAAAGATGTTTTATGAACCTATTGTCGACCAAAATAAACGTAATTACTAGCCGTTCTTAATCCGGAGAGCTAATAAACCCGACTTCGTTTTTGGCGCTCTCCAACGCCAAAACTACGCGGAAGGCCAAGAACGTGCTGGACTGTACTCTCTCTGTATAAGCAACCCAAAGAAACCAACATTTTGTGTTTACTATAGGGATGTTGTCTTTACAGAGTGATTGTTTAGTGCAAATAGACTTAGCGGGGAAAAATGTCTTGTTGACTATAAGGAGAGTTGCTTATACAGATGGTTCACTATATAGAGAGACCACTGTATTTACAAAGTTGCAGGCCTCTCTTGAACCAAGACAATCAAATTCCGATAGAACAAGCTTTTCATTACATTCTTGTCAGTAAGCTTAAGTCTAAGCCTAAGCCTTTGAGCTTGGCCGTATTCTTACTTTAGATTAAGCTCTTTTCTTGGAATTGTTTTAGTTCTACTCTAGCTCTAGTAAACCTGAAATGAAGGCAGACCCTATCCAATTGTAGCTGCAGATTGAGCACTTTCCTTAGACCTACTTTAGTCTTATTTTATTCCTAATGATTTGAGCTAAAACTCAAAATTGTGAAACCATGCAGTCAAAAAAACTTTAAACAACAGTTCTGTGAACATTAGTTAATAACGCTTTTGAAAAATTTCAATTGTTGTTTTTTTTGAAATTCTCTTAACCATCAATTTGCACAATACCTCTTACTCATCCGATGTCACAATTCTAATCAACAACATGTTTTAATCTTAATGTTACATTATCTCCCAACATCTTTCACAATATACAGGAACGGCGGCGTTCCATTCAGACATCGTAACAGATCACTGTTCCTAACTATAACAAACAGGTGTGTGGTTCACGTGAAGGTGTTGACAGCTAAGTTTAGTCGTGCTGCTATCTTTAGCCGGCTGTTACAGCGACTGACTGTTAGCGACAGCCGGTTGGATCCCCGCCCGAGCTCCCCGCTACCCGTGTCAACGAAACCCCCCCCTTTAAAGCAATAACAAGTCACCAATAACACATGGTCGGAGGCTGTTATCAACGTGTCAAGAACCTTTAAAGAACGCTGCGTAACACTGGAACGTTCTGATCACATGGCAGTGTTATAGTAGCGATCACTTTGATCATAACGTTCTGATAACATTAGAGCGTTTGATAGTAATATTGTATTATCATGACATGTATGGTCTTAAAATAAAGATTTTACCTTCCGGTTACAGAGTATTTACAGGTGGTGTA